ACCTTTTTTTTTCTTAACATTAGCGCATCAAAAGAGTTTGACAGACTTTTGTTAAACAGACGCTTGAACTGGAAAAGTCAGCAGCAAACAATTGATGAAAGCCATTCCGTCGACTTTTTCCAAGTGACTGTAGATGGAACCAAACATTCCCTAGCGACAGGTTCCTCTCCGCTCTCATACAAACCAGACATCCGTTGTCCTAGTGGAACTATACGCATCGAAGTATTTTGTGGTGAGTGGAGTATTCCTATAACCGATTGTTTTATTCAAATAAGACAACATTACTGTAAGGCAAAATATTGTCATTCTGTCATACCATACAAGCATAAATTTTACTCTGCAAGAATATAACTTTATCTAAAATAAGCTACTTTTAAAAGCAGAGTAACCAATATCTGTATGTTATAAGTTGTATCATTATTCACGATTATTCTGCTTTGAGAACAAAAATATAGCAATTATCAAACTATTGTTTTGCACCGATTAATTTTTTTTTGAAAATATAATTCAATTCCATCAATTATGTTAAATTGTTATGGACAATTAATTTGTTAATAAATTTGAAGCTGTTTGTCCGGCGGGATCATATTCTGATGGTCGAATTGTTACAATGTGTCCTCGTGGTCAATACCAGGATGCTAAAGGACAGTCAGCTTGTAAACCGTGTCCATCCGGTAAAACAACGGCAGGAATAGGTTCCATCCACATTTCAGAATGTTCAGGTACGTAATCGTATTGACGACATTAATGTAGGAAATGCGATTCACGAAGATTATATTCCGTGTTACATATTTTGTTATCCATCATGAACAGACTTAGTATAATGATGACCTCCCTTTTTCTTTGTTTTCATTTGTCTCTCGAGGAAACATTATAAGGAAATTATTATAATTATTATATTCATGTCATTACAAGCTCAAACTCAGATCTCTGGTTCTAAGTATTTGATTGGTCAAAAACTGGCACAGAATGTACTCTCACCAATAGAAAAGAGCGGATTTAACTGGAGCTCTCATTAAATTTTGATAATGTTGAGGCTAGATTCTTCTTAAGTAACGTAAGAATGAATAAATGGTAAAGTTACATAAAGTTTGTTAACCAGAACGTAGCAATAAATCCATTGGATTCTGTTATGACCTTAAGGTATGAAGTGATCTATTTTAACACGTGTTGTTTTGTATTTTTAGTTGATGATAAAACTAACATTGGACAGTCGACCAATCAGGGTAAGTTCGAAAAGTTGGTATATGTATTTAATCAGTTGTTACGCTGAGGTCCATAAACACTGTCGTATTATGACACCTTCAGATCTTTCTTAGTTCTTCTTACAACACACTCTTCCTATTTAATCTTAATAAATTGCAAATTTTAAAATAATTTTAGAAACGTTTCTCGGACTATGGAAATAGGATATTTTTCTACATTAATATCTAGGCTACGTGTATATTAATGTCACATTACCTCCCCTTACTCGAATAGAAAGAAAATAAATTGGGGCATTAGATTGCTAAGTGAAAAACAACATTTAAAAGTAAATGGAGAAACATTTATGTCACTTTTAAAGTGTATAATTTAGGAATGAACTTTTTACATAATAAATATTGATATAAACATTGATATAATAAAGAATGCTTGTATAAAGTGTATAAATTTTATAGGCGGTGCAAGCAACGCTGTTCAGATAGGAGTTGGTGTATCTGTGTCCATAGCTTTGCTTATCCTAGCTGCAGTCGGTGTTCTGTTGGCATGTAAACATCTAAATAAAAAGTGAGTTTTTTTTTCTAAAAATGTGTATCAAACTATACTTACATATTCAAAATAAATTGAGTTTAAATAAAAAACAAAAGCGTATCAAATTAGTAATCTATTGATATAGATCTGTAATTTTTTTCGTTCCGACATTTTGTTAACTTTCTAAATTAAAACCTGTATGAGACAATAGAAGGTACAAATTCAATAAAGTTCAATAGATGATCATGTAACTTTAAAACGGATTGGACTACATTTTCCCCTAAATATTTCGGATACTTCTTAACAATAAAAATATATCATTTGGATATTCTTATAAAAACATTTTTGAAAACAACTGTTGGTAGGGTTCTGAGTGATTTAGTATGAACATAAATATGATAAGTGATAATATTAATATTTTACTAGAACAATTTATTATCTAATATTTACATATGTTATATCAGATCATTGTGTGTTGCAACGCACATGTATCATACTCAATATTACCAACATAATAATTTATGATATATCAGACCTATCATTATGGACCAATTTATTTTAAATTTTGAATGTTTATTTTGTAGGAAAAGTACTGTTAACGACAGCAACTTAGATTTACACACACCAGGGTATTTCCACATGCCTAGCAAACCTATGTACGAGAAACAGCCGATGTAGACTTCAACCAGATACCGACGTTATTTTAGACTGTGATATTTACATATGTTAACAGTGATATTTTAATTAATTTGTATGCGATTGCTTTTTAGTAATGCTTTGTTTCGATTTGTTTTTCTTATCTTGCTATATATTCATATTGAACAAAAATATAAATTATATAGTACAAAACGGTTGTTGACCATGGGCCCAAAGTTTCATTTTTTTCCAGTCAATTTACCCGTCCGTATAAATTTTCGTAGGTCTATTCTTGCTATGTCAATCAATATTAGTGATCTTACTTTACTTTTTGACCATGCCACGTGGACATATTAGGGACATATTGATTGGGTTAGGGCTTTGGGCTTTAAAATGCGTAGGAAAGACCATCCAAACTTGTACAAAATCGAATCAGCAAAGGAATCAGAAAAATGGTGTTTAAACTGTTCGCTCGAGAACATGGTGAGTTTTGTTTTTAAATAAATTCATTTTATATACAGAAAGAGTTAAATAAACATTAATATCTAGGCTACGTGTTTATTAATGTCACATTACTTCCACTTACTCAAATAGAAAGAGAAAAAATGGGAATTAGATTGCTAAGTGAGAAAAGAACATTTAAAAGTGAAATGAGAAAAATCAATGTCACTGTAAAAGTATATAGTTAAGGAATGATCTTTTTACATACATGTGTATTGATACTATAAGGAGTCGGGGTTTCTGAGTCCATAGCTCTGCTTATTCTCGCTGCAGCCGGGGTTTTGTTGGTATAAAAGACAAAACAAAAGTGTAAAAATGGAAATCTAACAACTTCGATAAATTTTATTACTAAAATTCTTAAGCGATCACATTTTATTACTTGATGTGTTTTTGAAAGCTGTAAGATAAGCGTCGATGGATTCTGTAGCATTGTATAACCTTTTGTAAACATATATTTGACTTCCAAAATTAACACCGGTATGAGACAAGGCAATTTAAATGGATTATGTGAGACTTGACAGTTTAAATTGTAGGAAAAGCACCGTAAACGACAGCAGCATAAATTTACACACGACAGGGTATTTCCACATGCCTAGCAAACCTATCTCTGTAGACTACTACCAGATACCGACGTTATATTAGACTGTGATATTTCATACGTTAATATATTTTATATTTTTTCTAGTTTGTTTTAGTGTGTTATTGTTTGTTTCGGTTTGTTCACTTCATTTTGGTACATATACATATTGGATAAAAAACCTGTTTAACATTTTTGATATAATGCCTAAATGGTTTGTTTTGTACAACCAACGGATGTTTTTAAACCTATTTTAGATTTCCGTTCATTTTCACATACACTTGTAACTTTCGTAATGAATGCTTCTTTTTGTAAACAGGAGATCATACCATATCAGCCACTTATGTATTGGGATTTTTTATTGTCATTGATAGATTGTGGGTCTAAATTTAAACAGGGAGCAAAGACCTGTTAACGAGTAGAAACGGGAATACCAGGGCAACGGATATAAGGGGAAGACGGCATATGGGTAATTTAGGGTCAAGGAAATACATGTACCTTCTTTTGACGAACTATAACAAAAAGGTTGAAAACAAGAGATACATCTGTCACCACATATAAACAACAACTACCAACACATACATTTCAGAACATTAAAGGGTTGGTCAGTTGTAATAGCCACTACTTGTAAGTTTAAACTGCTTAAAGATGCTCCCAACCTTACTATTGTCACTAACAGTGACTTATTGGAATACGAAAATATGATCCAGGTACAAGTTTGCGGTCGGCAACGCCGCCAGGACTATAACAATACCACTACTTTCTTTAAAAAAAACTCGGGCTAACAACTAAAACAAAAAGTCATAAAAAGAATATGTGGAATAATTTTATCGATGTATTTGTAGATACAAATGTCTTCGCCATCCAGTTTTAGTTCGATTATTAACTACCGCGACACGTCTAGAAATAGTAGCCTTGTGTTGAACTGTATATTATGAAAATAAAAAATCTGCACACTAATAGATGTAGTAATACGACATATGCATAACAGCATACCGTCTTTGGACAGTCGTTTTAAATCGTTTGAGCAAAATGTAGATTAAATATAAAAAATGATCAAAATATTGCACACGTAAGTCATTGTGCAGAAGAAGATTGCGTGATGAGTTTTTAAACCTAGTAAGTGCTACTCTATATGTGTTTTCATATACTGAGTCTAAATAAAATTGCCTAACAAAATTGTGTTTGATTATACAATAAGTATGTATTTTAGAAGAATTATTAACTTCAACATACTATTTTGCATAAATGTGTAAAAATCTCTTTTTAATAGATTTAATCGGAATTTCAATATTGAATTTGTTATTGCAAAGATACATAATCCGACAGCATTTGATAGAACTCCAAAGAATATCTTTTGCATTAGAAGCTCAATTTTTCCATCATAATTACGACCAGAGTCAGTATCAGATTCAAGCTGAAGGTAAGATTGTTTTAAAACTGAAGTTCCATTCTGCCAAGTCGTGATTCACGGCAAAATAAACAACATACACACAAAACACACATTATAACACACGTACGCACACACGTATTGTTCGTGTTGGTAACTAAAATGTCTTCATGGCAGTTTAGAGCAATTATACAGACGGTGTTGCCATTCGATGTCGTCATGGAAGGGGAGGCGGCAGACATTTAAACATTGCCGATACGAACAAAGTGTATAAATAAAGGAATTTTAACGTCTTAATCATTACTCCTAAGCATATGTACACTGTCAAACATTTTGTACAAATTTGGACGGTAAATGAACAAAAATATTTTAAAGTAAGCTTAACTTTATTTCAATGGTGGATCATCGTTACCAATTTTTTTCAATTTAAATGATGAAATATGTCACATCGTGTGATACCATAATATATACCATTACATACCGGATAGATATCTGGTGTTGCAAACGTTTTCCGCAGTTTCTAAAGACAGGCGGCATTATTTATGATATTTCATATGAAAGTCTATTCAATTTATTACACCTTTCAGGCATTAAAGTACAAGATATTGGTATCTATATCTGTTATTTAAGCTAACCATGCTAATACAAAAAAAAACAATACTATTGGTCCATGTACATTGTATATGTTAAGCAACAAAAAATGTTAATGCATTAACAATACTTTGGAATGTATATTATTTGTGTCGACAAATACGCAATTCGGATAACGTGACACTGTTATAAAATCATATTTTAATTAATTTCGTCAATTTAATGCCATGGATATTTTATAAAAAATGCAATAAGAAAGTTATATTTTCAATTTAATACGAGTATGTTTCTGTTATCCAGTACGGAAACAAATCAGACACAATTTAGCATGATACTAGGTACGGCAGCATTAGTTATTTGTTGAAACAGTGTTAGAATCGGAACAATATATCCAAAAATCATTCGCTTTATTAAGTCACTGTTTGTCGTTATAATTCCTCGCATCCAAACTCCAGTGATTGTATTTTTAAGAAGTAGAAAAATAATAAAATTTGAGCACTATATACTGACTAGATCTACTATAAGTATGTTTACACAGAAAGACATGATGCTTGAGCGTTATTTTGATACAAGACGAAATATGGGCTATATTATTGAAACATGTCTGACAGCAAATTATTCCATCCAACTGTTATATCTTACGAAGCGTAGCACATGATCATTTGGCAAACCATAAATCATATTATTTGGCTTGAAATAGCACTTTCTCTGAAAATGTTTTGTAGGTTTATTCTTGATAATTTTTGCTTGATTTGAAACATTGAAACCTCAATTGTTAAAATCAAATAATTGCTTAATTGATATTTAAACTTTATTACGTTTAATTGAAATATAAGCATGATTAAAAGTCATAAATAAATGTGAAGTTATTTGGCATCTCTGCAAAAATAAAGTATAACTGTCCATGAGTAGATCTACACGAAGTTTTGTCTTATGGTTTAATACTGATTGCATTTAACAACCGTCTATACCAAATAATAAATATTATAAATGTTAGATATATATTAAAATCTCTATAAGCAATAATATTTATAAACGTTATTTATGTCTGAGATTTATATCATTTATCACACAAACATGATGTCATGATTGCTTTATTCCAATGTTGTTTATTGTGAATAATTTTTCCATCCTCAAACACACGTACAATAGCTGCTCCTGTGACATCCCTTTTCTTATTCAGGAGTGATTGTTTGATTTTCAAAGTAAATGTGTGATATCTATGTCGAATTCGACTGAGAAGAGAGAGAAGACACTGCGAAATGCTTATTGTTTGGACCAAGATCGCTATTATTTTGGCTAGCTCGTGAGCCCGGTCGGGAAGTCATGTTGATATCTGTAACCTCTACAAACTTTGCTGTCCTAGATCTGAAAATATGATATAAATCAGCATGAATTTAACTTTCCAAACACTTATTTAATGCAGATAAAATATGTCAAATGATAATCTATAATTATATTTGTGCGATAGATCTTATCACATAGAACAGTTGTAACGTATTCACTAGAATTTGACAACAAGTGTATAAAGCTATATTTCTACTACTTGCAGTCCTCAATTTTTTTGTTCGAATTTTGAGAAAAATAAACTTTTGTCTCAATAAAAGAATTATGCTGGTTAATTTCTTTTCTAATGAATGGCTCGTGTAAAACAAATCGTTGCAAAACGGATAAAATTAAACTTAAAATAGCATCATACTAGTTTTATCCGAAATTGTTTATTCTGTTTACAAACAATTTTCCAGAGTGTGAAAAATCTAAATTACCACTCTTTAGAAAAACGACCATAAGTTTATGGAAACAACATACATTAACCGTTTTCAAATTTCATATAAAAACATTCGATAGATGCGTCTTCATAATTCACACTGTTTCTAGCAGACGACGAAATCTTCTTTATTTAATGAATTGGGGGACCTATCAGCCGAGTGATTTTGAGTATCTTATCTGCCTTTTTTGATAATCTCTAATCGAAGTTGATGTTTATATCTTAACAAGATGATTTATGAAAATGGATTTAAACCAGTATTTATTCATGTAAATTTATCGAAACTATAGTATACTTATCAATGATAATGATAATTTATTCTGGTTTTCTATACATATTTACGATACGATACGACTGTGGTACCTTCTAGAAATAGTCTTAATTGTGATGACTGTAAAATGGCGGCGCCCTACTTATCAATGATTTTTCTCAAACTTGTCAGACTTAGACATATACTTATCCATTTATTTTAATGTGATTTCAAATTTATTTATACACATCTTACATGCTTTAGCCCTCTGACTTTCGGCGAATTATTTATCAAACACATTCACTTCCAAACACGAAACGCTCGTGTAAAAAAAAACAAAAAAAAACAAAAAAAAAAACAGAATCTTGTCATTGTCGTCATTCCAGATTTGATCATTTAGTACTCCGCCTGTTGTTAGAGTGGCTGTTACATTGGATTTGGCTTGTATATGTATAGGCACGTGAATTGATTTTTTTAATTTCAGCTGATAAAATAACCGGGCGTTTCATTACATATAATTTTGAAATCATATATCGAAGAAAGACGCTTAAGAATTCAAAGCTATATTAATACTGAGACAAGGTAGAAAGTGAGGAATAACAAAGGACGACATATGCTGACAGTTTTAAAAACATGATGCCAATAGTATTAAAAAATAAAAATAACTGGTGATTTTATCAAGCATTATACAATGTTCTTTAATTTTATGGAAAAATATTATTTGGAAGATTTTTTAATTGTTAAAAATACAAATGTAGTACCAGTTTACAATCCATATTGTTTCTGAGTTGATCATTATTGTTCTAAATGTGGTTAGTTGATATAATTATTTTCACAAGACACGGAAAGTAATATTAACCAAATTATTACACACTGAAGATGGAGACTACATGTCTACAGATGGGACATACATACCTGTATCTCCTATATATAAATATGACTAATATTGTGAAGACAAGGGCACACACACAGCCAACTATGATACCAGTGACTACAATAAAAAAAAACATAACAAAATAATGAAAAAAAGAAATCACCATCGTTACACATTTTATTTTATCTTGAATTAAGATAAATATGGAATAAGACATAGTCATTAATGAAATAACATAAATTTTACACCCAGTAGATCCTAAACGTAAATAACATTAAAATCAGAATAACATATTTTCTATTATATACTCATAATTTTCTTTGGACAAACTGCTGAGCATTTTTCTATAGAAAAAGTCAATGTGTATTGGCACACGGATTATGAGAGACGGCTTTACATCATTTGTGTAAATATACACTACTTTACCTTTTAATCCTTCTTCCATGTATTCTAGAGGCACTATAACATTCACTAAAATGTAGAAGCAAACGAATGATTATAATGAGTTAAATCTTAATAATCACAACAATGTGCGCGATGATTTTTTAAAAGTCTTTTTTTTGAATAGTTAAAGGAAATTTAAAATATAAATGGAATCTTTTGAGCATACTATTGATAATTCCATATTCATTTATGATCATTTTTAAAGTTGAAAAAATGTACTAATATGACTGCACTGTAACTTGTAGACATTTTGATCATGCGACCGGAAAATTTTCTACTGCTACTGGACCACTTTTGGGTTGATGAGATGAACATGGCTTTAATTTAAAAAATGTCAAACATAAACTTAATAATACGAGGGTTGCTCAAAAAGTAATAGGACTGCAGCTCTACTGTTTACATTTTTTAATTTACGTGCACAATTTTACAAAAGAAACATATCTGAACTTATCCTCTGTATAATTAGTAGAAATATCTAAGTCAACATTGGCATCAATTTGCATGTTTTACATATTTCCTACTTAGTTATAACTTGTCTTCCGCTGTTTTATATGCATTTGTCGACAAACATACTTGTTTCACCATTCTTTACAGTGACATCGCTTGCTATTTCAAAGCTACAATATTCCAGTTTAATTCTTTTAATTGAGCTGATCATTAAGGATTTATTTACATGAATTTCTTATTCAGATAAATCTTTCATCGAACCCTCCCAGAACCTCTCAGAGAATTGTATTCAGTAGTGTTCATTGGGGAAACAGCAGGTTTTAATAGTTTTGCCCAACTGTTAGATCAAACATACGTCTAAATTTGATTGGTTTGCAATGGTGTTTCAGTTAACAATATCTACGATATTCCCCATGTCACTATAAATGTCGGACCTATCACAGCAATATATAGCCTACTAATAATTTTTCCATCATAATTACGACCAGAGTCAGTATCAGATTCAAGCTGAAGGTAAGATTGTTTTAAAACTGAAGTTCCATTCTGCCAAGTCGTGATTCACGGCAAAATAAACAACATACACACAAAACACACATTATAACACACGTACGCACACACGTATTGTTCGTGTTGGTAACTAAAATGTCTTCATGGCAGTTTAGAGCAATTATACAGACGGTGTTGCCATTCGATGTCGTCATGGAAGGGGAGGCGGCAGACATTTAAACATTGCCGATACGAACAAAGTGTATAAATAAAGGAATTTTAACGTCTTAATCATTACTCCTAAGCATATGTACACTGTCAACATTTTGTACAAATTTGGACGGTTAAATGAACAAAAATATTTTAAAAGTAAGCTTAACTTTATTTCAATGGTGGATCATCGTTACCAATTTTTTTCAATTTAAATGATGAAATATGTCACATCGTGTGATACCATAATATATACCATTACATACCGGATAGATATCTGGTGTTGCAAACGTTTTCCGCAGTTTCTAAAGACAGCGGCATTATTTATGATATTTCATATGAAAGTCTATTCAATTTATTACACCTTTCAGGCATTAAAGTACAAGATATTGGTATCTATATCTGTTATTTAAGCTAACCATGCTAATACAAAAAAAAACAATACTATTGGTCCATGTACATTGTATATGTTAAGCAACAAAAAATGTTAATGCATTAACAATACTTTGGAATGTATATTATTTGTGTCGACAAATACGCAATTCGGATAACGTGACACTGTTATAAAATCATATTTTAATTAATTTCGTCAATTTAATGCCATGGATATTTTATAAAAAATGCAATAAGAAAGTTATATTTTCAATTTAATACGAGTATGTTTCTGTTATCCAGTACGGAAACAAATCAGACACAATTTAGCATGATACTAGGTACGGCAGCATTAGTTATTTGGACCTATCACAGCAATATATAGCCTACGTTCGCACTTAAGTCTATTATTACAAAATCCAGATCGGAAAAGCCTACCCGACCTACCCTTCCTTATGAATATGGCATTGTCGCATTTTCCATATGTTCATCTGAAAGTCTGATTGGTCATCTGATAAGATCAGATTCATCTCATTTAACCCTGTGGTCCAGTAGCAGTAGAATGATAATTGAACTTCACGTACGTCTCGTTTAATTAATTAGTTAAATACAATAATAAACGCAGGTCAGTGGTTATGACACTAGCAATATTTGTTAGAATATTAAAGAACCTGTGCACTCGTCTATGGTCATTGATCGAATTCCGATGGTGGATTTTCCTGCTGGGCAGTTTGAACAACTCAATTGTGCATCAAGTGCCTGGTAAGTTCCAATTGGGCATGGTTTACATATATCTGTGTTTAAATATGAACCTTTCCCACACGGAACTGCAAGATCAATATTTTTACATTTTAATAAATTTTGTTTTGTGGGAAGCTCATTAATCAAGCTGGTATTGACATCTTTTAAAACAATTACAATTCTTAAAAAACGAAATAACAATAAACAAAAGCATGTCACACAAGGAGGAGACGAAACGGTCTAATGAGATTATAACAGTAAGATAAATACGAATAAGATATGTTCATGAAACTATATACCATGTCCAAAATGTTCCTATATAACAAACGTCATACTACATACCATGAGCAAATGTTCTTATATAGCAAACGTCGTTGAATGAAAATTTAGACTTTATTAATATCATTTTTGGGGCTAAGTAAAATGCAATACTTTAAAATGTTTATAGAAAACAACGGAAGGTTCTGTGTTCAGGAAAGTGGGTGTTAGACAAACAAATAGAGAAACATAAAACGAGAGAAACCCTATCAAAGGCATTTTCAATGCAACCATACCGCAATAAAACTTGACTTTTGTTTGTCCAGGTCCACACTTGACGTCACCTTTTATTTCAGTAGAATTGCTTTTCAACTCAAAGTCATCGTCAAGAACTTGAACTGTGAGATCACCGGAATCTGCTGCATTCTGGATGTTTTTAAAAGCGTCCTCAAGGTCTTGCAGGGTTTCATTTCTATTCTCTAATATACAATTGCATTATGAATACTTAGTAATGATAAATAATATCGTAGTAATGATGATATAATATTTGAAAACAAAAATTAAATAGGTTTTCAATATTTTAGATAATTTGTCGTATTTTTACACACTTAGTTCATATGATAAATGCATGTGTCCTAAAGCAATCAAATGTTGAAAGAAAAATATGTCTTCATACCTTCAGTTGGATTAGCTTTTATCTGTAAACTGAAGCCGGCTGTAGTTCCCGTGGAGCGTCGCCTTCGATCTTTACTTTTACTGTCACAATCAATTATCTTTACGTAATTCAACGAGCACGTGTTTTGTACTAAACATGCTACATTTGACAGCACCATGTTCACTCTATGGTCTATCTGTTCTACTGCAAAGTCTTCAAGGTCCTGATTTGCACAATACAGATCTTCATAATGTGCAGAGTACATCACCGTTATCTCTTCTGGTACTTTTATTTCTGCAGTTAATGATAGTTATCAGTTAATGCTATTGATTAATTATAAATGAGTTAACGTTGTAAATTAAGTCACATTTCACATTTTAAGAGGCCACTCCTATTCACGAATAAGCGTAATTAAATTGTCCCTTCAACATTATCAACCTTTCGTGATGAGCGACCTTAAATGTACATTTTTTACCTATATTGCGGTACCAATTATATTTATTGCTCTGTTCAACAGTGTTGTTTTAAACATTTGCAATTTCAGTGTTTACAAAAAGGAATGCAAAACGTTTTAATGTCTGAAATTATATATAAAATTACCTTTCTTTGCAAATCGATTTAACTGTAATGTTTCGTTTGCCGTATGAAGAGTGTGAAGATCATATAATCTATCAATAATGGTATATAATTTTATATCTGATAGGATGTTGTAACGGAGATGTCTTTCCTTTATAGAAAGTAAAGAATTGTTTTACAAATCGAAAATGAAAGCTTAAGGCCGCTTTAAAACTAGTTTCCATACCAACACAACTTGGTATCCTTCTCTCAGGATTTTCGTCATTTTGAAAGTTCCATTCTTGGGATGTTTGAGGTCCGCAGTAATATAGTGGAAGAGGTTCTATATCGAAGTCAAAACCGTCATCACAAGACATTGTACAGTTAATACTATCTGTATCATTCAAACAATCTATGGATCCATTTCCTGGAGCTTGTATTTCAGGACATACTGAAGAAGGAAAAAGAAAATAGAACGATTATATCATATGTTTTTTCTTTCTTTTTTTCAGGTGATAAGCATTTCACAGGTTCTTAATCCATTATTACATCATAACAAAACGCTTATGTGCCATTTATATGATAGGACGTTGAGGCATTATGTGAGTTTAAAATCAAATACATAGTAATGTACAATTTTACTCAGCAAAACGATGTAGATACCTTTTACTGAAATATATTTATCTATGCTGTAAACACTACCTGGACAGTCGGTGTTGTTACAGTTTATAAAATCAAAAGCGTCTCCATGGCAATCTTCCCCGCCATTATCTGGTGCAGGATTGTTACATAGACGCTTTCTTCTTTTCTCTCCATCACCACATGTTGTTGAACATTCAGACCAGTTTCCCCATTCGCTCCAGTCACCATCCACTTATCAATACGAATATAAAATAAACAATATATGATTGAAATGTACAATCAAATAACCCTTGATGATGTGGAATTAAGACTTTTCGAGAATCAACAATTTAAGCATCAAGATGTAAGAAATGTAAAATGTTTGAGGAAAATACATTTAAGAACACTTTATCAACGATTTTAGCAATGAATTCGTTTTAACAATCCATTACAAAAGCGGCACGTTGTATATAAAAGTTTGTCATAAACCATTATTTTCATCATTATTTAATAAGGACTATCTATGTATATTTGATATACAATATATATATGCAATATTTAGAAAGTTGTTGCATAATATTGCCTTATATTATAAAACGTTTTTCAAATTTTCATTTAGAAGAGCATACTGATTAGCTGCTTATAATAAATTACAATAACATTTTGTGCACACTATATTGTTTGAAAAGCATTAAACAAAATTTAGAACGACAAATTTATTTCAGGTAATCTTAACTCAAATGTCTCTATACGTATTGTTGTTTTAGAAAAGTAATTTACCCATTTCTATCTCACAATATTGTCCTGTAAAGTGAGATGTGCATGAACAGGAGTAGTTTGCGACGACATCAATACATGTTGCATTGTTCAAGCAAATATTCGCTTCACAATCATCAATATTTACTTCACATTGAGTTCCAAGATATCCTTTCTCACAAATACATATAAACCCGTGTAGCACGTCAGTACATGAACCATGGAGACAAGGCGAGGATACACAATTGTCAAAATCTAAAAATAGTCTTTATCTGATTAAAAGATATACATATTTAAGCACTTTAACCACAAGTTTATCAACAAAGCATTTTTAAAACGAAATATCAGCAAATAAGTACAATATTCGGGCAGAAAACGTGGGGTTTTGTGCTTTATGATGATGAATGAAACTGACCATCACACTGGCTGGGGATATCCATATATGCTCCTGTGAGTTCAGCTTCTTCCATGATCTTCCAGGAGAAAGCATCGCCAACATCACTTGTAAAACATCTATGTTTATATCCTGTCTGATGTCTACCATGCCATATATTAAACTGTGAGATACTTCCACTAGTTTCTTTGTCTGAATAAAATACATATTTAAGAGGATATTATTACAAATAGTCGTCTGTTACTGTTTATGTACATTTGAATATTAATTAAAATTTGACCATAATTGATGGTATACTTACTTACAAGATTCCTTTAAAACGAAGAAATGCTTATACTTTTGCGGTAATTATTTTTATTTATAACTTACCTGTGATAAACGATTCACTGATAAAATAAATTTGTTCTAAATATTTTCAACATAAGAAATTTGTTGATAATTACACAATGTGATTACGATTTCTAGGATAAAGATGATGTGTCTATTTCAGGAACGAAGAAAATTTCTTAAACATTTTTTCTACGATTCAACGCTACTCCCTTTCCTAGAAAAGCATACATGGATTACATGCTAAAAATACATTGCTGAGTACCATGAAAAATTATTGTCACTTCTGAAGAACAAACAAAAATATATTAATTTTAGAGGAAAAATGTTGCTTAAATGTAAAATATTTTCCGTAAGATTATAATACCTGTGGTTATAGAAACAGAATTGAAATCGATATATGTGCAAGCTTCGATAGTATCCTCTACAGGTAAAACCATACCATCTACAGACACTGATACCGAACATTTACCACTGTTATATAAGGTGATATAGTGCCATCGTGTGTCAGGAAGACCGAAGTTAACTGTACTTCCAGTACTTAAAATAAACATAATAAAACGAAATCTTATCGAAAACGATTTAAAACAATTGTTGTTCTGTTGTGTTTTTTTTTTTTTTTTTTTTTTTATATATATATATATATATATATATATATATATATATATATATATATATATATATATATATATATATATATATATATATATATATATATATATATATATATTTACAAAAATGAATATTGTTCAAGCAGCTTTTAAATAAAGATATCACAAACCGTAAAGTGTATATTTTTGTTTTCTTTTTATTATCAAATCTAACAATGCAAAAATTTCGTTCAAAAACTCTTCTATACAAGCATTTAAATTCTCTAATAACAAGCTTGTGAAAATTTAATTAGAAAAGAACAATAAACTTTATCGTAAATTTTATTCTAACATGACATACCAATTTTTTTGTTTTGCATTTTTGAGTCCTTCCCATGTCCAGAGAGCTTCATTATTGATATTTGATAATGTTATAGTTGGAAATTTATCCAGACTCAAGTTGTTAGTTGCAGTATTTTGATACCAGAATGCTAGCGTGAAATCTTTTATGGTGACATTGTTTTGTAATGTAATTTGTATATCCGACCGATCTCCATCAATGAACTCAATATCAAACTCTGAAAGAACATATTCTTTTATTGCTATTTTATTTGCAGGGACACAGACTGTTATTTTATAACATACATCTAATAATAAAACAAAGTCAGTGACCTCTCATTACTGCTTGCTTATCATTCCTACCAAATCTTTGCAAGTTATTTCAACTCAACTCAACTGATTTTTGTGTGTTTTTTGTGTGTTTTTTTTATAATCCTCCTAATCTACGCTCTTAAGCCTAAAGCAAAATCCACTGAACATATCTACTGAACAGCACTGTATACTGTATTAAAATTAAAAGTAATCAGAAGTTGTTAAACACATTTTTTAAAAAGCTGATAAAATAATATTATTTCTTAAAAAAATTAGATCCTGATACCTTCACAATCAGACGAAGATGTCGAACCAAATGTTAATGTGGACTTTGAGCCACGACATGGCCGGCAAAATGTCTGTCCATATGATGCTTGGTAATGTCCCTGTTCGCAAGGAGAGCATGGTAAGAGGCCATCGTTGGAGTATGTTCCTGGTAAACATGCTCCTGGTGTAGAAATAGGAATTATTAAGCAACGTTATGTGTGATGAGTATACAAGTCTAGTATTGTTACGGTCCCGTGGGTCTTGGACTTAATATTATGCTGGAAGTGTAGTTCTGAGAGAGTATGTAACTAAGCTGACTTAGATTTTAACTTAAGTTGTCTCCCTCCCTTCGCGTTCCGTTAACAGTATATGACATTAAATGTCAAACAAATCATAAACTTATGCTAAAAGGAAACCTAAGAGACAGGCAACATCATTTGTAGGTATTTATTGAACTTACATTAATATTCAAATAGCACATGTGAAATTTATTACCTTCACAATCATGAACAGAAGTCGCACCAACACCATGTGTTGTTTTTCCAAGTGGACAACGTAAGCAGGACAACTGAGCCGCTTTGTCTTGAAATGTTCCCTTTCTACAAACCTCACATTTAGGTGAATCCGGTCCACTTGTATAAAACGTACCCTCTGGACAATCAACTGAAATTCAAATCTGGAACACTTACGAAAACAAGAAGAATCCATAAAAAGCAACATAACTCAATGGGAATCATAATTTGATTATCTTTTTGTAGGGATAGTAAAACATAAACATTTTTTATACAGGAGTTCATTAATGCCAAGATGAATATAAAACTATCCATTTACATACTCAACATTAAATTACCAATACGTACTGCAATCCATGCTTTGCTCAGACTTCACAGACCCTTTAGGACATTCTATTTGCATTCCTTTTATCACAAACTCTTTTTGAGAGACGATCGCGTCGCCAAAGATAGCTTTAGCTTGGTTAGCTAATACATCCTGTACACCATCAAGTAGTTTATTGTATCTTTCCTGTGCTGTATATAAACTTTCGTTGCTATGTAACGTAACAGGTAATTTTGCAGTAAGAACAAGTATGTTGTTGGAGTCAGCGTTTCTTCTCTTCCTACTGGATTCTCCACAAGTTATCTAAAAATGAATAAGCCTTAGATTTAATTTCCATTCTCCCATATTTTGTTTTAATGATAAGATTATTTCTTCTTCGAAAATTTTCACTACATTCATTTCAGATATTTATGAAATGTGCCTATTCCAACATAATGCAATTACAAAACTATATGTATGTATATGTATGTTTCTCAGATAATATTATAATCATGAAATTTCAGTAGAACAAATTATATTATTGTATAGTGAAATATTGTATGAACCGTCATTCTTCATACTTTTAATAGACATACATGTCCCTCTTTGTAGTAAGGGATTTAATTTCTACAAAAGGATGCTAAATGCAGCATGTTAACAAAAAGGATCAAAAGAAAGACGGTCGGCCATTTTTGCATAAGCAATATTGATGTTTGTAAAAATTCGCAACATACATGTAGTATGAATAGCATTATTTGTCTTAATTTGGTTTCAATATTTTGTTGATTTTTCTTTGTGTATTTGGGTGATTGTAAACCAAAATTTCAAGATTTGGTGCACTTATAGGTTTAGGCCTCACGAAACAAGTTTATTGTATATATTACACAGTATTAAAATATACATAAACGTTCCTACACAGGATACAACTGGGTTTGGCCAAAAATAGTTCAGCATTGATGGGGCTTCTGTGAATGTTTCCTTAAGTAAAATATATTGATTATGTAGGTATTCATAACGTATTTAAATAATTTGCCTTCTTGTTGATATATTGAAATGTCTGAGACATCCTGTATCATCTACTGTAATAGGTTTCTTAAATTTTCCTCCGATAACATCTAATCACATACCTACCTTAACATTATTTTTGTTACATTCTATAGAGTTTGGACACGCTTCAGCTTGAAAGTTACTAACTTTCATCTGTTCAATAAAATTGTTGGCAATTTGTTGTTTGGTTTCTGGGTCAGTACAGTCCCCGTCAAAGTAGAAGTACACTTCTATTCCTAGATGCTGGGACCTATGGTGACCTCGTACCGCTTAAAGTTATTACGTATAAAGATTTATTATTTGCTGTACAGGTTTCTTTTCATTTTAGACGTACAAGTAAAGATTGTGCGATACGATGTTGATTTTGTCAAACAACAAATGCGAAATGGATCATTTTTGCTTTCATTTTTTAATGCATGATGAAACATTGTGTAAGTTTAAATAGGATTAGTATCAAGTCTTCACAATCTTCTTATGTTACACATTTGACCATTTATTAACTTCACTGAACCTTTTATATCAAAAGCACAATCGTATTTGTTGAATTTAATGACTGTTAGATGCTCATCACTGTTAGAAGGTAAACGTAAAAAAAATCTCAAAATTTAAAACAAATATTAAATCACTTTACAAATTACATAGGACTAGCAAAAGCCAAAAAAATTCTTTCAGCGTTATAACCTTAAAGATATATTTAAAAAAAAGTGTTTTAAGGAATAAACTGAAAGATTTAATTTTTGAGGCATGATAGAACTTTAAAGATAAAATCTTTACTACAGACAGATTAAAACCTTTAGAAGAGTCGCTTTTGAAAAACAATTAGTAATACCTCTACATGTCTTTATTTTTGGTGGCTGTCTTGACCATTCACCTTTCGGACCTTGACACACGTACAGTTTATTTAAACTAACGCTTGACATTTGTGTACCATTCTTACACTGTACTTGACAAAACTGTCCTCCTTCCCAGTTGTCACACACTACCGCACCGTTAGTAGGTGGTGGAAGATCCACACATGCTCTACCATCTGGAAAACACTCTTTAAATGATTTTCTTTAACATTTGTAACAGATATCTTCACCGACAATTTTTGATAAGTAATTATCACCACTGAACTTGAATTATTATATTTCCTTGACACATTGGCTAACTGAATCGCGTCGATGTTTTCAAAGGTTCGAGTTTTTGTTTCAGAAATGAATAGTTTCAATAGTATGGAAATTGATACTGCATAAATAACTTAAAAATACAATTTTCTAAGATCAAAAAGGACTATTATGATCACAAGGATTTTCATCTACAACTGCCAACATCATCAACAATATCATCAAAACTACCAAAACTGTTAGTAATGATCCTAACAGTTAGTATTGGTTCTACTTATCAGCCGTAAAAATGCATAATTGTCTCATTCTTGCATTACCTTTTGCGGTAAAGTTTAAACAATATATATTCAAACTAACGAATTAACAAGACAACAGAAAGGCAGACGGACAGGCGGAAGGAAGTACCGACCTCGATGATAAGATACTACAAACATGCATTCAACGCATTTCATTCCTATAAAACAAATAACTTTAATATCAAAATTTGTAATAACACTAATTGCATACTTAGTGTAATTCATTTGGATACCGTGGGCCAGTTAAATGTGCACGGAATTACTGAACATTTCCTTAATGTGACAGCGTTTCGCTAATATTGTGATTGATAATGTAAGTTAGTTTCACTACATTAGATAGATTTCAACAAATGCAATACGGTTTGGGCAACCAAAGATGTTCGTCAACCATACCCAAGCGAAAAATGTCAAACAAGTTATGTACGTTCAATTTATCAAGACCCTTGGGACAATTGTTCAAATGCCTGTTTCGAGAGGCCGTTCTGTCAGATCCAAGTATTATAGAGATACCGTACTAAGAAAATTTGAAAAGCACCTCAATTCAGTCCGTCCTTCGACTTGTATAAAAGCATTTATTTCCTGCATGACAAAGCTCCTGCACACAAAGGAGCAATCGTTTTTTTTTTTTCGGGGAAATCGAGTGAATGTCCTTAAACAGCAACCTTTTTCCCAAACTTGGCAACCTGTGACTTTTCCTCTTTCCTGGACTTAAAAAATTCTTGCAGGAGTAAAGGTGGACTTGGGTGGGCCATTTGTTCAGTTATTAAAGTAAAAACTTAAGGTGGACTATGTTGAAGCATTTAAAAATTGGATTAAACGTCTAAAACTTCTTTTTTACTGAAGAAAGAGATTATTTTGAAGGGTTGAAATAGAAAATTGTAAACGTTTTGCCTTTTTGTTAAATTTGTTGATAATATTGCATAACATATTACCCCACCCTCATATTGTTATTTTTCCCTTTTAGATAGATAGATTTCAACATATATACGAGGGTTGTCCAAAAAATTCGTGCACTGCAGTTATTGTCGAGAGAGTTATTAATAAAAACAAATATATTATATATCACTTGAAAGAGAAATCTGTCTCAAATAAGAAAACAAAAGAAAAAGTCGAGTAACCGGCGTGTCGTGTAAAAGAATGGCAATCGAGTTACCTTAGTAACGTAATACCGGCGCACGACAAAAATTGGATTAGTTCATTACTGTAAGTGTATTAATTGATTGTTGCTTGTAAAGTGGTATTTGCTTTTTATGTTGTTTTACTGTCAATAGAGGAATGATTGATGCAAAGTATTGTGTAGTTTTTATTGTTTTTATGCAACGTTCATGTAGCATATTCCACCAGTGCAGGAATATATTGGACAACCCTCGTCCCATGCGCCGGCATTACGGACGGACGTCTGCCTGACCGGTTGTCATCGTCTACCGACTCTCTTTCTCTTCCACAGAGCGTTTGTGCCATTTAAAAACAAGCCTTCGTGACACTGAACTTGTCCCGTTTGCCCTTTTAAGTTCTTTGTAGGTATCTGTTGGTGTTTTACAAATATTTGCACCAAATTTAATGATCGTCTCTATTTCCAGACGTTTAGCGACTGACATTTTCACGTAATTACAGTATTGACGACCACACAAAAATGTTTGTTTACGACTGTTACAATAGGGCAAGTTACTCCATATTTTCTAGTAATTTTACGAATACGTTCACACACTTTTCCCTTAATTTTAACGTTAATATGTAGTGTTTAAAGAATACCGTGATGCACCAAAGTAATGAACTAACCCAATTTTTTGTCGTGCGCCGGTATTACGTTATCAAGGTAACTGTATGACGAGTCGTTTTCAGGACATGCCGGTAACATGTTTTTTTTCTTTTGTTTTCTTATTTAAGATATATCTCCCCTTCAAGTGATATATAATTAATGTTTTTCTATCAATAACTCACACGACAATAACTGCAGTGCACGAATTTTTTGGACAACCCTCGTACATGTATTTGACTAACTAATCGATGATGAAAAACTCGTATGTGCCTTCAAAAGGGCAATTTAACTCCCTGTTATCATCATAACGTTTGGATTAGGTAGAATCAGAACCCATGTTTAAATTCAAAAAGAAGCAAGAAACATTGATTGATTAATAGAAAGTAATCATTGATATGATACAGAAATCATGGCTTCTCCATTTAACGTCATTATAACTGATATATTTATACCAAAGTAACACTTAAAATGTCTTACTGATGCAAGTAGATTGTACTTTTCCTTTCCAGTTCCAGACTCCGTATAATTGTGTGAAGTGTCTGTTACAACCAACATAATCTGAGCCGACCAACACCTTGCCAGGATCACAGGAGATGTTGCACCTTGCACCGGAACGGTAACCATGGGGACAACCAATGTGAAGATATGGTGTAGGGTAAAGTTTAGAACATTTTATTTCTGAATTAGAAAAAAATGTCACTTTTAGCTAATCAATAACGGTGTGTAGGGACATGGTTTACATAAAGTTTTAGTTGGTATTTCAATAGGATTTTCTACTGAATAAAGCAAAAGTAAAGAAGTAAATCCCGTATCTATCCAAATTGTGTCCTTCCTGCTTGTAAACATATTACCACTTATGAGCTGTGAACCAAATATTTTTGGACCAATAATAATAAAAAAACAATTTACCCTATATTTTATCGCCTTTGTTTACTAACAACCAGTATTTTCAAAGTGCAAAGATACAATTTCTCAATGTGTCGTGTACACTATAATTTATTCATGTTTTATGTCAGCTATGTTTTTGTTTTCTAAAATAATATAAAACATCTTCACCTTGTTTTCAACATCTTTTTGCCGTGTTCTTTTTATTTAAATTGTTATATTCTCTGAACTCTCTAACGTTGAACTTGCCTTGAAAATTCTTTACTTTACAAAATTGGCAGACTCATTATTCCATAAATGATAAGGTCGTATTCTTTTGACATTACCCTTTGCCGAAATGTGTGACAATATTTGGAAATATTTAAACAAACTTGGTAAAGATCCAATAGAAAATTTCTCATGCCAAATACAAGGGATGATCCAGAATCATTTTCATCGTTTGGAAGTTCAATATTACACAAATCCCGTTAAATTCGTCAGGGGAAATGTTATTCCGAATTTAATTTAATTGTCTGTCATATCAGTTTATTGGAAGCCTGCAACATTCCTGCACGGAACTACACTGTTCGGTTTTCAAAAAAGAATAGTACTTAAATGAATTAGTAGACAAAAACATAAACATGACTTACAATTAGCGGTTCAAAGCGGTCTCTATCTTGGAAATGTCGTTCACTTTTTTTCAAATGAAATTTAAGTTTTAAAAATTGCGCGACTAGCTTTTTGGAAAGCTAACATTGTTTACATTTATCAAACATTTAAATATACATTTATGAGTAGATCTTCCATTGTTTACACCGGTACTAAATACCACTTCCAACTCCATATCATATCGAGGTAAGTCGGTAGCTTTTAAATGACATCATTCGTTCACATTTTGATGACTGAATATTGTGCCTAGCATATCGGTTATGAATTGTGTGAAATTTTTATTAGACATAAATTTGTGTCAATGAGATGTTTATTTTTGCATGAAATGAAAATATCAAAAACAAAGAACGAAATATATATACCCAGTATGATACTAATACTTTATTTTTGGAAACGGAATTTCGCCTTTTTCTATGATTCAGGAAAATATGAAGTTAATAACAAACCTCGTACAATAACTTTGAATGAACAGTTGTTTAAAGCGATGTTCCCGGCGGCATCTCGTGCTCCATACCATACTGAATATATACCGGCAGTAAGTCTGTCACCAGGTTTATAGGCGGATCTAATTTCTGCCTTTGGATTTTTGCTATTATCCATCACTTCTGGCGGTGACCAATTAACTTTTGTAGAGTTCAGACCTGTTTCAGTGCCCGCAATTACAATACTTGGACACGTTCCAGCCTTAAATGTCGGTGGTTCAACATCTAGGATATAAAAATAACGACTGGGAATCTACCAAATTGTTAATACACTCAGTTAATTTGAAATCCATTGTAAAAAATCAAATAATAACGAAAGATCGAACTCACGTGAAACGGTTAACAGTTATAGTCATATTCATATTAACACCAAATTGATTTTGTTCTTTAACACTTATATACAGCAAAATTTGCTTAAACAATGATCCATTCAAATTCAGCTTAAATAAAATTGTTCATAATAAAAAATAAATAACGTAAAAAGTTCTTTAAATGTAAGTTACACACCGTATTATTCAATTGTAGTTTTCAATATATTTTCATATATCAGCAGCAAAATAATATTACAAAAATTACCAACACATTTTGGTGTACCAAACCCTCGCCATGCCTTAGTTTTGTCACACACAAGTGCTTTACTCACATTCGGCGGCATATCAAACCCAGAACCACAAGTATATGAACAAACGCTACGAAAGTTGGCCCCATCTGTACACTGTGGTTCTCCTGCTCCCTTTAATCGGGTTAGAGCAGGGCATTTCAAGGCTATAATTCAAGAAAATATAATTGTCTTTTTTAACTTTAAATAAGAGTATTACAAAATACACAGCACACATTGTTACATTTGTTCAGAAGTGAAGTTCTCTTATAAAAGTCCGCTTGATATTCAAAGTAATATATGAAATTTTATCTGGTATCAAATTTTGTAAAACGAAATGTAGATGCAATAATATTCTAAAGCTTACAGTAATTTTATACAGTAGGTTGCCATTACCATAAACACTAAATTAACTGATTTCTATTTGAATCATGTACAATTGCAAATGCTCTAAAGCTTACATTAATTTTATATAATAGGTTGCCATCATCATAAACATATTAATTTAACTGATTTTTATTTGAATCATGTACAATTGCACATGTTGTATACATGCATTCTTTTCCAACACTTTGATTGTCATAGGAATGATTGCATATATATACACGCATGTTTTCTAATTTCCAACGTTGATGCTACTGTATAAATAAATCATTTAGAAATATAGACGCTAAGTCATATGAAATGTGCTAATATATATATACATATATATAGACCTTCTTTGTAAAACTTGTTGAATATAAAAAGATGTGTTAACATATGTAGAAACACACGTTCACACAGTAAGGATGGTCTTCTACGGACAATATTGTGTTTAGGTTAACAAATTGTTATGTCATATCATTGATACCGCAGGACAAAGGTTATTTTGGTGTAGAAATAAACATAAGACGGGCTACAATGTTCTTGCCATCTACAGTAACTGATTCTTTCCTCGACTGGCAAATTTGTTTACATTTAACTTTAATATAATTATTTTTATCTACATTTTCCATAAAACAGAAAGTTTAAGAAAACTAATGAATTGTCAATAAACAACAAATTACCATTTTCATCTCATCAAATTGGGTCCGAGTTCTGCGCTTGCATGTGCTAACAATTTTGAAAATAAACAATTACATATCTCAAACACATCAATTAAACATATGTAATCTTACGATTGCAGTAAGGTTGTGAGTCTGACCACTGTCCATTGTCCTTGCAGTACACGTGATCTGGTCCACCAGCTAAATCAAATCCCTCGTAACAACCAAACTTACATGTCCCTCCATTCAAATGTTCAGTTACAGGGTAACATTGGTAATAGCCATTGTTTATATGTTTGGGTGGATCACAGCGCACAACTGAAACGTGATTAACTGACTGGTTAAAGTAATTCTCCTTTCATCTTGTTTAATTGATTTGTGTTTTTTTTTGTTTTTTTTAAAAAACAGAAGATAGATATTACTACAATTATAACTTTTTTCTTATATCAACAATAGAAAAGGTTTAAAACACTGTATGCAGAAATGAATAGGTCACCATATGCAAAATACGATACATGTTATGTGTGTGTTTTCGCCTCTTATTTTGTCATATCTTTTCATTTCTGCAAATTTACTTTTCTGCATTTTGTTTTTGCATTGTTACATTTTCGCTTTCCGCCTTTGCATTGATGTAGTATCGCATTGTTGCATTTTTGCATTGTTGCGCTTCCGCATGCTCGGGTTACGGTACATTAATCACACACATGACACAGCATATGAATTTATGTCTTATATAATCAATAAGAAGATAAATAACTAAAATGACAAACTTTTTAATCATATTAACAGTTTATTTTAAAAAAATATGTTAACTTTTGTGTATGACCTCTTCGTTGCAACTGGTGAGTTTACACATTAAAATATATACTCAAAAAATTTAATGTTTAAATGTTTTATTATTGTTATTGCTGTCTATAGGTTGAACAATATAGCGTGTTAGATATTAAAAAAATAAATAAAACATAATGATGTAAGATCACTTAGCATTCACATTACAAACCTTATTTATTTATTGCACTGTATTTTTATTTATTTATTTTAATTTGAACATTTTATGTACACTATTGTCTTTCTTCAATTTAAAATGTGATAAGTCATTTTCGTGCCTTTCTTTGTCAAAACCATCAGTATTTAAGGACCACAATGGAAATAAGAGATTAAGTTCTTTTTCTTATGTTATCCTTGGTATGATGTTTTTGATATGGTTCATTCCATATACATTATTATTTGTTTTTAGTGTTTTATCATGTATTGGATATCTTTTACCATGTTATTGCATAATACTGAAATAAATCTATCTATCTATCTAAACCTGCTATATGCTGCAAGCTCGATTTATTTAAGGAAATCTAATAGATGAAACAATTAAATGGATATAACTTTGATCACTTGGTCAAAACTTTCAACATCATTAAACACACACACACACGCACCCACACGCACACGCACGCACGCACACGCACGAGCATACACATTCATTCATACAATGCTTAAAAATAGTTAGCTACTTAAACATGAATACCAAAACGTTGTGCGAAAAGTTGTTTACGAAACGACAATGATAAATGCAGGCAGAAAATATTCTAAATATTTTATGTTCGCGTTTAAGACTGATCATTTTGGTGCCACAGCCGTAAAAATTCCCTGGCTTAAAATGCAATTTATTCTGCAATTGGTAACGTCCAAAATATGCCAGTCACGCACACGATGTCACGGTGATTGTCATATGCATTTTGAAGGACATTTGGTAAAAGTCAAACTGTATAGATATAATTTAGTAAGACACATTCTCTAAGTTTTAAGCACTAAGTTGGACATGATGGTGTTACCATGATAATTCGGATACGTGTTACGATTATATTTGTAGCAATTGTCATGTAGGGAAAACTTAATGGTTTAATATTATTCCAATATTTCTATAATCTACAATGAATAAAGAAAATACGTCCATGAACAGTCTATGAATATATGGATCAACCTATGTATAAATGGTTTCTTTTATACGATATTTTGTAATAATAATAATAATAAAATCTTTATTTATAGAAGGTAACATACAAAGTTTGAACAGTAAGAAGTATACTTATTTTCAGTATGGCCTTCTGAATTAACGATTAATAGATATGTAGATCTATTCAAAATTTAAAATCTGTTTGTACAAAAAAACATTAAATATATATATAAAGGTTACATATTTTCATTCATTCATCCGACCGACGCTCATATTAATTATAATTATTATAGATAAACTCGTCATGATTAAAAAGATGATATCAATAATTACAACAGTTACAATATAAAGTGGTCAATTTTCATCATGTATCTGACTGTAAAGTTAAAAAATAAATTTTACATTTGTTTTTGAAAGATTGTAAATTCGAACATTGTTTGATAGTAATAGGTAATTTATTCCAAACCTCAATACTGAAAGAAGAAAAAGAACCCTTTTAATAATAAGTATGAGGTCAATATCCTTATTAGCGATTGAGCGTAAATTATGTAATTCATTATACAATGGTGCCAGATTGTTTAAACATCTATACACTATAATTGCTGTGTTGTATTTCACTCTAAACTTGAATTTCATCAATCTAATTTTATCAAAAAGATCTAATGTTGGTGAACGTATGACTATTAAGTATTTTTTTTGCAGCTTTTTTTGAATTGAGTTTACTTTATTGATGTATGAGTATGTGTCATTTCCCATACCGTGCAACAATAACCAAGCATAGGAAGGATTTACGCGTTGTAATATATCTTATTTTACTTTGTCAGTAAGGTAAAAAATGATATGTTTGAAGAGGGCAATTTTGTATTTAGTTTTTTGTAAAAAGTTTCTACATAAGTTTCTACATAAATGCCCAATAACTTTTGAACTGTAAAATTTTAAAGAGTTGTATCATTTTCTTTCGTTAGAATTTCATTTCTTTATCTTTTTTGAAGAATCAATTATCATGCAATTTGTTTTAGGCATAACCCTTTTCCCTTATACTCGACTTGATGATCCTTTCTTGTGCTGGCATTGTTCATCAACGCGACAACTCAAAGTGAAGCGATAAGTGACAATAATAATACAACCTGGGATTGAACATATTCTAATATATACTAAAATATTCTCCTAATCTGTTAAAAGACATACTCTAAATGCACGTGTGAGCACGTGCTAAGCATATTTGCAGAAAATTATGTACCTTTTACATTGACAATGATATCACAAAATGCCGAATTTCCACTTCTGTCTGTGGCTTTATATGTTACTGTTGTATCGCCTTCAGGATAGTTATGTCCAGGTGGAAAGCCGCTTTTTCTTACCGGGCTAAGATGTAAATGAATTTGTTATATGATATATAAAATTAAAAAGTAAAATAAAACAATTTATAATGTCACAAATGATTTCGTACTCTTTTCACTCTTTTGGGACATGCAACATCTATACAAGCACATAACTGAATGACAAAAGCATGTATAACATGGACTTAAAATAAGTTTATGTAGAGATACTTTTAAAATATGCCTTGTACACGTACAACAACCCAGGAAAGAGTGGAAGACTTGATTAAACCATAATTATTTGATGAAATTTATAACATAACTTATGTTGATTAACTCTTTAAGCAATGTCGGGTTTAGGATGGATTAAAAAGAAACCAATAACATTTAATATTATATTAGATTTGTCGTTGATGAAGGTTACTTTTAACGTATTCCAAACTAATGGCCCGATATATTCATTAGGCTTCAGAAAGCAACTTTTCAATATAAATTACATAGATTATATTCCGAAAACTTCAGTCAGTAACATTATCTTCAAAAAAGCTGCAACAAAACATGGACTTTAGTTATTTTACCATATAGGCTACCTACTTTTTATGAACTGCTCGTAGATATGTCAAACCTAAATGTAAAATAAATTGTAGCACATAATAGATTTCTTCCCCTTGGATACATACAAAATCATGCCGGGATAGAACATTGATTTATGGATATCGCGGTTCTGTTCCAAATATACTTCAAAACATAATATTGTAAGCTTCATTGTACATACGTAATTGGTCCATCTGTTTCATCATTGGCTAAAGGTTCTTGCCACGTAGCTCTTGCAACATAGGTAAATGGTTCTGCTGTGACAAATATTTTCGGAGGTGTACATGTCATGCCAGGGGGCGTCCTATCTATAACGGAGAAGGAAAAGGTATACGAGCGTATTTTACGATGAAAACGTTTTTATTTAAAGTATCTTGTTCAAATAGAATCAAATGTGGGCCTTACGGACTACTGTTTTAAATTACTGCATTTCCTTATTTACTTACTCTTTTGGTATCATTCCTTACCGAAATTTATCACGCTGGTTGATATTTGTTATGATGTGTATAATGTGTGGAATTGGACATCATGTTTATTATAATACATGGACATCATGTTTATTATAATACATGGACATCATGTTTATTATAATACATTGACATCATGTTTATTATAATACATGGACATCATGTTTATTATAATACATGGACATCATGTTTATTATAATACATGTATAGTAAGCATAAACGCATCAAATGGTAACCATATTACATGTACTTTAACATTATGTTTTTTTTATCTGCACAAACTATTTTCAAAGTCTGCAAGTTTACTCTGGTCAAACTAGATTTATAAAATACAATAATACAGAAAATAAGTCATACCAGAAGGATGTCTGTCGCCGAACGCACACGCTGTAAACAATGAAGCAACACATGCGACTCCTTTGAACACGTTGCCAACAAAACGTGCTAATCTTCGCCAAAATCCTCTTTTACGTCTAATGCGAGTTTTATTTTCAACTAATTCTGGAATGTTGACAGAAAAAAACTGAATACATCTATCAAATCTTTTTTTTTGCGCGGGAGCTTGATACCTACACTATTCAACTATTGACATAGGTTATACCTATATTGCAGACATTCTGCTTCGAAGAACGAATCAAGTTAAGGACTTTATTTCCCAGGAACTGCCATATTTTGAAAATGCAAGAAGCCGATATCAAACACAACTAAAAACATGTATTTGTTTAAAAAAAAAAGAAAAATATTCAATGGTTTTTATGTATCTAAACATATGCTATTGATACTTTAGTTCAAAAAATTGTCCTTGGGATCAGCATGGAAATCTGAATCTATCAATTAATAGTTTTAACGGGGTAAAAAGTAGTACAAACTTAGACAGGTTTTTTGCCCTGTTGGTTGTAAGGGTATTTGATTCGAGCCATTATGCATCCAACCGTTTAAACTAAGCCAAAGCATGTCAACGCACTTATTATATTACATAATGGATTTTTTTTTGATTAAGTTATTAAATAATCAATAAATCTACAACAGCCATCTCAACCTAAGAGGTTGTCAAATGAAAAGCAACATTTCCAAACGTACAGTGTTATTAAAAAGTAAAGAAGTATGAACCGTGCTGTATGATCCATTGTTTATCTTCACATTGAACGTGTTGAACACCAAGTGCGTTTTCAACGATGCAGACAGAACCTGTTGCGATTGTACCATTTTGAGCAGGCTCGATGTGAACTTCCTTGTCATCATGTACACATCCCAATATATTACCAGATAATTCAGAGAAGTCACAACACTGAAATAATTACGGTGTTATCATTTTAGTCAACTAAAATGGTCTGATACTAAACAATGTCGTATCGTTTTGCTTTAAAGGAATACTTACACAATAATTTACACAATGATACTGTAAAAATCATAAGTACATATCGTTGAATAAAGCCGAAAAACGTACGGTTCAGATTAAATGATATAATAACAAATGGTATTTTACCTTTACATACGTAACACAGAAAATAAAAACACAAAGATATATTAAGCGCATTATTATTATGTGAACAAATACAACACAATCAGAAAACTATTAAGACTTCACGCTATCTCTGTCTTCAAGTCGACAAACCTCTTTGATGTAAAACGATTTCTTACTGGCTGTTTCATAATCAATATGGATTTCACGTTGTCAATCAGGAGCATTTCTTTATCTTAACTTTTTAAATAGACTTTTGCAACTTGATAGAAGTAGTATAATTTTTTTATATAAAATGAGTATCCGACCCATCAATATTTATATAAGTATATTGATATATGTATTAGAGGTATGTTAATTGTATAAATTAGGTTTGAAAATATCAACTTTCAGATTGGAATAAAAAAAACTTATGTATATTGTAAACCCACGCTTTAAATAGTATGCACTGTAGTAACACAATACCAACAGCTAAAGGTCTATCAAAAAGGTTTTCATCATTTTCTTAATTTTTGGCTTTTATCGGTGTTTTTGTACATGTATTTTGTTTCAAATACATATTTGAAAACAAATACACGGAAAGTACAGTAGAACTGTGCAATGTTGTCATCAAGGTCAGTTAAATACGGCAAACATGAAAATGCTACAGAATGTAGTTTCGTTGAATTATAACGTACATGTATATTATTTTTATCACATTCAAATATAGATTAAGTTCGGCTCTATCTTATTTTAAAATATTCAGTGCATCACAAAAAACATCGATTTTTTCGATTTTTTTCTTAACTCATTCTTTAATTTTCAATGTCATAATTATACTCGTATATGAATATACAAGTCGCGAACCAGATAGAAACCTACAATTATGACGTAACGCCAAAACAACAAAACAATCAAAAATTTTTATTGACTGACTTTCTCGTGAACGAATAGTTATTTTGTGTCTGAAAATTATATAAAGTGTATTGAACAATAAAAAAATCATAGCAAATGTAAAAGTACGGAGCCCCTAAGGTGACATTTTCGACACTTTTTCACGGCATTTAATTCGTTTTTACGAAATTATAATTCGTAAATACGAAGTAATAATTCGTAATTACGAAATATTATTTCGTAATTACGAATTATTAATTCGTTTTTAGGAAATATTAATTCGTTTTTACGAAATATTAATTCGTTTTTACGAAATATTAATTCGTAATTACGAAATATTAATTCGTAATTACGAAATATTAATTCGTTTTTACGAAATCGTATTTAAGGTCATTGTGAGTTTGACAAAAAAACTACTAATCTCACAAAGGGGTCATTTACAAGGCATCAATTTGGGTGGTTCCAGTATTCCTACTTGAATACTGTATAATCACCGTTAGGATATGTTGCCTGCTTTTTAAATTTGTCTTTTGACGTCTTATCTGTGATATGCAGGCTTCATTACCTCAGATCCCCTTTCAAAATTCCATTTTATTTAGTCCCGCCCATTGTTTTCTCGTTTAGGGCACAAGCATTCTTTTACTTGGGGACCATACGCCGCTTTTCATGGAATGACACTAATGTGTCACATTAAAGGTTCAATGATAACCGCCATATGAACACATCTGCGGATGTTTCTAAATTCAAAATTTCACCATTTTAGTATTTAAATGTTGAATTCTGCTTAAGCCGGTGCAAGGGGGCGTGGACGGTTACTTGCCCTTTCCAGTACCGTCCATGGACAGGCTCAATCAAACCGAGCCTGCAACATTTTACAATTTTGTCGAGTTGGGCTTTCTTTAGGGATTCTGTTTCTTACTATTTGATCATTCTTGCGATTATAAGCCGAATGGTTCTCAAGGGATCAGGGTTTTTGAGTGAGAAGTCATTCTCAATCCAAAATATACTCTTTTTACCCCATTGTCAAATACATGTTCCCATCAGCAATGTTTTAATTTTTGAGGCTTTTAATCTTTTCTGACATGTTTCTTTATATTATTACTTTCTTTTATCATATACATTAGTAAAACTTTTATCATATACATTAGTAAAACTAAAAGGGGAGCTCCAGATTTTCACTAATCTAATCAATTAAAAAGAAAGTATATTTCCTTACAATGTGTGTATGGGCACCGTGCGGTCATAAAAAACATAATATTTTATTTCAAAACTCAATTACATCGACAAAACGATAAATTTGAAGCACAGGATCCCCATTTTAACAAAATTTTCCTAGCGCTGTACTATCACGGCTGTGGCGCAACCCTATTGACAAGCGATTATTTTAATTTATATGCATAAGTGTTAAATAAAACTTGGGGAAAAACACTATTTATATTGCATTTACATGCCTTATATTTAGTCAGGAACTTAGTTTCAAGTCCTTCTTTATAAATATTACCAAAACTCTTTGACACCCTAGAAAAAATTAATTCATTTTTACGAAATATTATTTCGTATTTACGAATTATTATTTCGTAATTACGAAAAACATTTCGTTTTTACGAATGCATATTTCGTAATTACGAAATAATATTTCGTAAAAACAAATTAGTATTTCGTAAAAACGAATTAATATTTCGTAATTACGAATTAATATTTCGTAAAAAACCAAATTAATATATCGTAATTACGAATTAATATTTCGTAAAAACAAATTAAGATTTTGTAAAAACGAATTAATATTTCGTAAAAAACGAATTGTCATTTCGTAAAAACCAATTAAGTTCACAGAAAAAAAGTGTGGAACATGTCATCTTAGGGGCTCCGTATAAAGCGTAAAAATCTTTACACGTAAATTCATTTAAGTGTTTTATCTAATCGAAACAATGTTTGTTCTATTTCTGAACTCCCCTTAGTAAAGAGGTCATTGTTCTCGAGTAGATAATGTGGATAATGGATTATCTATATTAGGTAATATTTATTTATTTATGATTTTGAATCTTTATTTTTTCTTTACGGCGAGGGACCTCTTGTCTAGATTGGATACATGGAATATTTGTTAAAAATCAGGTATTGCTGATTAAACTAATAAATCAAACATAATTTATCTTTATAAGAATTTCAAAGTTCCCTGGCGATAAAATCGAACTATGACAATGCAGATTACATGGATAGGTCAGTATGTCATTCAATATGTTCAATAAATTTATCAAAAGAGCAGCCATGTTCCAATTTTTTATCAACAATTCAAAATAATCTCCTCCTACAAAAGTACAAAGATTCAGTTTTAAAATCTGACCTTTCAATAACTGAAAATGGCCGACCCAAGTCCCTATCTAATATGTAGCAATGACATGCAAGGTTTACTTAGTCTTTTGTTTTCCAAAAAGAATCCATTTCAGTAGCTTCTTTGTCTACTGAAGCGTTGTGAAGCAGAAAATACAGGCCTTTCATACAAACGCTATTCAAGAGTTTTTCAATTTTTCTTAACACGGCATCTCTATAATATTTGGAATTGACAGAACGGCCTATCTGAACGTTTACCATTAAGTTACACGTGTACGATATATAAAAAAGTGAATAAAATTCTTAAAAGGTTGACTCCGCACATGATTTTGGTATCATTTGAAAGCAGCTGATTTGAAGCAAAGCATAGCTTGCACAAACACAAAAGCGCGAGATAATTAGAACATATACTTCATATTGCATTACACATTGACCTCACTTTAGCTGGATGGTCTATGTTGACATTAAAAAACAACATATTTTTAAATCATTAAATAATAAGTAACTGTATTATGGATGTCTGTAAATTCGATTTCTTCAAATTTACCATGACAAGTTGCATACCAAAGTTTTGACCAAGGGGTATTATCATTTTGTCAAATAAACCACGGCGTTTGATAATTGTAATACATAAATAGAGATGGCAAGCTTTATGGCAAATTATGGTTAAACAGGTACAAACAAAAACAGATATAAGAACCTTTTTGTCATATGTCAGTTAAAATGAAGCACTCAAACTATGTAAGTTGTTTGCTGACAACTAGTGTTTATAAGTTTCAACTGAAAAAAGCCAGGCCCCGTGTTCGCTAGGAAAAAAATCTGAATCAGGATCAAATAGTCCTGATTTTATTTTCATTACTTTATAAAACTTAATTTAGTTAAAATGAAATGGTACGTAAACACATTGTAAAAGACATTGCTTACTTGCTAAGAAACCACCCTCTTTTGGATAAAATTGTGGAATAACAGTACAAATGCAATACCAAGAATAATCGGGTCAAAAAAAGAATCAATATTAGAATCAAGATTAATATTTGGATCAGCTGTAACCTACGTATGTCTTGTAAAATAAAACTGAATGATTTTCATAAACATCCTATTTCAAGTTTACTTTTCACAAGTTGATATTTATCATCACATAAACCACGACGCAAGAGTGTAACAAACCCATTTAATAAAAACGATATTACACTATTGTAATATAACTTTGACGTGACGTCATTTGCAAAGCGTTAAAGCGAGGTAATCTTAAGCGCGTCAATAAAATTAATAAACCGTTTTTGTTTTAAATATGTTGTAAGTAGATGATTATATTCGTGTAGATTCAATACTAAATTCATTGAACTCGTTGAATAAAACAATACATCTATTATGCTCGCCGAATGGCTAACATAATATGATTTGATTCAACTCGTTCAATACATTTGGTATTAAATCTACACTCAAGAAATTTCCTCTATATATTAATCTAAAAAGGATAAACACTTGAAAATATTTGAGTTTTTCATCTTGATCCTTAAATCTTTGTAGATACGGGTTTAGATTAACCCTTTACCTCATGGGCATATTGTGAAAAATGGCCGTTTTCATTGAAAAGCCTCCTGTTACAAGTTCAAATTGATACGAAACTATGAAAAATGCTTCAATACTGATGAAACTTGGCACAAATGTTGATTAGACCATAGCCTCTGTAACAAGATGCTCAATCTTAAAATTCCTTATACCATGGCTGTAGAAGTCAATTGTTTGTCTTCTCTTTTTTCTTTTATCTTTTTTGTTTGGAACCACGTTTAAGACGCGTTCATCATAAAGAAAATATAAACTATAGCATTAATGTTGATAAATAGATAATAAATAATATATATTATGTTTGTGATTTTAAGCTCATTAAATACACGAGAAAAGGGGAAAATTGTAAAGTAAAAGCCTTGATATTATTTCTCTCTGCAAGTATTGTTTAAGAAATTAAAAAAGTGTTCTCATATATCATTTTGTAATGTAACAAATCTTTCAATTTTTAATCTGTTTAAGAATTTCCTTTTAAAGATACTAATATCTGGAGTTTCTTTAATTAACTTGTATACATGTAGTATTTGGAGAAGAAGAAAATACTTTCAAATACATACAAATAAGTTTTCTATCTTTAAAGGGAAAAAATAAAGATTTAGAATTATCATACATTACATTTATTCCTATTTCATTTTGCTAATTCAATAGTTTACTCCACCAGTATAATTGAACAGTTTGGCAGGTCCAAAACTGATGCTCTTTACTTTCAATATCCATTCATCAAAAATCAGTCTTATTGAAAGTTTTGTAAAATATTATTAAGTGTACAAAAACGTTTTTGTTTTGTTTTGTTTTTTTTTTGTTTTTTGTTTTTTTGTAAATATTTTGCCACTGAATTTTTTTTTCGATATTATTTGCGATTTTTTTAGCTTTCTCACATGAAAGAATCAAAGGTCAATTTCGCAATCCGAACCAAAAGCGGCGACGGGCAAATGGTTTGAAGACATCAGCTTAAACCACTCGGTCACAGACGCCACATGATAGACGTTAACCTTATTTGGGTCATAATTTGTGGCGGAGTCTTATGTGTTACTTTAAGGTGCTAATCAAAGTGAACGCAAAATAAAGCTTATTAATCAAGCCTGTGTAATCAACAAAAGACACACCGAATCACATATTTTTTTAATATTACAAATAATTGTTACTTTTTATCATTAACATAAAAATATGTATAAATCATTATTATTGTTTTCTTTGTTTTAGCCCGGTGAGTCTATAATGCTCTAATCAAATAAAATGTATTTCTTTTCTTGTATTTTTTCTATGATGCAAAATTCGCCTTATTCCACAATGATGTCTTCAAAGGACGCCAAAATGAATCCGACCTTAATGGAAACGGTCTTATAGAATTTAGTACCCTTGTTGATTATAAGCAAAATATACTCGACACAGCATGATACTTAATTCTTTTCTGGTTTAATAAATTCTAAAAGAAACTCAGGTCAGACCCTCCATATATATTTATATTCGAGGGAATCACGATTTGTTGGTTTCTTATATTTTATATAACTGTAAGGAATGTTTAAATTATCCCTTTAATTAAAATGAATTAAATATTGCACTGATATTTTTGTTCATAAAGTTAAAGCTGAAAACAAATTGGTAAACTTATGACCTATCTTTAACCTGTAGTGGAAGAAATGCATGCAAGAGCATTTTAAATCTCCTAAAATAACAACATCGGTAAATTGTCAGAGCTGATTTCTAAATTTGCTTCTTAAAATTTATTCATTTGGTCGATACTAAGCCTTTCGTTATTATTGATAAGTGATATCCAGTGAGATTTGAACAAAGTTGATAGAGGGCTCAATGATAAAGAACGTAAGATTTAAATATTAATCCTAAAGGCTAGACATGGGAACTGTTTTCTTATTTTTCGTGTACATTTGTGCAAATTTAATAACCAATGTGGAGCTTAGCGGCTCCTGTAATAAGCGTTGTGAATGGACAGGATGGAGCTCCTGGTCTGACTGTGACAGACGATGTGCCGGGGGACAGCAGAAACGTTCTAGGGAGTATTGCTGTAAACAGGATTTGGCGCACGATATGAGACTATGCATGCAAGATTGTGGAAATGATTATGACACCATGAGACGTGGTTTCCGAGATACTAAGGGCTGTAATGAACATTGTGATAACGGTGGGAAATTTATTTCCTCGGGGAATTGTCAGTGCCCTTTAAGATACAACGGAACTTGCTGCCATGATGGTATGAGTTAATTTATGTTTAATATATTAGTATCAGTTTATTCTCATTATCTCATCTTAAATTCATTCAGAATATTTTTGTTTACTACTTTAGCAGTAATTAAGTTTGAATTAACGATATACCTGAATAGTATATTTTGTATGTCTAAGATGTATTAAAAATCATCTTAAGCACACTAAACTAATTTGTAGGCGGTTTTGCGTCTTTATGCCATTTCTTGTATAGGAATTTAACAATTTATTATACTATTTCATTTCAGTGGTTACCTGTGGGCAGCCCAGTACAATTTCTCATGGTAGTTTCACCGGAAGTGATTTTACCTATGCGGGTAAAATTCAATACACATGCGATAAGAATTATAACATGACAAACCCTTCTCAATCCACTCGCACCTGCGCGTCTCGTGGAGATTGGAACGGAAGTGCCCCGACTTGTTTGTGTATGTGTTTTACTGTATGTTTTAAATAAACATTTTTTTACCGAAAAATGTAATAAAACTGTGGATATATCTATGCTACTGTTTAAATTACTGAAAGCAGAGTATTTCTTAAACATGTAAAAATTAGATGTTCAACACACAAAAGACTGCATGAGAAATGTTATGCTATTTGATTTTTGTTTAACACTTCTGTGTAGTAATTCAAACCTGGTCAGGCTTTATACTGTTGGTGTCACATGATCGCGGAAGTGAAATATCTTTAAATTCCTATGATATTCATATGTAGATATAGAGATGGGAAAGTCTATTACATACATGTAGATTGAGCATAGTTAAAAAAAATTCGGCTTCCTGTAAAATTAAAAGAGAAGGAAGAATTTTCAATGGTCATTTCAAAATTACAAACTGAAATCGGTGAATCTTATTGGTCATTCTGAAATAAAACTGTAAAGGACAGTTCTAACCATTCTAAAAATGTAAAGGATAATTCTTACCATTCTAAAATAAACGGTAAACAAGTAAGGACACCTTAGAAATTGTTCTTCTTTGAAAAATCATCAATAGCAATATGCTATAATTTAATTTCAATGTTTATAAAATGGGTATTTTCTTAATATTACAAGAAATACTTATGTCATTGTTATGCAAGATTGCTAACATCTTATTGTATTGAAAACTTAAAAATAACATAATTTTGCATGCTGAACATTTTTTCTTCGGCCAAGTATCTTTTTAAAAGACACTTCTTGTTTATATTTAGATGCAACCTCGTGTGAAAGCAGTCCATGTAAGAATGGGGCTACTTGTGAGAATTTGTTAGGTGACTATTGTTGTGTATGTATGTCCGGGTGGACAGGGAAAAATTGCGAAGTTGGTAAGAATTGTACCTTTAAACATTTACAATAAAAGATAAAGTAGGCAACAGCTATATATGGCTATATATATGGCTAGTTATAATTGTGAATATGACGCACGACGCGAGAAAACCGGTCTTAATGACACTACAATAAATGTGCACTACAGCGATTTAAATGACGTCACTCTTATTGCGTATACACATGTAAACACGGAAATGCTTTTTATCGTGTGTTATTGTTTTTAAGTGTATTATCGTTAGGATTCACAGAAAAGTTTATATGATGGAGGACGAGTCAGAAGTAAGTGTCTATAATGTATAATTTATGAAAAACAGCAACAAAAACATATCATGTTTATTAATCAGAGCATCGAATTGATAAATATTTACTGTTGGTAATTTAACACTGACGTTTGTAGTTCTGTACTCACTACTGTGTCTACTGTACTGTATATCTACAGTACACCAAGACTAGTATGCTTTGAAATACACAATAATAAATTAATCGGCAACGTACATCGGTGCCTTTATATAGAATATATTTACGTTGTTTTGATCTTAATTAGATCTAAGTCTACTGTATTGTAGGGGTTTACCAATTGCTTTCATATTTTATAGGCTAATCTAAATTTAGGTTGCTAATCAGCTGCAAGTTACATTAATAGTTTAATACTCTTTTTTCATAATTCATTTAGAATATGTTTCTATAATTCATTTATAATATGCAAGCCAGGGGCGTAGCCAGCTTTTTTCAACTTGTAGGCACATAAAAGGGGGTCTGGGGGCTTAGCCCCCAGAAGCCAAACACAAGTTCAGATTAAAAAGAGCAAATTGCGCGTTCAAAAGTATGTTCAAGGAAAATTATCAAAACAATGATTTTAAACTATGAATTTGATAACATGCAAGCTTTACTGAGGATGGGAAATCATGCACACACACTTCGACTATATAGCTTGAATCCACTACCAAACCCACCCTCGCCTGTTTTTATTGTATTTTTGGAACTTTTGAAAATGTCAATTTCTTGACTAACTTGTAGGCCCGTGCCTACATGGCCTAATAGTAGCTACGCCACTGCAAGCAATAAAATAATATATGTCCATCATCATGGAATGAAAAAAAAGTTTTTTTAGATTTAATATTGTGTTTTATTGATTAATTAGTATGCTTAAGAATTGTTGAGAGAATAGCTCAGTGGATAATGCTGTGGCCTCACATTCAAACAAATCGAGTTCGTATCCTCGCTGTTGCCAAATTTTTATAACCGTTTTTTATTCATTATTTTTTTGTCATTCATAAGATCTGAAATCCCTCTACTCGGATTATTTTGGGAGAACACCTATCAACTCAAAAAACAGATTTTTCGAGAGATACTGACATTGATTATTCAGACGTGGAAAAATGTGACACAAGTGCAACGACAGCACTGTGGGACCACGTTCTTCTCGCACAAAAAGGTAATAATAGGAAAAATTGTAATTATAGGAAAAGAACAATAATGTAGCAATACACTTATAAATAATTTAAACAAATATCTGCCATGCTTGAATTTTTTCCAAGCGTATTTTTTTTATAAGATTCAATACACTAAAGAATTTAAAAGAATGCATGTGATTTTTATTCGGACGTTATCATGATTCCTATGACCGTGATTACAAAAATCGTGGTTTTAAAAACTTTCAAATTTATGTTTTACTTAGGATATTCTTTTTGCAATTTTATTGGAACGTGATCTATATAATGAGTGCATAAGGCGTAGTGTTGCCACACGTGACTCAGAGGAAAAGTTTGTCCATCTTACGTTTATCCTGATATTTTTGTTATTTTGTAGGAAAATATTTACAATGATATAACTGACAAGATGTTTAATATATACTCTAAACTACCATCTTATACAATCAGATATATATCAGTACTAGGGATATACTACTAAAATACTACAACCACTACTTGTCAACTCATATAGTATCAGTACAAATACCAGTACTGCTGCACCAGTATATTTAGTTTGAAAGCAAATGAATACCAGTGCTTTAACATTTTAGGGATTTTACTATCATTTTACCAAGTCTGTACACAGTTAAAATATCAGTCTTTTAACTTGGTCCTACTATTTTCTCTAAAGTTAAAAAACTTAATTTGTGTATAGATTGTGTAATTAATTACTTATTGGACTATATTTTAACAAGCATTCGTTATATTTTAGGGCTGGTTGCGTTGGTTAAGACAAAATACAAAATATATGTATCATGAACACTGGTAGTATTGTTAAAAAGCACTTCAAAACGCAGCAGGTAATTAAGGCTTTTCAATATTACAAAAAAAAAAAAAAAAATTTCTTTTAAGGACATGCGCGGTGTTTAGTTGATACGGGGTTCGCACATCTAAAGATTAAATTCCGGTGGCATGATTTAGAAACACTTCAACAGCTGGCCCATGTTAAAGAGATGTCATCTACAACCAACAGCCTGTATGTTACCCCAAGTTGTCATGGCGACAATGGAAACCCGTTCTAGAGGGATTTTTCAAACCAATTATTGGTTTAAGGTAACATATGCATGTTTATCTTATTTAAATGCAAATGTTGAAACTCAGAACTCCAGACTCAGAAAATATCTTAAACATGAAACATTAAGGGTTAATTGTTTCTTTAATTGTTTACAAGAAGCTTTATTTTCTTCTTCGATTTAGTTTAACTTTATATTATGAAGACAATGTATAGATACTGTTTTATATCCTTAAAGAGTAATAAGCTCTATCTGTTAAAATACTTAATAAAATTAAACGTCCGTGGCCGAGTGGTTAAGGACGTTGACTTCAAACCACTTGCCCCTCACCGCTGTGGGTTCGAATCCCAACAGGGACTTTGGATTCTTTCATGTGAGGAAGCTATCCTGCTAGCTTCCGGAACGTCGGTGGTTCTACTCAGGTGCCCATTCGTGCCTGAAATAATGCACGGAAGGGCACCTGAGGTCTTCCTCCACCAGTAAAGCTGGAACGTCGCGATATAACTTAAACTGTGTCGATGTGACGTAAAACCCAAACAAACAAATAATAAAATTAAAAAAAAAAAACAACAGAAAAAAACATAAGGAAATGGTTCTGTAATCACATATTAATAGAAATTGTTGTTACATAGACTGTCTCCACATGTATATTTTTCGTGATCAGCATAAAATGTTTCGGAGCAAAATATTATGCAGAGGGAATTCGCAACATATATCCAGCTAATACACTTAAATGTGAAATTCTGTAACATTTTTTTTTTCTGGTTTAATTAGATTTAAATGTACGGATAGTCTTATTTTACAAAAAAATAAATATTTTACACACATTTACAGTTGATGAAAGTCAGTCATGTGACCAAGTTTACTGTCATGCTCTCAAAACTGTCCAAGCTCTTCCGTTCTTTTAACTTACCGAGTTGTGAATGCGCTCCGAATAATGTTGTTTTTTTATTTATTAAATCATATAAGGAAATAAGTTTGCGTTATTTTTCATTACGGATATTGATATTTATCATTTTTCTATTGATAGAAAATTTCCGGTTCCAGTCGAACACACCGGGTGTGGTTATGGGCAAACTAACACCTGAAGGCTAGGAATATTTGATTCAACTCTTGAAAGAACACGGATTCCGGTTCAGTTCATGTGTCCGTCCAAGCGTTATTACGCATAGGGAATGCCAGCAGTGTCGCGAAGTGTGCGTGTGTTCGTCTGTCAAGACAGTTAATCATATTATCAGTGATTAAGGTGCACGGTTATAACAGCTAAGTGCAGATTTAAATATCCAGAACTGTTGTTGTTTGTTGTTAAAATATACGGCCATTGTTTGTGTTATAAATAAACTGTTATAAAGAATAAGAGCACTTTCTTATTTAACTATGTTTTTTTTCATAAGTATTAAACGTTAAACGTTGACTTATATACTTTTGTTGATTTATTTCTTTTGGTATTTACCTAAAAATTTGTCTCATTTCAATCTATGTGACCCGGGCATACTAAAACCCACCAACACACCTGTACCTTCCCGTTCAATATATATTTGTTTTTCAAGCAGTATATAGTATGAAAAATTCCCGTAAAGATGATGAATATTTTTGTCCACATTAAAGGTATATAGTGTTGTAATGGTTGAAAAAACAATTATTTGCGCCATGTATGACTCGCTTATGGGCGTTGTTATATAACGTTGCTAAGCAACGCTAAAATCGAAATAAGTGGGAAGTCTATAGTTTAAATAACTTAATTATTAACTTCTTTACAGCTTAAACATACTGATGCAGTGAACTTAAGATTTAAATATTATTGCCGTTTTAATTTTCCAATTAACAACGTTAAACGTCAAAATTTAATTTTTCGACGTCATTTGCTAACAAAGTGATCAAATATATAACGTTCGTTAAATTGGTATATCTAAATAACTAACCCTTTGATTTGAAAACGGTTTTCACCGTCATATTCAGAAAGAAATTCTCTACAATAATATGTGAAAAACCAAATTTCGAAAAAAATGTCATTAAGACCGGTTTTCTCGCGTCGTGCCTCATATTTATTTTTTGACATCCCAGGAAGAAAGATCAATTCCGCTTCTTTTTGTTAAAAGATATGTTATTTGATAAAGTGTAATACTTTGTACTGTCATTTCACAGGAGTGTTTCTAAAGGAAAACTATATTTTTTTTTCAGGGCGTGATGTTTCTGCCCTACGCATATTTCGCATGCGTGACAAAACACTTCTCTCGGTCAGTTGCATAGCAACGGACCGTGTCGTTAAAAGTCCATGCATGAATTGTTAAAAAAAGTTATGAAAAAAATGAAATCAGAGCATCAAACTTTGATTATGCCTTACAATTTTTGTTACCTTTTAAACTAATTTAGACAAGCTAAATGTCTTACCTAAATGATAATTAATGTTATTTCCTCTTAAAGATGTGCAACCGCCTATTGTCCAAGGATGTCCAGCAGACCGGAATATTGTTACATCAGACCTGACAAGTCGTCAAAACTGGTCTGAACCAAATATCACCGATCCCCACGGTACACAAGTTGTCATAACAAAGAATTACGAAAAAAGTGAATTTGTATTTCCATGGGGAGAGTTTACTATACAATATAGTGCTGTCAAACCTTCCAACGGACTACGAGCTGAGTGCAAGTTTAACATATCAATTAAGCGTAAGTACATAGATTGCCTGAATTTCATGTTTGTTCTGCATATATAAAGCGTTTTTTTTTTCAAGAAATATGAAATTTTAGGTCAATTACATTAATCATAATATATAGACATTGAGTATATTGTTCTTGTTAAAACGCTTACTTTTTAAATGAATCCTTTCATTTGATGTGAAGAAACGAGACCAACCTTTTTTTATCATAAACCTCAATAATTAATGTAAAATGAAGGTAAATTAACATTGCTTATTATTTTTAATTTCCATTCATTAAAGCATTTTCATGTAAGAAGATGGACGCACCAACAAATGGAATGATCCTCTGTAACGGCTGGAGACAAGATTATTCTCAGGTCTGCGTATTTGCATGCAAGACGAACTATACTTTACCACCCGGATATGAAGCAGACGACATCTATGTGTGTGGTGCCACGGGTAACTGGCTTCCGGCGAATCCTGTTCCGCACTGTGTGTCCAAAAGTAAGATTCATGATTTATAAATCATTGAAATGTCAATTTACAAATATCTTACGAAATGTTTATCATTGTATCTCATATGATCTATTTACTGTATAGCCTTATATGATTTCAAAGAACTATGAATAATACTTATTGCTGTAGAAAACTAAAGTAACCAATCAGTTAGCCAGCAAACATTTAACGGACCGAAGCCGAAACTTTAGGTCCATTCAATGTTTGGGGTTGACTATAGAAGGTCACCATAATGCTATGAGGTCTATTATATATTATATTGTATTATATCGCATTTTACTAGAACACAATGGTGAAAATTCAACAAGGAAGGAAATAATATATTTTCAAATCAATGAATATCTAGTTTTTTAAGTATTGAAGTATGAAAATAGTTGGTATTGCTGAGACGGTCACAATAGTCTATTTTTTTGTTGAACCGCTGACTTAATCGTAAATATTATTTTTGAAAGGTCTGTTGACACAGAAAAAGAAGGTATTTTATTGTCACATGGTAACATAACTTTTCTGTCCGATATAATTTCCAGATGGTCCTCAACGCCTAACGGGAAGCGGGTTTTAGTTGCTTAGTCTCTCAATGGGGCTTATAAAAATTGCTCAGTACAACAACATAAGTATCATGTCCCACGGAGAGTGATAGAATGCAATGCCCTTTGGCTAACCTCAGAGAGATATGATGTCTTAATATCATACTGAGATCATTAAAGTACTATTTCAATACCAGGTCTTATAATTGTCCTTTTCATGATGGTATAAAAATGAAGCTAAAATCAATTCCTTTAAATGCTTGTGGGAATGTTTTAGTGTTTCGCGTTCATTAGTCTTGTTTTATATTTTTAAATGTTTCATTTGTGTTTCAAATAGATTTTCCTCTTTTTTTCAGGTCTATTCCCAGAAAAGCATGTTAAAAAGTTTTCTACGTGTACTGAACTAGATGATCAGAAACTGATGTCTGAATTTTATATAGAGTTTCTCAAGAAATCTGCAATGAACGCGCTCTGTGAACAACACGCAGACGACTGTACATCCGATAACATAGACATCGGATGTTAAAAAAGAGACAAGGCACCTAAAAACTATTATCAATTATTCATACAAACATTAACAATATAACTATAATTGTTTCACAAACATATAAATTTAGGCTCTAGTAATATTTTACCTATTAAGTCTTTTCCTGTTATATAATAAAAATGCTCAAAACAATGGACTATGTACATATTTGGGATTCAATGAACTGTATGGAATAATAAATCATAATAGGTTTACGTTATATGTCATATTTTTATTCCAACTTTTATCTATTGTTTAATAGCAAAAACTACCTTCAGCATAAATGACTAGAAATTCCTGGAAATTCAGGGTAATCAGTCAACAAAAGTTTCTATAGCAAAGAATTATGCAAACATAATTTGGTGATTTGCAAAGAAGAGAACCATTCAAAAAATGTTTGTAAACCCTCTTTATTAAAATGACAATCGAGACACTGATATGATTAAAATGTCTATAAGTAATCTAGGCAAACCACTTAGAAATTCGTCTATAAATATAGTCTGTAAGATTATGTAAGGGATATGCCGGCCAGTTAATTCCTTCAATACCTTACGGTAGGTCCAACAATGTCCTCTTGATACCGCAAAACAGTATGAAACACAGAAATATGTCCGTTGTCGTAAGTATTTATAACTGAGCCACACATTTTATTATGAAACCAACCGCGCATCGTTCTTTTGGCCGTATCTACAATCGAATACGCCTTATTGATAATTTGTATCAACTTTACTTAATAAACATCACAGATTTCCAAATTCGAAATCCTCCAGTTAAGGAGATACTTTGAACATTTCGCAGGTTGGTGCAAAGTGTACATGTGAAAGCAATATCGATTGTTGCAAGTCACACTCAGTGATTTAGCCATAACACGTCACAAGTGTCTATTTTGCATCTTTTGCAAAGCCAGATTTAACCTGTCTGTAAGATTTAAATGTCACCAAATATCCTTGCAAGTAAAGCCTCCTTAAAATGGAAAGATTTCATTAAATTAAAAATGGTAATCGATTCATATACAAAAATAAGGCCATTTAGAGGCGCTTTATTTCGCTGACAATGTGCCTAATCTACTTGACCACCATCCAGTTTATTTGCACGTGCTTTTTCAATAATAATTGTAAAACACACACGTTTGCACAACATAAAAGTGATTTCTTGTTTTAGGCAGTGTATCCGAGATGAGGTTATATAGTCTTTCAAAATATATGTACCGTTCGAGGATCTTATATACATATCTAGACTTATATACACATGTTCTCTTTAGCAATTTATTTTAAGGAAATTCGTTATTTTCAACAGAGTTTTATGCACGTCTATTAACTTGTACGGTATATGATATTATACTTTTAATTATTGGAAATCGTATTGTTCTTGTGTTTTGGAGTTTTGCTTTTGTAATCGAGAGTTGCTTCGCTGGCTATAAATAGTAAAGTGATATGAGTATGAGGTTATTGCAAACTACGTCTAACGTTTGTTTAGACATTTTACACCAGTATAATGCTAAACCGTCATCAATTTTAATTTTTTTCACTTATCCAAAAAAAAGAAAGAAAGACATCTCACTCACTGTAACATAAAACATGCTTGAAAGTCGTATATTATATATATTGAGTGAAAACGGACATTAATTTTATCTGTGCAGTTTTGTGTGGAGGACTTACTTATTTTAACAAAAGAACGAATCATTTCTAACTTCTACAAAACTTGATAATATTTGGCACTGCCCGTATACAGGAGGACATAATATTTAGACATAGTTTAATTTGTTACTATGTATAGACTAAGAAAGTTACTTCGGTTTAACCAAAGTTACTTGTATAAAAGCAGCTTTCTCGGGACCATACGCCGCTTTTCATGGAGTGGCACTACTGTGTCACATTGAAGGTTCCATGATAACCGCCGTATGAACGCATCTGCAGATGTTTCTAGATTCAAAATTTCACCATTTTTCGTGTAAAATGTTAGAATTCTGCTTAAGCCGGTGCTAGGGGGCGTAGACGGTAACTTGCACTTTCCAGTACCGTCCATGAACAGGCTCAATCAAACCGAGCCTGCAACATTTTCAATTTTGCTGTGTTGGACTTTCTTTAGGGATTCTGTTTTTCTCAATATTATTGTCACATCCGTGTAATTTATGCCGTGTGGCGGCTGTAAAATGTCTCCACGTACATTTAATCAATGATGTTATATTTTCGATCCTTGAAGATCGTTCAGCACGACATTATTGTTGTGTATACATGTTATGTGGTACTTTTAGTTTCTTCAATTTGGTCATTTTCAACCTGGATGGTTCCAGTATTCCTACTTGAATACTGCATAATTACCCTTAGGATATGTTGCCTGCTTTTTAAATTTGTCTTTTGACGTCTTATCTGTGATATGCAGGCTTCATAACCTCAGATCCCCTTTCAAAATTCCATTTTATTTAGTTCCGCCCATTGTTTTCTCGTTTAGGACAAAAGCATTCGTTTACTTGGGGACCATACGCCGCTTTTCATGGAATGGCACTTCTGTGTCACATTGAAGGTTCCATGATAACCGCCTTATGAACGCATCTGCAGATGTTTCTAAATTCAAAATTTCACCATTTTTCGTGTAAAATGTGGGAATTCTGCTTAAGCCGGTGCTAGGGGACGCAGACAGTATCTTGCACTTTCCAGTACCGTCCATGAACAGGCTCAATCAAACCCAGCCTACAACATTTTTAATTTTGTTGTGTTGGACTTTCTTTAGGGATTCTGTTTTTATCTATTTTATTGTCACATCCGTGTAATTTGTGCCGTGTGGCGGGTTTAAAAAGTCTCCACGTACATTTAATCAATGATGTTATATTTTCGATCCTTGAAGATCGTTCAGCACGACATTATTGTTGTGTATACATGTTATGTGGTACTTTTAGTTTCTTCAATTTGGTCATTTTCAACCTGGATGGTTCCAGTATTCTTACTTGAATACTGCATAATCACCCTTAGGATATGTTGCCTGCTTTTTAAATTTGTCTTTTGACGTCTTATCTGTGATATGCAGGCTTCATAACCTCAGACCCCCTTTCAAAATTCCATTTTATTTAGTTCCGCCCATTGTTTTCTCGTTTAGGGCAAAAGCATTCGTTTACTTGGGGACCATACGCCGCTTTTCATGGAATGGCACTACTGTGTCACATTGAAGGTTCCATGATAACCGCCGTATGAACACATCTGCGAATGTTTCTAAATTCAAAATTTCACCATTTTTCGTGTTAAATGTTGGAATTCTGCTTAAGCCGGTGCTAGGGGCGTGGACGGTAACTTGCACTTTCTAGTACCGTCCATGAACAGGCTCAATCAAACCGAGCCTGCAACATTTTTAATTTTGTTTATTGGACTTTCTTTACTGGTCGGAGACCATCAACCGGACACTTTTGGAACATTTTTCCGTACATATTTCATCATTTTCAACCTAGAGACCAAAACAATTGACACAGTTCAGCTAGGTTCTTCTCCTAACTAACAAACTAATTTGTTTATTTCTGATTGTATTGACATTTATATCTGAGGCTTGACAAGGAGGGTATCAAAATTACCTAAATTGTCTACACTACAGTACCATGTGTCCGGACAGATATGTACATGATGTGATTTAATTCAGATAAAAGCTTGGGTGTTTTGATTTTTGATTTGTAACATGATATACAATATGTCAGCAACAAATGCTGAAGTTTTGGATATTCTATTATTCACTCTGCAAATGATTATAGCTGGTATATGAGGCCAGGCATTGCTTTCTTGACCCCCGAATTTCAACATCGACATCTTGAAATAGACATTAAAATATTACCATTTACGTAGGTTGAAATAAATTTATTTACATAATTTTAAAAGAAACATGAACTTATTGTTGATAAAATAGTGACTGACAAGCACTGAACAAAGAAAATATTAATTTAAGCATTTTCAGGGCCGTCCGGGTTTGGTGGTTGTCCGGTTTTGGTGGTCCCCAACCAGTAGGGATCCTGTTTTTCTCTATTTACTAGATGGAAACTTTTCAATTCTTTATATATCTGGTAAATGTCATTTAAATACGACGATCCATGGTAGGTCTTATGTCGTACCGCGTGCCATTGAAATTCCATGCGTCGACATAAAAGAGCGAGGTTATAATAGTGATGATGATAATAATGATAGTTGTTATTATTAAAAACAACTATTTTTATTAGAATTATCATTATCATCATAAAAACAATGATAATCCGGTAAGTATCACACGGATTCTCAGTACGTAAAACTATCGAATACGACCAACTGTCAACCTCGACAAACGTTCTTAACCCCTCTTTATATATGTAGACTGCATGTAGCTAGATACTGCAAGATAGTTTGCAAAGTTTATGGAACAGCATAATATTGTTGATAGCACTATATAGAGATGACAATGAAAATAAATAAAATAGATTGTCTCCCGCTTAAATGTATACCTTCTCCTTTGGTTTTCTTTGGGTCAAAATAGGGGATCTTAAATAATCTCGGATTACGGTCCGTTGAATTATTTCATATTCCAATGATAGTCGTGATTCTACCGGGGTCAGTGTCGTGTTTCCTGAATTGTGCACGTTCAGTTGCGTCAGACATGCGTGTCACATTGTATGAATGACGTCGGTTATATGGCGAGATTGAAAATTGTTTAGACATGACAAGTTATTATTTTAAATTTAATAATATGACACGATAAAAAGTTCTACATTACAGAGGAGCATGTTCAGATATTTCCTGATTAAGCTGTATGAGGTTGTTATATTAAATGAATGTAAAGGTTATTTTGTAGTTGTGTTTCTTTATCTAAGAGGTTGACATTGTTAATGTTTAGATTCGACAAATATCAAACGGAAACAAGCTCCAAATTTTAGATTTCTTCATATCAGATGTCTTAAGAGTCACCACTTACATGACATACAGAATCCTCCAGATTATTCCAAACCCATCCAAACAAACACTCGATGTCCATATTTCGGTCCTCTATGTGGACATGATAGTGTCAAGTGTTTGAATTAAGATTAAAAACAAGATTATTCTAAAGTTATCTTATATATTGATTATTTTTTAAAACAATTGTTCTATATATCTTGCCAATTTTAAACCTAAATACATATTTTATATAAAGCTTACTTTTTGGAGGCAAGTACGAGTTCAATCAAACTGCAGTTAATATTTTACATAGCTTTTACAATTTTACAAACTTTTCAGACTTGCTTTACTTTTCTTCTTTTTTTTCGGGGTAAAAAATATGGTATGGTGAGGCTGCACAGGCGTGCAGGTTGGCCTAGATCTACATGTATATTCGTGATAAAGGTTGATCAATTTTGGTTTAAAAATTAACAGGGTATGGGTTGAATTTGATCATTTTAACCGCTAAATGTTTGTCATATGTATATTGTCAATACACCCGTTAACAATTTATTGTATGCAAATGTATAATAGTTCATATACTGTATATATATAATGTTAAATTCTTTTTAATTTATAGCAAGTTGTGATAGTTTCATCTTAATTCACTTGGTGTTCTTTCTGCAATATAAATACGGAATGAAAGAAAAAAATATTTCATTAGACTATCATTATGTCAAACATTCGTTTTGATGAAGAATCTATTTTGTTCCTATCCATGTCATTGAACTTGAATAATCAGTAACTCCTTTAACAGTGGGCGTTACTATTGTTGTAACTTACTGTACTTCGGATTAAAACAATGAGCCAATTGCTTGCAGTGTTACAAAACTACAATCCAGATCATATCCGCCCCTTCTTAATCATTAAATGAGAACACAGACAACTGCTAGTTTAACAATTCACATACCATTTAAAATGGATTCAGTTTTTATATAGCTCTACGACTTTGTCAGAATAAATTGAAAATGGTGAGTTACATCATCATTTATGTATATAAAAACTGTTGCTTAATTATAAATACGATAAGTGTTCGATGTTGTAGTTTTTATTATTTTGAAACGAATATAAAATTGTCGGTAAATTATATTCCATTGTCTTTAGGAAAATACAATATTTTACTAGATACATTTTTCTATACTACTTTTGTTTTTATTTGTTACAGCTTCCTTTCACTGCGGACATGATCCTCTCCAAATTCTTTGTTTGCTTATTGATAATAAGTGTCTCCGTAAGCGAAAACAGCATAAACAAGGTAAGAATAATATAAATTGTTTCTTTCCTTTTTTTCTTTCCGCTATCAAATCATTTTTTTATGTCACAGAATTAAGTTGATAAAATTGACGAAATAAATTATTTATGTTCTGTGTTATATAAAAAAATGTAATAAAACCCTAAAAAGGCTTTATTGGTGTGAACTAAGTAAAACGTACAGGGATATTGTACAGTCAGTAAAAAATTGTCTCGTGCTATTTGGGCATACTTATTTTGAAAATGATTAGTTTTTAAATAGATAAAGAAGAGTGCAACATCAAATTTAAAGTTTAATACTCTTTATCATGCTATTCTGTCATTGCAAAGACACACACACGTACGCACGCATCGCACCGCATACACATAAAATGAGAGAAATAAACGAATTGAATAAGTTAATAAATTATAGCTTTACGAGTGCAGATGGGTTATGGTCTTGTCATTGCTAACGTTCGAAAAGAAAAATCTAAAACTCAAGAGTGGTTAATTGTATTTATTACCTATACTGTTGGGTACATATCATGTTTAAGTATTATGAAATAAATCCGGAACAGTAATACATTCTTCATGTTTAAATGAATACATATACATGTATATTCCAAAACAAGGTCATCATTTTCATTAAATGCAATCTTAAAAGTCTGTAACATAACGATTGATTAGAAATTTATAACGAAATTAATAAAACTAAATTTAAATTTTAAATCTAAGTTAAGCGAGGTGCAATAAAAAAAAGCCTGTAAATGGTATGCTATCAGTTGTTGTTCGCTTTAAGACCTACCTGTGTCAATACAATGTTCAAACCTTTCCCCATTTCAGAGATTGTTCCATGTATTACAATAAATTACAATACTTTATCACATAGGATACAATAGAGGGTATATCCGCCGATGGTTGCTATCTCGATCCGTTAATGAAACCGGCAGACTGCAAAGACCATACTGATAAAACAATTAAAGTTGAGTCAGCGTTTGAGGTACTTCATAATACAACATGTACCCTGGACCATGGAAACGACAATATGATCAATGTAGTTTGTCTGGACGGAGTTCTGATTATTTCATCAGATAAGGGTATTGTGATATTTGATACTTTCAGTAAATTGGTTTCATAGTTTGGAGACATTTCTATCGAAAATGTGTCTAAGTTAAGTAAGACAAATACACATTGGGTAAAATTTGTAGCCTGCATTCCAGTTACCACACTGTCGGGAATAAGAATAGAGCATGCTCGCTGATTGGCTACATTTGTCTTGGGTTTACTCATTATAACGACAGAGATAGGGATAATGATAGAAAAATCATATTAAGATGCTCGTACATTGGTTCAGAGAAAGTGTTTTCATTTTTGCCTATGATACAAAAGAGAAAGAACATCAAATCACTTTGCAATCTGATTTATACTCGAGGGCTACGCACTCTTGTACAGATCAGATAGCCTCGTTTTTCGATGCTTTTTCTATTACATACAAGATGTATAAGAACTATAAATGTAGTAAACAATATGTTAAGAATAATAAAAAAAATCAACAAACATAACCTTTCAGTAAGTATCTGTTAGGTATATCTTATGAAAAAATAACTGATGTGTATCCTGATATACGTTTCCAAGAAAACTGCACAAATATAATGAGCTTACACACTTTGATGAGGTATGTCATAAAGTTTACAAATATTGTATTTCATTTCAGGAAAAGATTTGATGAGAATAAAGCGCGACGTTTCTACAAAATCGCCTTTACCTACCCATTCGCTTTTTGATATAGCAAATTCACAGGCGGTCAGCGGTATGGGAGGTTTTACAGCAACTGGAGCCATGATTGGCTCAGCATTCGGACCTATAGGTTTAGCTGTTGGCGCTGGTATAGGTGTAGTTTCAGATATCGTTTGTTCTATTTTCTGTCGTAAGTATTAAATAACGTAAAGATCATTGCATTTGTTGATCTGATAGTAGTGCATGATCCGATTATCACATGCACTTGAAAAAATAAGCGTTTTACCAACGTCTATAATACTTAATTTATTTAATTTGATGTACTTTGTGTTAATCCCATGATAATATGAATTGCTCTTCAAAGCTGTTAAGATTTTATATTTTAATTCATAAACCGTGATGACTGGATTAGTCATACTCCGGAAATTATTGATTGTACGTAATGTACATGTTAAAGCGCGTGTCGATAAAAAATATATGCTTTATGTTAGGGTAAGCAATACTTAATATTATATAAATAAGTCAGAGAATAAGTTCATTTTTAATATTTTCTGTCATTTGTATGAAACAATGTCATTAGACTTTTAATCTGATAAGAGTATGCCCGAAAAAAGAATTAGTCTATATTGGAAGGTCTGCAATACCATTAATAATAATGTTGATAGTATTTAGTATCAGACATAACAACAAACAACGAAATAATTATTGGCAAGTGTGACATACATGATCCGGTATTAAATTCATAATTAATCACTAATCTAACTTTATCAACATTTTTGTAATGAAATATTTCGTAAAAAAGTCATCAAAGTGATACATTTACATAGTTTTTATCAATATTTGAAATTCTTATGGAATATGTTGTTACGAGCCAGGCGTAACGAGAAAGAAAAGCCAGCAACAAACTTGTAACAATAACAAGTTTATTACAGAAAAATATTAAAGAAAAATTGAAAAACAATTTATGCTTACAAATACCTGAAGTCCAAATAAAAATGTAAATCTCAAATGTCTAGTCTGATCCTGGAATGATCCCTTAAAGTTTATGATCAGCACAGTTAAATCCAAGTTAAATTCAAGAACACTTTAGAATTATAAATTCCCACAATAAAATCCACAAGAATAATTAAATTTATTCCAATAAATTACTTAATATCCAAGTTGAATAATACTCCAAGTGTATTGATGACTTAAAAGGTCAAAGAAAATGAAAAATGTCCCCTTATATATATTAGCTAAGATCATTCTAGATCAGTCTTTTATGTTCTTCAGTAATCATAATCTAGTACCTTCAACAATAAAGAATAATCTGGAAATTTCTATCTAAATATAATGCACGAATCATAATCTAGAATTTTCTACAACAGTTAAGAAACTTCTTGTTAAATCTTTTGTTGACATTCATACATGTAGTTTATGTTCTAAAAATAGAACAATGATAATATTGGAAATACCAACTTGTCAGAGATAAACTATATACATGTAATATGTTGCATACATAACAATGTGCTGATTGTAGACCATACCATTTTAAATAATACATAAATGCACTTCGGATATATTTTATTGAATTTCGTGGGAGCAGCTATACATGCTATAGGATACAGTAAACTTTGCTGAAGTGGTCACTACAAAAATTATGTGTATACCTCATTTGAAGTTAATTACAGAACAGAAGAACAAAATTGAACAACACTATTAACACTAGTAACATGTAACTAACACAGGAGTTTACAATGCAAAAAATTAACATACATTTCGTGTCATGGCAACTGAACAAGAACTGTCGCAACATATATCTGGTATTGTTCAAACAACATTTATAGACATAGAAGACAAATATTTAGTGATACTGTATGGCTTTTGTCTATCCCATTTAATATGTTTTATCTTTTTTGCTAAAGTAATATGTTATACAATTTTCACTGTCTTTTTTATCAAAAATAAAGATCACGACGACCCACCTCCACCTAACAAGCCGCCTACAATAAACAAACCAGCTGCATTGACGGTGACTTCTCCTATACTAGCAGAAGAAGGGAAAACAACAGCGAAAGTCACATGGGATCCACCATCGATGACGGACCCGGAAGATGGTGTTATCAAGTAAATTTTTCAAAGGACTTCCGCAAAAACGATTCAAAGTATTTTCGTAAATTAGGACAAAAAGTCAAAATTATTCAAACCAGACAGTAACTTAAGTCATAGCAGTAATTCATTAAATTAAGCAATTTGTTCTTCTGTGACAGAATGGCAATTTAAGTTCAATTATTGTTCTTTTTTCGTAACACAAGCATGAATTGCTCATCCGTGAATTACTGTCTTAATTTCAACTGTGGAATGTCCGTTTAGCCTATCAAAATTTGGCACTGCTTGATAAATGTAAGAAACTTAACAAAATAATTCATGAAGCACAAATCGAAAGTAGATAAAACCGCCCCTATCATTAAAATCTAGATAGTCGCAATATGACGTTAACAGTGTTGGTGCGACACAACACAAAAAGAAAAATAATAGATAAGTGAAACATAAACATATTGTCAAACTTTGTTGATCTGTCCATTGTGTATACATAAAGGCGCGCATTTAAAAATATGATGAAACACATACCTGTCTACTCTTCTGGAATGATTTTATAAAAGTTCAGTCAATTTAAGCGTAAACTAACAATTGTTCATTTTTGCAATGGTAGCAAAATGGTATTGTATTGGCACTGTATTACAGAGGTTGCAGGATAGAGTCTACCAGCCGATACAGTTTTTCTGCTGTACTTATTTTCTCTTTTCCCGTTTCCATATTGATTTTAAATACAAAGACAATTTGGTTATTTGAAATTCAATGTGTACACATCAAACATAGTTTAAATCAATATATATCTAGCTAACCTATCATTGCAACTCTTTATGGCATGCTGTACGCAACTCTTTATGGCATGCTGTACAATCTATTGTAAAGAATTTATTTTGAAAAGGCAAATGCTTACAAAATAAAATCAAACAAAACAATAACTTAATTGATGATATGGTTGAATATTCGTCTGTGGATGATAAAAAATACATGTAAGGAAAACGATGTTGAACAAATTTAACATTTTCAATATTGCCGTTTTGGGCGCTCTTTAGGGATTCAGTTTTTTTCTCTGTTTTCTTTCATTGGACAAAAGACATTACACTCATTGTCCAGTATTGGTTGGTTCCAGTTAACAGATTTTATTATATTTCTTCAAGCTTAATACAATGAAACTGAAAATATTCAGTATAAGACAATGCTAGAGATATTTTTATCATCTGAACTGTGATGGACAATATCGAATACATATCGATTATTGATATACCGGTTTTATGTTCACTGTCTGAATTATCAATATGCAATAGACGTGTTAATAAAAATGAACATAACTCTACTTACAAGTGTTGCAAACATTTTTTCTTGGTTTAATTCGATTTCTTGTAGAAAATCGTAAATATCCAAGCATATTTTTTGAGCATTTGTCCAACGAGGCTAGCTCTATTTATCAAAAATTTTACACATACTTTAAACATAGTGGCAACTAAATGACAAAGATGTATCTTATCATTATTTTTCAGTGTTGTTGCGTCTCCATCAAACTTTCAAAACGGCGGAGACTATTCAGAAGGAACGTACGTTGTGTATTTTGTTGGAACTGATAGCGGTGGTCTTTCTGCAACTGCATATCTTTCTTTCCAAGTCAAATGTAAGATTCTTAACATGACATTAGTAAATTAGATAAAAATGTAAAGACGAACTGTTTAAATATCTGCACAATATAAGCAATTAATTTATAAATGATTTATTTATGTTTTTATAAAAGTTCTGAACAATTAAAATACAATTTACGGAATTCGCTGAATCGTGTTTAGATTGTAGTGTAGTGTTGAAGCATTAAAAAAACGCTTATAAATTGGTAGTCAGGTATGTTGCACTTTTCACTGTTCCCTAGAACAGACTCGTGTCTGAATTTTGTTTTCCTATTTTATCGTTCTCAAAAGATCTAGCACTCAATTAATTTGACTGCATTTGTTAGTGTGATGCAATAAAAATGCATCATATATGAGGGCTACAAACATACTCCTGGTCACGCTCCTTACAAAAGATACGATAACTACTACTTTTGGCGTAATTTAAAGTTTATCTGTAATAAATGTGTCTTCTTTGATAGTGGACAGGTGTGGATTCCCGAGATGGCCAGAAAATGGCTATATTGACTGTGATGGCAGTGATATAATCTATGGGACAAAATGTAAAATAAGATGTAAATCCGGCTATACCTTAGATGAAGGAGACAATCCTTCCCTTAAGTGTGTCAAAAACGGTGCATGGATGCCACCAAACTCCCCAAACTGCAAACGTAAGTAATTAAAAAGTTAAACCCATAATATAGAGGATATATGTTGTTTACAAGTGAGTAAGATGTGTGTATTTCATCGAGTGAGCCACGAGTGAGAATACGGTTTTTAAAGTTCACGAGATGAAATAGAATTACATCTTACACAACAAACAAACAAATTTTCTTTTTATTTTATGCTTAAAAACAAACAAGATTATATGAAATTTCCTTAATATTAACATTTATATTAAAATCTGTTTTTCCCACTGGTAGCCTCATTTAGTCGAATTTCTCGTAAAATACAAGAAGTCTTGGGCTGAAAATAAGTTCGCCAATCAACGTTAAATGATGATGATATTACTCATTTTATTCAAATAATATGAATGATCGCTTGTTTAAATAATAAAAAACAAACAATTCTAGTAGGAGAGAAAGTCAAACCATCCATAATTAATTCTGTAATTATGTTTGCTTCAGAGGTATATCATTTGCATTTGTTAGTCAAACATCTTTTTAGAAGAACGAAAACTTATTTGATGATTGTTATAGACAATAAACAAGTGTTGACAGATGTGTAAACATTCTAAAAGCGGCTAGGAAATTTGAAAATATGGAATTTTTGAAAGGCTGCCTTACGAACGCTGGGTTGTTTACTTATTCTTTGGGCTGATGGCTGTTATTGCTTTTCAAGTTATTAGGCAGTTATTGCGCGAAGGATACTTAAATATGCCCAAATGTCACCAAGAGCAGTTTTGCATGTGGAAGGAATTGTATTTTTCAGACTGTAAAAACGAAGCAAAAAATTTAGAGACGATATTTGGTGATTGGTAATATGAATGACTTGAAGTAAGTTTCCTTTTTATATGCCCGAAAGGGCATATTATGTTATACCCCCTGGCGTCCGTCTGTCTGTCTGTCTGTCCGTCAGTCCGTATGTACGTACGTCCGTCCGTCTGTCCGTTAGCAATTTGGTTTCCGGAGCATAACTTAAGTTCCATTTGGCCCACAATGTTCAAACTTCATATGATGATTGTCCATATTGGGTAGAAGACCCCTATTGATTTTGGGGTCAAAAGTCAAGGTCACTATTACCTTAAAACTGAAAACAGTGTCCGGAGCATAACTTAAGTTCCATTCGACCCACAATGTTCAAACTTCATAGGATGATTGTCCATATTGGGTAGAAGACCCCTATTGATTTTGGGGTCAAAAGGTCAAAGGTCAAGGTCACTATTACCTTGATACTGAAAACAGTTTCCGGAGCATAACTTAAGTTCCATTTGACCCACAATGTTCAAACTTCATAGGATGATTGTCCATATTGGGAAGAAGACCCCTATTGATCTTGGGGGCACAAGGTCAAAGGTCAAGGTCACTATTACCTTGATACTGAAAACAGTTTCAGGAGCATAATTTAAGTTCCAATTGGCCCACAATGTTCAAACTTCATAGGATGATTGTCCATATTTGGTAGAAGACCCTTTATTGATTTTGGGGTAAAAAGATCAAAGGTCAAGGTCACTATTACCTTTAAACTGAAAACAGTTTCCGGAGCATAACTTAAGTTCCATTCCACCCACAATGTTCAAACTTCATAGGATGATTGTCCATATTGGGTAGAAGACCCCTATTGATTTTGGGATCACAAGGTCAAAGGTCAAGGTCACTATATCCTTAAAACTGAAAACAGTTTCCGGAGCATAACTTAAGTTCTATTTGGCCCACAATATTCAAAATAATAGGATGATTGTTCATATTGGGCAAAAGACCCCTATTGATTTTGGGGTCACTAGAAGAAAGGTCAAGGTCACAATTACCTTAAAACCAAAAACAGTTTCCGGAGCATAACGTAAGTTCCATTTGACCCACTATATTCAAACTTCATAGGATGATTGTCCATATTGGGTAGAAGACCCCTATTGATTTTGGGGTCACAAGGTCAAAGGTCAAAGTCACTTTTACCTTAATACTGAAAACAGTTTCTAGAGCATAATTAAAGTTCCAATTGGCCCACAATATTCAAACTTCTTAGGATGATTGTCCATATAAGGTAGAAGACCCCTATTGATTTTGGGGTCACAAGGTCAGAGGTTAAGGTCATTATTAATAACTTAAGTATTAATCAACCTACAACTGTAAAATTTTATAGGATGAACAGCTAATTCCCATGTCTTACAAATGCTTCATCCTTACTAAAAAAAACACTTTCGGGCATATAATGCTCCGCCTAGCGGTGCTCTTGTTTTTTATTACTTATGAAATTTCAGATATTTATCAATTTCAGCTTTGCTTTTCTCTAAACAGCCCTGACAATGTCAGAATTGTCAACAATAATAACAATGAGGTTCCACATGGGGAAAATCTTAAAAAAGTAGTCTCATCATTGAAAAGTGTGAAATTATCAAACATAATTTTCGCAGATAAATCATTAATCCACTGAAAAGCATAAAACAAATTGTTCTAATATATGATTGAATTCTTTTAAGATATTAATTGGAATAAACAGTACTCAATGGTAAGAACATAATTAAAATAATTAAAATTTCTTAGAATTGACAATTTGTTAATGATCATATCAATTATAAAACTTTGCAGCAGGAGATGATGTTTGAGTAAAATAATTCCTTTTCCGTTTCTTTTCTTAAAAATTTTTGATAATTACTTTCTGTTGTTAATACGTCATTATTTTTTATGTATATATTTTATTTGTATTTTTGGTCGGATTTTTACTACTCAGTATAGGTCATTCGGCGACTTGGCAGCTAACAGGTGGAGGAAGACATCAGATGCCACTCCGTGCATTATTTCAGGTTCGCACGAACGGGCACATGAGTAGGACCAACGGCGTTCCGTAAAAGAGCTGGATATATTCTTCAAAACAAAAAATCCTTTTTGAGATTCGAACTCATAGCGGTTAGTGACAAAGTGATTAACGGTCAATGACCTTAACCATTGGCCACGGACGCCCCTTGTAGCAGTTTAGGATATAGCTTGTTTTGTTGTATTACGTTAATTATTCATTTACTATTTACAGCACGCTCGTGTGCCAAGGTGCCAACAATATTACACGGTGAGGTACAATGTCTAAACGGTGAATATGTGTATGGTAATTTATGTGAGATTGTGTGCGACGACGGTTACCAAGTGCATGGGATGCACATTGTAGGTTGTGACACAAATGGGACTTGGGGAACAATGCCAGTTTGTAAAGGTATTTTATGTATAACTATAGCGTAACACTTGCATTATTTTTGACAAGAACTGTAATGAAATCTGGCCATTTTCATTTTGAATAATTATTTTTATCCCCAGACATACGCTATTGATTCGCCTTGCCGTCTTCTGAACGAACAATTAACCTATTTTTGCAAGCGAATGTATTTTAAGTTCTACCTGTGATAATACAAATACCATAATCCTGGCATGTTTCTGAGCCGTCACATTCATATTTCGTCAGTTAAATCCTTTTTCAGCACTGTGAAACTATGCATGGTAAACTTATTCAAACTGGTTAAATATATCATACGTTAAATATGCTTCCCTGCTTCATTTATTCATTATAAACATTATGATGTAAGCAAATCACACAGCCGCAGAACCCTATCTCAAATAGTCTCCAAATGTACATATCTACATAAGGTTTACTATATTTTATGAATTGAACGTTGTTCAACTGCAAAAAATATATATTTATTTACACACTTTCTTATTAATACAAAAGGCATGATCTTGACCAGTGGCATCCTATTTTAGCTATCTCCCTTTATGCATTTTGAAAATGACCGAATGGTATAACACGTTATACTTGTTTTCGAGTTCAAACATCATTGATGGTTCCGTAACACTCAATGCTAAGTACACGTGTGTTCAAGGAACAATCATTCATAAAAAGCGTACGGGAATGGAATTGCTTAAAGAACGCGACATGTCTTTCACGGGTTGGTGGTGAAAGGTTTTTCTTGCACAGATATAAACAGTAGATAATCCTGTCTGATATGCAAGAGTGTAGCGTCCTACACAGTCAAACTAAAATAAAGTCTGTATAAGATAAAACTGGTATGTTTTACCGATTCATATATGTAATGTTATGTTATCAATCATGCAAATGCTTCTTACTGTACATATTTTTTTACAGATATAACCTTCGCATAACCTTTGCAAATAGCATAAGCAGGTGCCAAATTATCACAGTAATCCCTTTGGATACATCTATAGAACAGGCCTAATATACCCCAGAAATGCTGTTAATTTTATGAAACAAAAAGTTTTTTTTCATTTCTTGATGTCATATGAGAGTTTCCAAAAAGTGTTCATTGGTCAATTACCTATAACATTGCTTGCTTATGTTGCATTTTGGCAATTAGAACAGTTTATGTTTTTTTTATTATCTTTATTATTATTATTGAAGGGAAGTCAAAACACTACCGTCTTTACAAATTGTTACTTTAATGACATATATTTTCGCATTAAGCGCTACTTTTTTCAGGTGATAAGCATCTAATATGCTTTAAAAAAATTATTGTGACGTTATGAAACTCATTTTTGCACTTTCTAACGAATAATTTCAAATCGTTTTTGAGCCATAATGTTCTTTTAACTATGATCCATTTAAATTTGTATTTATAGGTGAATCTTTACTATACTTAACTACTCAGAAGAATCCCTGCAAAATACAGGACTTAGCATCCTTTCATATTGCTGTGTCATTAGTCCCGTTCATAGCTTGGCATGTTAACTGTATTTTATTTGGGTTTTGGAACGAATTATGTAGATATATTTCCTGCCATGATTTTATATCACGCGAGTCGTTAGATAAATATTTATATTTGACATTTAAAAAGTACTTACATATCTAAATTTACGCTGCGCAACATCGTCACAGCGCATCCTGTTGACAACATGGGGTACCCAATGTGGAAATTTAATGTGTATATTACCTGTCTGGATTGGTTACATCAATTTCTTTCGGCGGATCCGTATCCCATCAAAAAGGGAAAGGTAATAAAATTGTTCGTAATGTGAATTTAATGAATGAGAAATAGTGTGTAAGCCCCAGATTCAAAATGACCAATAACAGGAGACAATATGGATCATGTAATCCCTATCAATTGATGAAAGGTTAAACTTAAAGCAGGAGCGAACGCTTTGATGTTTTCTCATATTTTAGCAGGTGCTTAGTGAAAAATACAAAATTACAGTTGGGAATTAAACTAAGTCTTATTGATTCTTTTATATATTCTGAAGTACACTTTTGTAAGCAATGAATTATGCAAGGATGACTGGGTTTTACTATTAAATGGTACTCATACCATACAGTAGGTTAACAATGTGTCGTTTGCAAGATCCATAAATGTATAATCTATGTGTTTTGTTTTTATCCATTTATCTCCCCTTCTTTAATAACTTGAATATTTTTCAACATTATCAAATTACAATGGAATGTCAATTTACATTTTCTTTCTGACAAGAATAAAATGCCATGACTTAAAGGTTTCATAACTGTGTCAACTTCATTTCTTGACAAACCTTCCTTGCTTAAATGACTGTGAATGGGAAACCTTTTAGACTTTGTAATGACAAAATGGACAAAGATTGTGTCAATGTACACAATGAAACAATGCATTTAACATATGCGTTTACATAGACATTGTCAGTTGCACCGTGCTTTTGGAAGATTGTTCACTAACAAGACTCAGGGCTTAATTGGAGTTATCTTTTCACCAAACACAAGTTCTTGTTTATGGTGCACGTATTTTTAACCTTTTTTGTTTTGTACACTTTAGATGTTCTTCCGCCAAGGTTCCTGACAGGCGAATGTCCCGATGACATGCAGGTTTATATTGACTCAACTAATAACACTGCAAAGGTTACCTGGGACGAACCACAAGGTGAAGATAACTCTAAGGAGCCTGTAACGATCACGGAAATTCACGGCCACAAGCCAGGAGAACGGTTGACGGCTGGTTCCCATACGATTAAATATACAATAAAAGATAAACAACAAAACAGGGGAGACAGTTGTGTGTTTAATGTTCAAGTTTTGAGTAAGTTATAACACAAACTACATTAACATATTATCAAATTCATCCTCTGCTGATATAGATTCGTTTCCTTTTGGCTTTGGAACTCAAAATACTTTTTAACTTTTCACTTTTTTAACATTTTTATGAAAGAATAAAAACAGATGGTAAAATCTTGACATATGTTCCATAAAACTGAATCATATCCATAAAATTGTTGAACATGTTTTAACAGTTATATAGAACAGAGTTTCAGAAAACATAACAATAGTTTTTATTTTATATTCGTTCAAAGCTTAAGGGTTTTATTGTTGTTGTTGTTGTTGTTACTTTTAGCATTAAGCTGTTCTCCTCCTAACCTCCGCGTGACAGGCGGGGATCATCTGAAATATGATTGTCCAAGTTACAACATTGGTGCCGAATGTACAATGGCATGCATGTCGGGATATCCGATGGGAGGAGTCACTAAAATCCAATGCTCAGCTGACAACAAAAGTAACCCTCCGAACTTAGACTGGAAATGGCAAGATGGCGGACTAGCGCCATTTTGTAAAGGTAAACATACGTTATCCATTCGCAACATTCCCTTCTTTCCACCATGTTTCGGTAGAATACCTCTAAGATATTTTCAGCTATGTTGCAATATATCTACGCGTTACTTGCCATTAAATGTGGAACCATTTTCTTGGGTTATTAAACCGTGAAAGTATTTGACTTAAATAATTATTTTTAGGAATCGCTAATTTTATTGATCATTCAACACAGAGTAAAAACAAACTCAATGTCTTCATATCTATGCTAATATTTTATATCCCTCTTAAAAGTTTATTACGAAATATAAGTCATCTTTCTCATGATGCTTAGAATATTCACGTGACATAGTACTGAATCACTTTAAATCAAATTCTCTAATTTTATCCATTTTGACCTCATATCTGCATTTTTTATCATTTTTTACATATTCTTATAATCACGCCTATAGGTTAAAACAGAAATGCAGATATCAAGTCATTTAAAACCATTAATGATTTTGACAAATGTTATAACTACACTTTATTTAAAAGTTCATTTCGAACACTATACCGTTTTCATATCATGCTTAAATTACAAATCTTTGTAATTTTTCAGAAACGAACTGTTCTAGAGATGCACTAAATGAACCTGTTAATGGCGCCTTGGCATGCGGCAAGTGGACTCATGGTCAAATGTGTCAGATGCAATGTGGCGCCGGATATGATATTCCGAATATTGGGGATGGTATGTTTGTGTGTGGTCGGTCTGACGGTAAATGGAGGCCCTCTGGTAAAGTGCCGGACTGTGATAGTAAGTAATAATGTAAAAGAAACATTTATATGCATGTATAATAAAAACTTCACGATGTCTGTAATATAGTGAGTCTCAATCAACCTAATTTAGCTAAAGAAAAATTTAATTAAAGTTCTTAACAAAACAATAAATTATGAATGATCTAGAAATCTGATCAATTCATTACAGTGTGACTTGTTAATATTTGTATTTTAGCCAAGCTTGATGTGCACAACATGAATCTTCCTAACGAATTTTACTACTTTACTGGAAAGTGCAATAGTTCAACCCAGAATTTGAATCAAATTAAGGAAAACTTTGTGCAAGCCCTAAACAGTTCTAAGTATCGGGAAGAATGCGTTGGTATCCCAGCATGCCAATCGAAGTTTGTGGACGTGACCTGTGGTCCAGTGTCATCCCGTCGTAAACGTGATTCCAATTCCCATGTGTACCGGCGGTCAGTATCGAAACTTGCCTACACATTGCGATTTGAATTCATTTTACCGTACAAACCGGTGACAGGAAAATCTGCTGATGACATAATTGCAGAAAACGAAGACCGGTTATACAAAATGTCAGATGTTATACAAAAAGAAGTTGATTCCGGACATTTTGACCTTCACGTTGGTGACCTCCATGTAGGGAATGATTCATATGGACCTGGAGTTCCTTCAATGGTGTGTCCCTCTGGCACTATTCCAAGAAAGGAATCTGCATCCTGTGGTAAAATTTCATTGTCGTTTTTTTTGAAGCATTTGAAAACTGTGAAATACTTTTTACATAAATTTTGAATTAAAACTATTAATTGCACCGCATTTTAAAACTACTTTTCTGTTAATTTTGTGTTCAACTGACTTCATTTTCTTTAACCTTATTAACTTCATGAACTTCATTAAAAGATTTTTTTTCTGTCTCTTTAAGTTGGTTGTCCAAAAGGCAGTTTTGCTAAGAAGAATGGTAGATGTGAAAAGTGCCCTATAGGAACATACCAAAACTTGACGAACTCTTTGAAATGTGAAGCATGCCCATCAAACACAAATACAACAGAAGTTGGTGCCGAGAACATCTCCCAGTGTCTGAGTAGGTGTATATTATATTCACACTCTGGTTTAGATGACATAGTCCCGTGTAAAAAAATATTCAGAATCAGGATCAACATAAGGATCAAAATTAAATTTCTATACTACATATTACCAAATTGTAAATACACGTACAATAAAAATTTGAAATAGTTCAAAATACAAACATAACTTATGAATGACAATGTAGTTATTAGCAAATTGCAAACATGTATTTTTGCCTTTGATCAGGGTCTTCCTAATAGAAAGACCCTGCTTTGATGTTATGAAAATCATCTGATATAAGATTTCTAGGTTTTTACTATTCACATTCTTTAATACATATTTTGTTTGAGGATTTTTTTAAAACAAATATTTAAAATGTGACGCATAGGGACACACACACTATACACAAACGCACGAACATTAAATTACTTAGCATTTAAAAGGTATAACAAAAAAAATCGATCTTACTCTACCTTTGCAGTTCTTAAACATTTATTTTTAATTCCAGGATACTGCGACGCCGGCGAATACTCACCAAACACTCTTGCTCCTTGCACAAAATGCTCTTGCAATTCATTCCAATCAAATCCAAAGTCTGTTAACTGCACCAAATGTGCTAGTAATATGAGAAGTTCGTCAGATGGAGCCACATCTGCAACACAATGTCAAGGTTAGAATTTATAATAGCTATTTTTAGAACACGAATGAATATCTGAGTAAAGGATATTAGCGTATATTGATGCTGGTTCTGATAATGACGTATTTTTCTCAGCGTCTTAATATATTTGATATGAGTAAATAATTTAAAGTTATATTTGTTCCCCAACATTTTGTTATGATATAAATAGTAATACTGATGATAAAGGTATCAATAATGATGATGATGATGACGATGTTGATGATGACGATGATTACAATGTTCACGTATAAACATTTTGTTTTGCAGAATATGATTTACAGTTGAGTAAAGACAAAACCAAACTTGAAAACAAGTTAACATACGACGTACTGACCATGTTTATGTGGGTTTATGTCACCAATAACAAGACAAATTCTGCTGTTGAATTTGAAAATTCTGGCAGTAGACAGAGCTTTGTTTTTAGATTTACACCAACAGTTTCCTTGGGGCAATCTCAGTGAGTGATAAGTTTACATTAAACGCTATTACACGAGAGCACAGTAAAGTTTTTTTCGAAGGTCTAGCAAATGATATGTATCTGCAAAGTTCCGTCAATCTATAAGACTGGACAAATAGATATACACTGTACATTGTGAATTGTATGAAAATGTCAATGTCAAACTATAAGAATATCGAAAAATAGCCACCCAATGGTAGTGTTGTTTAATTTTCTTCGAACAAAGTCGATATATTTTCTGAAGCAGTTAAGTATTATGAATGACACCATGAACATTTTTTAAAAATCTTCACCCATTGCAGCAAAATATATGTTTATTTTTTAGATTTATAATTAAAACATTTTTAAATTTGTAATGTTGCATTACTATTTGATTTCTTCCAGTGATGTTGTCAGTATTGGTCAGACATTACCGACATCAACTTGGACAAGCGTTGCTTTTAGTGTTGACAAGCCATCAAGTGAGGTCAAAGTGTACATTAATGGGAAGCTCTCCTATACAAACACTTCCTTCGCTGTTCCGAAGTCTCACATTCTTGAGAGAAACGATTTGATTGGATTTGATGGTGGTATGTAATATATTCTTATCAGTATCCTCGAGATCCTTACTCTGACCTTTGAGTTGAATAAAAACATAATAAACCATAAATATTAATATGTGCTCTTTTGTTTACAATTGTGTTGTGTTGAAACTATTCTTGCAATGTACTACTCGGATAATTTGAATTAGACAGGTTAGGGTCGTATAGGGATCTATTCATTGAATGCGTTTATTTTGTTACCGTCTTACCTTTATATATTCAATATCGGATGCTGATTGACAATGTATCAAAAAGTTTTGCACTATGGTTATTTTTTTTATCTTTCTTTTCAAAAGTCATATGAAAAAGTAATATCTTACAAATTGAAAACAGAAAAATGGTTGACAGATCAAAACAGTTTATCCAAAATATATTTGATTGTTCGAAATAATAAATTGCTTAAACAAATAATGTTTTTAGATATCAAGATTTCCGCATTTAGTGTCATTCCAAGGAAAGCAACACCTTCTGATGTCTCAACTTGGTCTGCTTCATGCACACCGTCCATATCTGGAACAATATATGCAATGGACGATCTGGTGGAGGCAGAAAATATTAAAGTCGTTATCCCATCAGTTTGCGATGGTTCGTTCTGTTAACACATTGCTCTACTATATATAGAGACTGCTTCTTTAGCCTATTCAATGCATCATGTCCATTGGTGACAATACGTGAGAAATTCAATATAACAGACCATAAATTAATTGAATTTTCTTCTCAATATAATCTAATTTTATTTCATTTACCTGTTAATTTAAAATGTTTCAAAATCCGAAACTTCGGCGTATATTTGTAATTACTGAAATATGTATGGAAAAGAGAGACATAAAGAATCTAAAAAAGAATGCTCAATACGACAAAATTGAAAATGTTGCAGGCTCGGTTTGATCGAGCCTGATCATGAAGTCAAACTTTCTCTGTTTTTGACAAGAATCATATGTTATGATTGTGGATGATAATTAGGAAGAAATTATTGACAATGTACAAGGATTGTCCTTAATTACAGCATTTGTTAAGATTTAAAGAATTGTGAAAGTTGTTTGATATTTCAGCTATCAATGAATGCACGAGCTCTCCATGCGGCAGTCATAAATGTATCAATAAACGTGGCGGTTATGAATGCCTATGCTCTGGTGGATTTAGTGGCAAACAGTGTCAACTTGCTCCGGATTATTGCAAGAATAATAACTGTAAGAATGGGGCAACGTGTATCAATGGAACAGGAAATTACACGTGTAAATGTCTCTATGGTTACCGAGGTGATATGTGCGAAATTAAAGCAGGTAATAATATATGTTTGAAAATGCAAAGAGTCCCATAATTAATAAGCGTAGTGGCTTAAAATAAGGAAACACCTTTGAAAAGCTCGCATCAGAACAAGTCTTTGAAGTATGTAGACATTCATCTTAGTTTTATGATAAGAGTACAACTGGTAGACTGTTAATACAAATTCTATATGTACATTAATAACAAGTCAGGTGACTATCTGACAGCAAACAGTTTAGACATATTTCATTATTATTCCAATGTACATAAGAAATGTTATATCATTAATAAAATGACTGTATGTTAGGTGTACTTTCCACTTACACCTATGTAGATACTTTGTAATAATTTTGATGTATGTACATGTAAACAGTTCTGGCAGTGTAGATTTTATTTTATTAAGTTGATGGCGAATGGTCTGCTTGGACAAACTGGACAAGCTGCTCAAAGTTATGCGGTGGTGGTATAGCAACAAGAACAAGAAGGTGTGATAGTCCTTCCCCAGATCCCGAGGGTAAACAATGTCAGGGAAATAGTAGCGAGGATACAGCATGCAACAAAGAAAAGTGTCCAGGTCGGTTTGACAATATACACAAATTCGTACACTTATATTTCTCAACAAAATACATACGAATATTTTGTCTGATAGATACCGTTGCCAAATGTGTTTTTTTACTTTTCATTCGTATATGTATTGTATTATTGTTATTGTTTAACAGAGCAATGAAATTGTATATAAAAGACATCAAAAGCTATAAATTCAAGAAATGACTAGACAAGTGTCATTAATTATACTGATTATTGAAATAGTTTAAACGGACAATGGGATTTATATTTATTAATTGACAGAATGCACGAGACAATGGGATTTAATTTTATTAATTGACAGAATGCACGAGACAATGGGATTTATATTTATTAATTCGCAGAATGCACGAGATTACGAAGGACATACGGGTTGATAATTACTTGCAACAAAACAGCGGAACTTCAACGCTGTTCTATTAACTGCAGAGCAGGGTTATATTTCACAAATGCGCCATTACCATATTATGAGTGCGGCCTTGCAACTGGCTATAAATGGAATCATCAAAATGAGAAAAATCCTTCAGGAAGACTGCCATCATGCACGGGTAAATTTAAAGCAAATTACAATTATAATTAAATGACATGCTCTTATAGAGCAGTTTTAACTGCAGTCCATTTAGAACTATGAACTTTTGTAAACGGAACATTCAAGATTGTGGCCCTGCTAGACTTCCAGTGTATCTAATTTTAAAAGTCTTGTAGTACAGATATTATTTCAGTAGGTTATTTTGGAGAACATGTATTTAATTTCAAATCATTCAGAACACTATTCCTTTAACTAGTGGTCATGAATATATTACTATCAAACTTTGTGATTGTCTTGATTAAAAACAAGTTACAGCATTTAATGATTTACCCATACTTCATGAACACCTACAGAGCTTGAGCCACCAGTAGAGATGGGTGTGAATTTTGAAGGCAAATACGACTCTGTCCCATGCACAGAGAGTAATAAGAAAACAGTTAAAGACTCTTTAGAAATTAAATTGTCAACTCTTGACTGTAAGAAGGCAGGCACGTGTGAAACTTCGATACAAGAACCGGTGTGTACCAGCTCGAAGAAGAAAAGATCTACTGGAAGCTCAATGACGGTGACTGTTGGATTACATGCAGCAGTCAATAGTAAAGGAAGCACTTTCAATATTGCAGGACTGTTGCAAAATAACACGGGTTTGTAAATAATGTCATCGTCACTCATTGTGAATTCGTTTAATATATAGTCTAGGATATGAAAATTTCAGTTATATGATAGATTGCAGTATCACTTATTCAGTATCACTCTATTGCACTAATTTGTCTTCGTCGTACTCTACGCAAACTCAGTTGGCATATTATAATCGCTTTTTTGTTAAATATAAAAATATGTGTATTACTTTGTATCTTAAATGCATTAATTGTATCATATAAAACATATCATTTCTCGTAGGAAAAGCCATAATCAATTAATTACGATAATTACTATCATATAATTTCCTTTCAAGAAACCTCAATTTCAACAGTGACTAGAGGTTAAACGTTATTTAGAAATCATTGTATATAAAAGTATAAACACCAATTATCCACAACTCTTCCTATCCAATTACGTTATGTATTCCATCAAGTTTCTTTTATTTGGCCGGGGAATATCTGTATTGTATGCAATCAACCTTAGTTAATCTGTTTTTGAAAGAAACCCGTATTGTTTATGGGCTTCCAGTAGGAATTTTAATGAATTTCATGAAAAAAAACTAATATTTCTTAACATTAGCGCCATCAAAAGAGTTGGCGGACTTTGTTAAACAGACACTCGAACTGGAAAAGTCAGCACAAACATTGATGAACAATTCCGTCGACTACTTCCAAGTGACTGTTGATGGAACGAAACATTCCCTTGCGACAGGTTCCTCTCCGCTCTCATACAAACCAGACATCCGTTGTCCTAGTGGAACTATACGCATCGAAGTATTTTGTGGTGAGTGGAGAATTCCTATAACCGATTGTTTTATTCAAATAAGACAACATTACTGTAAGGCAAAATATTGACATTCTTTCATACCATACAAGCATAAATTTTACTCTACAAGAATATAACTTTATCTTAAATAAGCTACTTTTAAAAGCAGAGTAACCAAATGTCTGTATGTTATTAATTGTATCATTATTCAAGAAGTACATTATTATTCTGCTTTGAGAACAAAAATGAAGCAATTATCAAACTTTTGTTTTGCACCGATTAATTTATTTTTGAAAATATAATTCAATTCCATCAATTATGGACAATTAATGTGTTAATAAATTTGAAGCTGTTTGTCCGGCGGGATCATATTCTGATGGTCGGATTGTTACAATGTGTCCTCGTGGTCAATACCAAGATGCTAAAGGACAGTCAGCTTGTAAACCGTGTCCATCCGGTAAAACAACGGCAGGAATAGGTTCCATCCTCATTTCAGAATGTTCAGGTACGTAATCATATAGACAACATTAATGTAAGAAATGCGATTCTCGAAGATTATATTCCGTGTTACATATTTTGTTATCCATCATGAACAGACTTATGACCTCCATTTTTCTTTGTTTTCATTTGTCTCTCGAGGAAACATTATAAGGAAATTATAATTAATATATTCATGTCATTACAAGCTCAAACTCAGATCTCTGATACTAAATATTTGATTGATCAAAAACTGGCACAGAATGTACTCTCACCAATAGAAAAGAGGGGATTTGAACTGGAGCTCTCATTAACTTATGATAATGTTGAGGTTAGATTCTTAAGTCACGTATGTATGAATAAATGGTAAAGTTACATAAGGTTTGTTAACCAGAACGTAGCAATAAATCCACTTGATTCTGTTATGACTTAGCTATAGCCTTAAGGTATGAAGTGATATATTTTCACACATGTTATTTTGTACTTTTAGTTGATGATAAAACTAACATTGGACAGTCGGCCAATCAGGGTAAGTTCGAAAAGTTGGTATATGTATTTAATCAGTTGTTACGCTGAGGTCCATAAACACTGTCGTATTAATCTTCCTTAGTTCTTCTTAAAACACACTCTTTCTATTTAATCTTAATCAAACTGCAAATTTTAAAATACTTTTAGAAACGTTTTCCGGACTATGGAAATAGAATATATTTCTATATTAATATCTAGGCTACGTGTATTTTAATGTCACATTACTTCCCCTTACTCGAATAGAAAGAAAATAAATTGGGGCATTAGATTGCTAAGTGAAAAACAACATTTAAAAGTAAATGGAGAAACATTTATGTCACTTTTAAAGTGTATAATTTAGGAATGAACTTTTTACATACATGTTTATTGATATAATTAATAATGCTTGTATAAAGTGTATAAATTCTATAGGCGGTGCAAGCAAGACTGTTCAGATAGTAGTGGGTGTATCTGTGTCTATGGCTTTGCTAATCCTAGCTGCAGTCGGTGTTCTGTTGGCATGTAAACATCTAAATAAAAAGTAAGTTTTTTTTCTACAAATGTCTTACAAACTATACTTACATATTTAAAATAAATAAAGTTTAAATAAAAAACAATAGCGTATCATTGAAAAAGATGTGTAAATTTTTCGTTCCAACGTTTTGTTTACTTTCTAAATGAGACAATAGAAGGTACAAATTCCATCAAGTTCATGTAACTTTAAAACGGATTTAAAAATACTTCTAAAAATACTTCTAAAACAATAAAAATATATCATTTGGATATTCTTATAAAAACATTTTTGAAAACAAATGTTGGTAGGGTTCTGAGTGATTTAGTATGAACATAAATATGATAAGTGATAATATAAATATTTTACTAGAACAATTTATTATCTAATACATGTATTTTCATATGTTATATCAGATCGTGCATCTCCCTCTCATCAATAACATTCATATATATAATTTATACAAGGTGTGTTGCGACGTATCATACTCAATATTACCAACATAATAATTTATGATATATCAGACCTACCATTATGGACCAATGTACTTTAAATTTTGAATGTTTATTTTGTAGAAAAAACACTGTTAACGACAGCAGCGTAGATTTACACACACCAGGGTATTTCCACATGCCTAGCAATCCTATGTACGAGAAACAGACGCTGTAGACTACGGGTATTTCCACATGCCCAGCAAACCTATGTACGAGAAACAGCCACTGTAGAGTACTACCAGATACCGACGTTAAATTAGACTGTGATATTTACATTTTTTAACATACAGTGATATTTTCATTTGTTTGCGATTGTTTTTAAGTAATGCTTTGTTTCGATTTGTTATTATCATCTTGCTATATATTCATATTGAACAAAAATATAAATTTTATGGTACATTTGCAATGGGCTCAAGTTTCGACTATTTTCCTGTCAATTTATCCGTCCGTATAATTTTGTTTTAGGTCTATTATTGCTATGTCAAGTAATATTAGTAATCATACTTTAAAAAAATCTAAATATAAATGGAATGAATCATTGAATAGAATCTATGAAATCATAAAAATATATTGTGTACCCTAGTCTGCTGTCTAACGTTTTTTGTGACGCCAGTTTCTGCAATTTTCATCTTTGACGTTGTTTATATAACACAGCTACGAAACATTTCATAATATTCATTTCTATTTAATAGTATCGTATAATGTTAACAATTATTTGTAACTTGGAAACATGTGTTTTCATAGCGTAGAAACTCGTAAACAACATCTTTTTAAGTTTTTAGTTTTATTCTATAGCAATTTAAAATAAGCAAGAGTATTGTTGTTGTTTTTTTTGTTGTTGTTTTTTGTCCATTTTTAAATATTTCCCACGCATCGAACTTGATTTGTAAGAATATGGAAGTTGTAAAAAGAAATATCTGGAAGGTATCAACTTCTTTGATTTTTTAATTATTTATTGTAGTTTTGTTTTATCTTAATAAATGTATTCAAATTATCGCCTTTCTTTATTCCTTATACATTTTTACAAGGATGATATTTTCTCGTACACCGATCTTTAGATATAACACTAATTAAGGAGAAAAAATCTATTTTAAATAAGTATCTTAAAGGTTAAGAGTCATTGGTATTCTTTGAGACATATGGAAACAATTCGACGTGATATTTATGTAATAGAATAACAAAATAACACTGCAATGCATGATGAGGAAGATTTCGCATAGGATCAACTTTTTGTGTGTTTCCTTCTTTTTGGCTGTAAGCATGTCCTTATTTGAAGGTGTTTTTTTTATTCCATTTTATCAATATAGGGTTAACAAAAGGTGACCCTTATTTTCAAGGTTATCTTTATGCAACGGTGAAGTTTAATACAGGTTTAACCGTTACTAGACGGTTGATTAAGAATCAAATGATAACAAAACGCTTTATTTGCAACGGTTGCATTTGCAGTTATGGCCTAAAGATAATATATAAGTTGTGACCACAAGGTAATAAGTTAAATGAATAATTAAATAAATTTGTGTTCATGAAGAGATGTTGTTTTTTTCTTCCATTTATTATAAAATACAGAAGGGAAAAATAGTACTGTTGTCGGCAGGATTTGAACCTGCGCGTGAAGATCCCAATGGAATTTCTGGTCCATCGCCTTAACCACTCGGCCACGACAACTCGCTTGTGATAAGCTTAGCTATCGATATGACCAAAAATCATGTTTAAATCGACATTAAAACTTAATAAACTAAGCTTGAAAACAGAATTTATCTCCTCAGTTTTTACATGTAGATATGTGCCATGATATGCTGCACTTTACTGCTTTGAAATAAAAGGGGATGTAATAAGCTTTGAAATATAGCCTAGGTATGTTGGCTGTAATCTGTCATATAAATCTAAAATCAAATGTGAATGCCTTTACAGATTGCAGCAATATTCAAGAAATGTGATTTTCAAGACATTTTCTGTGTCAATGGCATAACTATACATCATAAGTTGTGAAACTTGGCCTTCCGAGTTCACTTTTTACCCTTACATATACAGTTGAAGTTTTTAGTTTAATATTATTTCCAGTTTCATGGATATATGTTTTGATTTCAGAAATATTCTAGAAAATGTACGTTTCAGAGTATCATTTAGTAAAAGGGAGCCACAACTCAATACAAATATGATTTATTAAATATGACATTATTTAGTGTTGTAATATTTTTGGCCCGTCGGGATCATTGATTCAGGCACTTTAGGTGTTGGGAATTGAGTACCGATTAAGCCGGTGCTACGGGGCGTGAGGAATATTGCATTTTATCATTATCCATCACTTACAGACTCGGTCAAACCGACTTGGCAATTTTCATGTTATTTTGTTGTAATTAATGCTTTGGAGAGATCACCCCTTTTTCAGAATTTTATAATGAGCACGTTTGTCCAGTAACGCAGGAATATATGCAAATAACGCAAAAGTAACGCCATATCTGTGCAATGCTATGGCTAAAATAAGTAACACTGTAAGTAAACGGTGTAAACCAGATTAAAAGAAATGAATAAGCGCCTACGGCTGGTATAACATACTTTAATCAGCGTTACAATTTTTTTCCAAGAATATGTTAACTTTTTAATGCAGCAAACCTCCAGATTCATGTTAATTTTCATAAAAGTTTTAGAAATGTATTTAAAAGTAAAATATTGTGAGGTGAACAAATAAAGTGATTTACATTTTACAATCGGCACTTAAAATCCACGAACATTACCAAAAATTGGTCAACATATGCAAAAGCAGTCGTTACTGCGTTAGTAACGCAGTAGAAATATGGTGATGAAAAACTGCAAAATCAGTGTTAACCCCACATAGCATGTAAACTATAACTTGGATCTTGAATAATTTTACCTTTCATAAAAGTTTAGTGCATTTTTCTCAATGATTTCTTGAAATATTTTGGCTCATATGTAGACGTGCAGCTTTAAGATCATTCGTGAAAATGACGACCTGGTGACTGCATTGAAGGCGACTATTGTGTCTAAGCATTAACGCATATAAAACTATATTTTCTTCTTTTTAGGCATACCTTAGACATTTGCCAAACTATTAGTAACTATGATTCTACGCATCATTCACAAATTCTGTGTTACCTCGTAATAAATTTGCTAATTTAAGTGTATAATATGAGCCGACTTGTTTGACAAATGCCTCAGAAACACCAAAAAAAAAAACATAATGTAATATACGTTATTGCATTTAATGATATCAACGAATCACAAAAGTCCCATCCAATACGCTTATATAATTGCACAATCCCTGTGTTAATTTTGCACATTTCAGCGTTCCTGGACATACACGTGTCTTCTGGAATATATTTTCAAATTTATATATGTATTGATTTCAAAGATACTGAACAAAAACAATTACGACGGGACGGAAAAACAAGTTTGTGACTCTTATATAGCCTCACCAAATCAATTTTTGGTAGAAGTATAATAATTAAGGTTACAATGTTAGAGGGTTATTAATCTGGTAAACAAGTTTTACATCTTTTGTTTCAAGTTATTTTAACTCTAAAACAAACACTTTCAAACAAGACAAAATATGGGTAGATATACATATTAATCATGACCGATCCCATCACATTATGCTCTAAATTTTTAGTCACGGCCTTCCAATGACTAAAATGTCAAACACATAATTTAACATTTTATTAACGTTTATTTCAACTGTTGTATACATAATATATATTTTATTATCACAGTTTTAATTAATTTTAACATTTACAAAAGCAATACATACTCCTGTCATTTAACCAAACTCATTTAAAAATGACTTTTAAATGACAATTCATATACTTTAGTATAAGTAAACATTTTTTAGGAGAATCTACAGTATGTAATACTATGCAAAATATTAAAATAGTTTTTAAAAAATCTTCATGTTTATAAAACATGTATATAAATAAAACATATACAATGAAAAATGAAAAATGTCAACAACTTTGAAAGCGTATTGACATGGCACTTTCATTAAACAGAAATCACTGCTGAAGGATCTGGCGGAGGACTACGATAAGATTATTACTGATGCCGCCCGATCAGTTAGTGGTGCATGAACATACCATTTTGGTATATTGCGTTGTGTGTAAAATGACTGGTGCATAACGACCAGAACAAATATTAAAGTTGCTGAATGTCATAACAAAGGTGAATATAATTTCAGTAAATAAATACGAATGGTAGTCACACACTGAACTGCAAAATTAACTCTTTGTTATGTTTAAAACACCCTCACAGACTGTGGATCAACACAGAACACAATTAATTTTCCTATTAAAATGAATACACATGCTATAAATATCATGTTCCATTGATGAAATGTTTAGTTTTTGAACCGAAGCTTGTCCTAAACTGATGTTTATGTGTATGCACTATTTCAGCAGTAATAAAATATAATTGCATGTTTCTAAAAACTTATGTTTCAATGAAACATATTTATAATAGATAATCATTGAACTTTCATTTCAACTTTGATCTCAATGTTTCATAAGCCCTGATATCACAATTCTGGCTCCTTTTCAATTTAGTTCCTCTGTGAAGGTTTACTATTTGTTGGGTAAGCTCGGGTAACAATGCAAGTAAAGTGTTCAGTTTTACCAGCATATCCCCTGTCTTTATACCCGGGCCTTTCTTCATCTTGATCAACTCTAGCTTGTACACCTGCAAGTTAACAAGAAAAAAATTAATTCCTCATGCGGCTTACATTTCACCTGATCTCACTGTTACTCGTGCATTTTAGACAACCAAAGCAATATGGGGACATTTTCTGAAAATAACGTCATAACCAAACTTTAATCAATTGGTGCAAAAGTGCATGATTTAGCAATTTCAGACATATTGCAATTTAATTTAAGAGGCAAATGTACGATACATTGGCAATGCAAAAGAAGAATATGTATGACTAAATGATGTCATCTTTGTTAACAAATACCCAGTACATTCATAGTAATCTGTTTTATTAAACATTCAAAGATATCTGCTTGAATTTTGGCAATTAAAATACGTATATAATTTTAGAATAACAATGTGCAGACTAACAATGTGCGTGTTTGTTTGGGATGACCTACGCATAGTTACTGTGACGTATAGTTACTGTGATGGGAAAAGATACATTTCTTCATTTTATATATATATACTGGTTGGGGAGATAACTTCGGCTGGTTGATAAACTCGGCTTTTTACAATTAAATCGAGTTATCGGAATTTTTAATCTAATCAAGCTCACCATCTCATACTATCGCTGGAACTCGACAATATCTGGAAATTTTGTCAAGTTTGGTAAGATATTTAAAAAATAACACAGACTTTTACCTGTTTGTTTACAAAACATGCCATTATAAGTACGGGAATCCCATTGTTGTGCGCATGTGCAGCAGATGCTCATTTTGAGGCCAGCACAGGGGTACTTTTATATATTGACCGACTACCAGTAATGCAGACGAGGTTTACGTATACATTTTGTAAATGAAATTCAGACTCACTTTTTTCTTGCTAACTCAGATAAAAGGCTGATTACACAATTGTAATCTTTAAGTGGAATGGATTGAAAGACTGATGTTAAATGATCATTTTATATGTTATTGTGTAGGTTGAATACCACTAAATTAATTTCTTCTGCACTCCGTTAAGCTAAGCAAATATAAATTTGAATCAATAATTCTTTAACTACATATTTCGTTATACGTTATTAAATGATAATGCAAGTGTTTTTACGTAAAAATGATTTATATGTTACATAGTACGTTGCATATAAATATCGTGTTATCATAGATATTCATTAATTTATACTAATGTAATACTCAACAATTTTTTTAACAAATATTTTTTATTTGACATAAATGAACAGCAAAGAAATAATAATATGTCTAAAATGTTATTTTACGTTTTAACTTACTCATTTAAGAAGAAAAACAAAAAAGCCGGAATTATCTACTCGCGCGCGTTAAAAACATCCTTTTTACGTACCTCTTCCAGGGCCTCTCAAAATTACCCGTTATGTTTCTAAATATAACTTTTATGGTGATACCGGAAAATCGAAGAGCTGAAGTTTATTATGGTGCAATATTCATCAAAATACGTAAACAAATAAATGAAATATGCCCCCAAAACACTGATTTTCGGCCGAGTTTATCTCCCAAACCAGTATAGTAAAAAAATCCATGTAACATCTAATAATTTATTTCGTTATTACTTACAACTATAAATAAAAACCAGTCAGTAACATTATGAAAAAGTTTGTACTTCAAAAATTAACATAAAATAAAGAAAATAATATAAGTAACCTGTTCCCATGTGCTGAAAGACTTGACAAGTGTTTTATGTTTCTGTAAGACGCTCCTTGGAATCGTGCATGCCGAGACACAACAGTCTTGAGTGAAAATGGTCAATGCATCCTTCAGTGGTGTGTATTTATACCCGTTGATGTACACAAATGGTAGAACAAAGTCTTGAAAATGTGCCATTCCCCCAAGCTGAACATGATCCTCATCTTCTATCATCTGATACCTGTCAAATTGTAAGTACAAATTATGTTTCCTATATCAATTTTTAAAATCATGCATGACTGGGTGAAAATATCAACACGCTCTCAGTCAAATCTTCATAATATCATTAAATGTAAATGGTGGTTTTGGTGTTGGCAGTTTAACCTCCGGATAACGGCAGTAAGCCACATTAAATTCATGAGAGCACAGTTCCGCCACCGCATTGTTCCTGGACAGGCTTTCAAGCAGTTTACCAATACTTGTTGCCGTCACTTCAATGAGGAACTGATGGCTCCTGTACATGCTAGAGAAGTGGTCCAATTCGAATGACCGTAGAAAGGATTTCTTGATAAAATACAACAAAAGTGACTTGCAACGCCCGGGAATCGACCCAAACGCTATACCTATTGAGCTATCCGGATGGGATGCAGTCTTTTTATTAAAAAATATATATATATATCATGAAACACTACCTACTCATTCAACCCAACCTCAGCATATACGGAATACAATTCATTCAACAAATCTAAATGAATGTAATGAATGAATGTAAATTGTTATCATTCAAAACCTTTGAAAAGTCAAAATCTACCTTGATTTATGTCAAACAGTGTCCACGCTAATGTTAGCAGTTTTAAAAGGTATATCATAATTAGAGTTATATCTCACTTTTCATAGGGTATATAATTTAACACTGACATGTATATTCATAAGAAGAACGAAATAAAGAATTATGTTAACGTGCCTATAGACTTAATATGTTTACCTGCATTTATTGAGTAGATCTTCAATAACCACTCCTTCATCTTCCTTGTGAATATCATCAAGAGAACCTGTACCTTCTAACGCTTTCTCTGCGTCACTCAATGCTTTGGTGATAACTCTTTCTCCGTGCACAGGTACGGCCTCAATCACATCCGACAAATCCCCTACTGTAGATGCATCTACACTGTAAAACAAATAGAACAAGAAATAAACAAACCCTCCTTAAAATTCTCAATAAAACATAATTTGGTGTGTTTCCGACTTTTTCCTTATAACTTTTGAGCTGTTTTGAAAGATAGATGCCCTACACAGTAACATCGGTTTCAGTTGTTGGAACAGATGTCTCATTTTGTCTGAAAATATTAAAAAACAGGCTCAGCATTAACTTTGTAAGTTACTTGGTCTTAAAAGTGGTCATTTAACGCTCACTCACTTGCATAAGCTAGATAAGTAAAAACGCTATTGAAAAGGTAAATTATTAATCAGTTGGCATATATTACTAGTTTAAATTAACTTAGTTCAATGTTACATGTATGCTGTTTCTAAATGTGGGAAAATGTGATAATACATGCGGATGCCGTCGAATAAATAAATAACTTTAAAAGCGTAAAATGTATTATGTTTCCTCAAAGACAGGATAAATTGTACTTAAGTATTTAAATTATTCTCCAACTCTAAGAAACCCTCAAAAACGATTATTATTATTATTTGTTCAAGACAAATTAAATAATAACACTTATATATACAGATTGTATTTATACAATTGGTTATACAAATTGCAGGTGGATATATGATACAATAGTCAAAATGCGATACATTTGGCATGTGGCGCTAGCCTAGAGATCTATAAAGGATGTTATATAAAATTGTAGCAATAAATTAAAGATTCATTAAAATTTTTATCAAAGTTGGTGAATATTTAAAACTAATGTTAATTGAACGAAACTAAAATGAACAACATATAACAATGAACAAAACGTACAATATTTAGAAAACTGCAAATTAGTAAAGGTATGAACTGAAACACATCCAAACCTTTGTTCTGTTGATATTTCTTTTTCTGTCTTCAACGAGTTTATATTTGAATGACGTAGAATTTCATAATACCGTTTCTGTGTTTTTATGAAACCTTCTGCTGCCATTGCTTCCTCTTTCTTTGTCATCTGCTCCTCTTCAGAATTTTCATCTAAAGTTACATCTTTCACAACTCTCTTCTTCTTTCTTTTCGCCTTTCTAGTTCTTTTACCTTGAGCATCATCACAGTATTTGACTTTTTCTTGCTTCATTCCAGCTTTTTTACATGTTTTTCTTCTGATATTTTCTTCCGATTGTGTGCAGCTAATGTCAGAATAAGAACTACTCGATATCTGTGATTTTTCACTGCCAGTTACATTTTTTATGTTTTTTATAGTTTCAGATTCCAGTTGTTTTTCTTCATTTTCAACCATATTACTTTTTATTTTGTTTTCAATTTCATTATCATCTTGTGAATGTTTTGAACAGAACTCTCTCACAATACTTTTTACTTGTTCTTCTGATTGTTTGCAATTTGAAGGTTTGATATTCAGCAATTGGTCTTTTCTTTCCTTTTTCTTATGCAGCTTCTTTTTCCACTCATGAATTGCTGAGCTGTTTTTAATATTATACTTTCTTTGAATTTTTTTTCTAACGTTTTTTAATGACACTTTACTTTTCTTTCCTGAAGACATTTTATTGAAAACCTGATTTATGTATTTTCCATGTTTAAACTTACAGTTAGGAATATTTGTTTCACTACATGCTTTTTGTATTGAAGTATCACTATTACTGCCACTATGGTCAGTAAGCGCATGAAATTCATCCATATCAGGCTCATAATCAACATCGTCATCATCATAATCACCATCCTCTTCATCAGTATCATCAATATCACCATCATTTTCGGTGTCATCTTTCAATTTTAGATTAACAGTACATTTGTTGTCTGTTGATAAAATTTTCAACGGCTTTGTATTGTTAACTTCTTTAGTCTTTATATTTAAGTCTTGAGTAAATTCAGGCAAACTGTCATCAGATTTTGAATTTATATCTGAGTCATTGTTTTTCGATTTACCTGATAGCGTAGTTCGTTTTGTAACTTCCTGAAAGTAAGCATCTATTTCACTTCGAGATGGAGAATACTCAGATGTTACTTGTTTGGAATAGGCAGGTTCACTTCTAATAAGTTTCTTTGTCTTCTTTGCTTTTGTTTTCTTCCTGCATTTTCTCTTGGGTCTTTTGTCTTTGGTATATTTTCCAGAATATATTTCATGTTGTAGATTATGTTGCAATTCACCGCTCTTTTCTTCAAAAATGACGTCCACATTATCCCCTCCTTTTGCATCATGTATTTCTTGATTCGAATTTATAAATATTTCACATTCTGGAAACATTTCAAGTCCATTTTCGAGGTCTTGCTGATCCAAGTCATTTCTGTTCCCGACATATACTTCTTGTCCACAATCTGTCTCATCAAGGAAGATATCACTATCGCTATTGTCATTTGTCGTGACATCATTCGATAATTGCCCTAGCTCAGCTTCAATTATAAAGTCATTTGTTCCTTTGTTCTCATTATATACGAGACAATCAACATCTGCAGCCAATAAGTCTTCATCTTTTTTATGCATATCTGTACCCTCCGCTTCTGTCTCTAGACAAATGCAGCTTTCGGAAATAGTTTGCGTAATTGGTTGATGCATTATGGGTTCAAACATGACAGGCTGACAAAAATACACCTCATTGAAGTTTTCCAATGTGTACGGCAGCTTATCAGATAGATATGATTCAGTTTCACAAGCACTCGAATCAATCTCATATCTCATTTTCTCTTCTGTCTTAACATTAAATTTACCCTCATCATAAAATGAGTCAACCATTATTTTGTCAAAAATACCACCATCAAAGCTGGCGTTTGTAGCAGCTGGCAAATCATACGCAGCAATAGTAAATTTTTTAAAATCAACACAGTTTCCTCTACTTCCAGCTATATCAATTTCACTATTATCATTTACATCTCTTTGTGTAGCGTTAGAATTAGTAGTATTCAGTATATCATAGTCAGGAATTTGTCTGTTAACACTTTCATCATCCCTTTCAAAAGTGCAGTTTAAACGTTTATTCTTGATAAGAGCTGAATCTGTATCAATGTTGTTACATTCATCTTGGTCAAGATTTTGGCTTTGCACATATACTGTTGAAACATTAGGAATCTCAATTTGTGAAAACGTATCATCAGGAGCGAAATGTTCAAATTTCAACTGATCATTTTCTTCAGATGAATAAAAATTTTCCTCTATATCTTTTTTTAAAGTCATATTTTCATTTGATACTTTGCATTCTATACCATTTATGTCAGCATTTGAAAATTGGAGATATGGTTTACCAAGATATTTTTCTTCTGAACCTTGACAAACATCTACACTGAGGCTTGATGGACTTTTTAAAAATGAAGAATCTAAAGTATATAAACCTAATTCGTGTGTATCATACAACGTTATAAAAACTTCTTCCCTATGTACTGTACTATCAACAGTCACAGAATCACTATCATCACTCTGTTTCTCTAATTCCTTGCCCATACCCTTATGATGTTCTTTCATCAGATCGATGCGCTTTCTTTGATTAGATATTTCATAATTATCATTTAAACAATATCCATTATCCTTGTTACCATCTTCAAAATCTTCAGAAACCTCCGAAGCTTTTCCATAATGGCCACTTTCATCCCTTTTGCTTATTACAACTGGTATTTTTGAAACATTCGCAATGTCAAGCTTGGGCTCTTCCATGTTGTAAACAGAAGAAACTGTGTTTGAATTTTTTTGATCATCAACTAATCTTGAACCATAATTCTTTTGGTCATTTGAATTGGCTGCTTTGGATAAAGTTACAAGCTTTAATGATGATGCTTGTTTTGATACACATGATCTTAGCATACTTGTTTGTACATTACGTTTAGGGGATCTTTTCGATTCAACAGCCTTTGGAGATTTTTCTATAGACAATCTTCTTAACGCTGTAAGAATTGTATTGGTGCAATCATCTTTTTCCTTTTGAGCTTTATTTTTTGCTCTTGGAAATATAGTTGGTTTAGTATTTTGAAAATATGGTGATCTCTCAAAATTTACATGACTAGCAAGACTTTTCTTTGTTGCAACATCTGTATATGACTTTGTATTAAGAGGTCCTCTACTTGTTATTTCTCTATGTTTTACCACTTTACCTTTACTTAAACCATTACAGCTTTTGAGTCTACGTTTAGAAGTTGTTGTAAGTTTGGAATCAATACGCCCATTGGAACGTAGGTAACGTTTATTTTTACCATATACTTTTGGCATAGAATATTTGTATTGGCATGTTAATTTATCTTTATCTGGCTGACCTTTAATGTCTGTATTGTCAAACATGTATCTGAGGAACTGAGTGTTCTCTGTACCTTTGACAGATTGTGCAGAGTTCCAATATTTCTTTTTAGAGAGTTGTTCTTGTATCCTTCTTTTTTCTTCTCTTCTTTCTTCTATTATTTCTTGAAAACTTTTCTTTGAACTTGTTTTCCGGTTGTCTACAGCAGACTGAAGAAAAGACTTAATAATTTTTTGATATCTTTCTTTTTCTTTTCCAAGATTTTCATTCCTACTATCATCAACAAAGTTTTCTTCTTCCAACACCCCTTTGTCCATTTTATCTTTCAATTCTGTCCTTTTAATTTTCTGCTTTGTTTTACTCTTTATATGTTTAGACATCCTAGTTTTATCTATTAAGTCTTCTGATGCCTTTAGAATATTTTCAAAGGTTGTACCTGACAATTTATCTTCTTCTAAACTTGACATACCTTGTGTTTTATCTTTTTCATCCGATATTTCTTTAACTTTATGCATGTTATCAGTATCTGTACAATTTCTTTCACATAACAAGTGCTGTGAATTATCATATGTATCTAAAGAGCAGTGTTCGCTATCTATACATTTGTCATTTTCACATAATGCTGATGGCAGGAAAAACTGAGCATCTTTTGGAATCAACATATTTCCAGACACAGGGTAATATTTAGCATCACTTGGAATCTTATAGTATAATTGTGCTTCTAATTTGGCAAAGTCCTGTCCCATTGTTTTCTCCTGTTGATTATTGGCTTCAATATATTTGCTTTTATCATTTGCCAATCCCTGTTGTTTTAATCGTTGACAATTTAGAAATGCCTGGTGATATGGTTCTATTCTATCATCTTCATTCTCAATTGCTGCAGAAGATGAAGCATTGCCGGAAACCTTTTGTAGTTTAGTGTTTTTAGAAATAGTTTTCGTTAAGGCTTGAATGTTATTCACAACATCTTTTGACTCAACTCTGCCTGTTGTAACAACAAAGTCTTGATATGAAGAAAGCTGATTTAAAGCTGAAGAATTATTGTTCTTTTTATCTTTAGGATAGAAGGGCTGGTTGAATGCGGTATTGTCAGTGTTCAGATCTGTATGACATTTCAAAACATCGGTACATGTTTTCTCCATTGTTGTGAAGCTTAAAGTATATTTGGCTGTAAATTGTTCTTCGTCAGAACATTTTGAAATGCCGGTTTGATCAGACTCTGGTGAAGAACTCGATATAATCTTATGTGGAGAAGTCTTTTTATTATCATCAAGAACTGCACTAGCATTGTCGCAGGCCTTGACATTTCTTACATATTTTCGGTTTTCATCAGACACAGATTCCTTACAATCATGAACGCATACAGGTCTTGAATTCATTTCAACATGGTCTGATTGCTTCACTATGACAGATTCTTCAGTCTGAACTGGAAGTGTTATATTCTTTGTAGGTGACGCATTAGTGTATCTGAATGTTTGTCGATCATTATGCCCAGTATCAATAAAACCATCGTTTTGTATTTGTTTTGATTCAACAGTCTTTTTAACATCATCAAGAACTTCATAAGCATTGTCGCATGCCTCGTCATTTCTAACATATTTTCGGTTTTCATCAGACACAGATTCCTTATAATCACAAACGCACACAGGTCTTGAATTCATTTCAACATGATCTGATTGTTTCACTATGACAGATTCTTCAGTCTGGACTGAAAGTGTTACATTCTTTGTAGGTGACACATTAGTGTATCTGTATGTTTGTCGACCATTATGCCAAGTATCAATTAAACCAATGTTTTGTATTTGTGTTGATTCAACACCAGATATATAGCCAACAGTATGGTTATTTGGTTTCTTGCAAGTTGTTGAATTTGGCTGGGCTATTATTCTTGTTACTGACTGGCTAAGGGTTGTCGGAATAGGTTTTGTCACTTGCTTTTGTTTAATTTTTTCACATTCAAGTTTAACAGACTTTGGTTTTCTCGTTCTGGCAAATTCATCATATATATCCGGCGTCAAAGATGAGGAAGATCCAAAATGTTGGACGTCGTACTGATGCTCTTGTCTTAAACGATCTGTGCCTGATCCTGTCCTGCTTTTATTTGTACCCGTCTTTGACATCCACAAAGAACTTGGATTTGCTGAATTTTGGGTTCTGCAAATATCTTTGATTCCTCCTGCATTCTCGTTATAAAGGGTTTCAGCCTGAATTTGTTTATCACACATTTCTGGTGTTGCACGATCTCTTGAATATAATGCACACAATGCAGTTTTAATTGATGGGCCTGATTGATTGACTGGTGAACTATAAATGCTTGACATTGGTCGATATGTACACATTGTCTTTCTCCTCGCAAAATCAGCTGATTTTATCAGCCTACCTGAAGGAGATATATTCCTGCTTTGATCTAATTCATCTTTCCACATAGTTATCCGTTCTGTCATGAATTCTGATGTGTTCAAGTCATTTACTCTGACATGTTTCTTCATCGCTTTTCCTTCAGCAGTTAGTGGTTTGTTTTCTGTCAGATTTCCAGGAGCTGACAAAAATGCATAACTTGCCTGCTTATAAATACCATTTGCTATTTCCTGTTGAAGTATTCCATTTTTATTTGGGGTAACTGAGTTAACCATAGGCTCAACTGTTTTATCATCAAACTTGCCTTGTTGATCTTGTGTTCCATGCATTCCACGTTTAAATGAACCTATCCAATTTTTCTGTTTGCCTGCTAGAACAAGAGATTCATGGCACTGTCCCGCATCAAACTTTTTAGGAAAATACTTCAAACCTTTTGGAAATTGGTCTTGAAACTGGGGAGAATGGATTTTTAATAATTCTCTTCTATCTTTTATGGATTGCAAGGTGTCAACATTTTGCTTGGCAGCTGTATTTCTCTTTGACACAAGTGGTATTTCTGGATGAATTTCTCCAGGAATATTTTCACTGTACAAATCAGTACTTTTTGGTGTGACTTGGATACCATCTGCATCAGGATATTCCATGCTTGCTAAATCATAAGGAGACACTTCTGACATTGGCAGTTCTACTTTCAATTTAATGTATTGTGCACCTTGACTTTTTACTTTTTCCCTTGTGTCAACATCAGAACAAATAGAGCTATCTTTTTCATTAGATTTTGTCTCAGAGGTATGCGATTTACCAGAAATAGATTGTTTCTCTGACTTTGCTTTTCCAGAAGCAGAGTTATTGATATTGACAGTTAATACTTCTTTACATGTCATCTTTTTATCTCGAGTTCTATTTCTAAGCCTTGATTTTATGCCATTGGAGGCATCTGCTCCTTCAGAAACATTTGGACCTAGCTGTCCTTTAACATTTTTCTTTTTTCGTTTTGCTTTGTACTTCTTTGTTTTCTTACTTATACTCACGTTTAAAGTTTTCAAATCACCATCAATATTCTCAAATTTTCCATTTTCTAACTTTCTCGATATACATTCTGGACTGTATCTTTTCCTGTCATCGTCAGTCTTTCTAGTTTTAACTTTACCTTTCTTTTTCCTGTTTTCTTGTATTTCACTTTCATTCTTCTCTCCATCAGCCAAACTATCTTCTTTAAAAGTTTCATTTACATGCTTCATCTTGATATTGTCTTGGTTTTGTTTAATTTCTACTTTGTCTAATGTATTTTCAATATTATCAGTATGAGGGTAGTCAAAATCTAACTTTGTATTTATATCTGAATTACAACTCTCACTGCATTTGCAGACATTTGCAGAATCTTTCCAGGTATTATGAGACTCTGCTGACAATATTGATAGAGAACGCTTAACGTTTTGGCTTCGAATATTCTTTGTGATGTCCGTAACTGTAGACAATGTAGGTGAGGGAGAAGTTGTCAAATTTTGTTTCACTGCAGTCTTTTTTGTCTTTTTATAAGCTAATAACATTTTATCTTGCGGTTCTCCATATTCCTACAAAATCATAAAACAATATATCTTAACGTATCAAGAGAATGGAATTGGGAGTTTTAGGTGAAAATCTTTTAAAAAAAAAAGAACATTTTTCCTAAAATTAATGAAATTTTCAATGACAATTTGAGTATTAAAGACCCCTTCACATTTATATCAGAGAAGAGTTTACCAAGTACACAGTCAGTTAGAGCTAGCGAACTTATTTGACTGTCAATTGAAGATTTCAGAAAAAATTATACGATGTATGACCCACATTTCAAAAGAGGTAATCTTCATGTTAGTTATTTCTGTAAAACATCGCAAAATTCAACCATATCATTAAATATAATATTCAACAATGAAAAGAGCTGTAATCCACATATTTCTTATTTTTATAAGGATCTTTAAAATATCACAACTTCAATCATAATACAATTATTCAAACAAGATAATTATTAAAGAAAGTCTAATAATTTTGAATTCTTTCAAGTGGCATTATGGCTATCTCGGGAAAGTAAATGGTTGGTGTACAGGTCAGTCATAATAACTTTAGACTTTGTCATAATTGCTTTCAATTTTATAGTCTAGTTCGTGTCAAGAACCAACGTGAAACAGAGCAAATTCTATAAATATCCTTCAGAAGGTATGTAAATGTTCAACTGATAAAAAGTCTCAGTGGGGCAGTCTATTTTATATTTTAGACAGTTCTTATATTTTATCCTAAACTTTTTTATTATCATTTATTGGTCAATGACCATTATCATAGTCAATCTTTTTAAATATATAGTCAATTCAACTCACTGATCCTGTAACACAATTTTTTCATGGTTTTGTTTCATAAATATGATGCTCAAATTAAGATTTGTCAATATTGTAAGTTCCAATAAGCACTTTTTATAAAGATATTACCCAATTTAACATTTCATGTAAATAAAGGGAGGTTATTTGGTATTCATTTTCTATAAATTCTGAGTCAAATTTTCCAGTAAGAAATGAATGTATGTAATTTATTGATTAAATAAAATGTGCTCAAATATTTGCAGTACATATTATACATATTCTTCGATGTTTGAAAATTGTTTTATTTGCATAATTATATACATATATAATCTTTTGCAAGTGTGGTATACACACAGTAACATTATCAATCACAAAACATACAGGATCTATAAAAATGAGCCTAATTTATTTGCAGAGGCCTCATCTTTCATTTCCTTATTTTAGTATAAAATGTTGTTCCCAAAATCTCATTAGTGTCAAATGATAATTACTTTCACCAAAATATGATATTTTAATAATGTCAATTTTTTCTAAAGATCTGCAGGATTTTGAAAACTATTGACACATTACTCAGATGTGAAAGGGGTTAATAAATATTGATACAAGAGGCCGGAAGAACAAACAAATTAGTTGAATTGATATCGTCCACCATAAGATACAAATCATTTTTAATTAACTGAAGTGTTCTCAAGAAGTCTGAGGTACATTATAGAAGGAAACAAATTTATACTGATTAAGAAAATGCCTATTTCAAATTTCCAAAGGGCCATAAATAAAAATTCACAATTAGACTTCAGTAGTTTTCTAATTGGAAACATTTCCTTTCTATTAAATACATGTATTCATGCTAGGTCAGATGTAAAATTTGACCCAAAATAGTAATTTTCCATAACAAAATTCCACTATTTATAGCAAAATACAATAATTTGACCATTCAGAGGCCTTAAACTCTGTGTTAAACATGCCAATGATATGTTTATCATCTTATAGCTCTAATGGTTCCAATAAAATTTCGATGGAATCTTAAGTAATCAGTTGCAAATATTAGCATAGAAACGGATGAAATATTCTGTAAACATACTTTCATATGAAATTAATCAGGGACAATAACTATGTGACAGGACATGTGAGGAACATTTCCATAGTGATGGTTCATTTAGAATTTGTTTACATCTAGCTCATAAGCAGTTGCAGTGAAATAGCGTGGAAATAAATGATACTGTGTACATACTGCATAACTAACCTGGGGTCATAACTCTTGAGTGGCCCAAGAGGGTCAAAGCAAATGATATGTACATCTCCTTATTATATAGTATGTTCCTGCAAAGTGCAAATCATTGATGTTCCTTTATGTACATTATTACATTTGAGGCAAATTAAGAAAATATTATTTAGTCTAAAGCTTAAGAATTGTTTCATTAATATATCCCTGCTCTGACCACAAATATTAACATGTGTTCTTCTGTTAAGATAAATTTTGTGGTGAAATTCTTAATGTAATCCACTAATATGATAATTCCAACTGTAAAGATAATTTAGTGTCCATGCATTTACCTGACAGTTAATAGTGACCACACAGACATCTTTAGAAAAAGGTTCAAGTCTTCCTCCATAAACTCTCTCTACACCCAGCCAAAAATCAGACCACGATATCAATAAACTGCATGTTGACAGGCACCACCAGGAACTATCTGACAAAATAAAAAGTAATTTTGTTGCAACAATACATTAAAAGCACATACAATTTAGAAGATCAAAGGCTCCTTGTGTGGGGGTCCTTTAAGGTATAACAGTTTAAACCCCCCCCCACCTCCATGCGTTACCTCAATTTTATTTCCTAAAGCATGCCTAACAGAAAAAAACAAGCAAAACCACAGATGCACAGCTACACATGGTGACCAACATTCCTGTACAGTTTCATGACTCTAAGTCAAATATTTTTTTAGTTTCGCAAGACACAAGTTGAAAAATGCAAATTTTTTACTTAGTCAAGGGCAATAACTCTACAAATACATATTTATAAAAATCCCCAAGCAAACATCCAGGTGCATAACTACACATGCTGACCAACAGTCCTGTAAAGTTTCATAACTTGAGGTCAAATACTTTTTGAGTTACGCACGACACAAGTAAAACAAGAGCACCGCTAGGCGGAGCATAATATGCCCGAAAGTTTGTTTTTTTTTGCTAGTAAGGATGAAACATTTGTAAGACATGGGAATTTAATACAGTATTACCTCCTTCGAAAAGCAATCCTCCTTTATAGCTGAAGAACCTTCATATATATACAGTTGCTGTTTTCAAAGCATCAGCATCAAGTTGTAGTTATGCTACCGAAACCACAACTTTCAGTGTTAAGATCATTGTGACCCTGACCTTTGACCTTATGACCCTAAAATCAATAGGGGTCATCTATTGGACATGGCTGTTCATCCTGTAAAATTTTACAGCTGTAAGTTGATTAATACTTAAGTTATTGAGCGGAAACTGTTTTCAGTTTTAAGGTAATAGTGACCTTGACCATTGACCTTGTGACCCCAAAATCAAAAGGGGTCTTCTACCCAACATTGACAATCATCATATGAAGTTTGAATACTGTGGGCCAAATGGAACTTAAGTTATGCTCCAGAAACCATTTTCAGTTTTAAGGTAAAAGTGACATTGACCTTTGACTGTGTGACCCCAAAATCAATAGGGGTCTTTTACCCAATATGGACAATCATCCTATGAAGTTTGAAGACTGTGGGTCAAATGGAACTTAAGTTATGCTCCGGAAACCATTTTCAGTTTTAAGGTAATAGTGACCTTGACCTTTGACCTTGTGACCCCAAAATCAATAGGGGTCTTCTACCCAATATGGGCAATCATCCTATGAAGTTTGAATATTGTGGGCCAAATGGAACTTACATGTAAGTTATGCTCCGGAAACCATTTTCAGTTTTAAGGTAATAGTGACCTTGACCTTTGACCTTGTGACCTCAAAATCAATAGGGGTCTTCTACCCAATATGGGCAATCATCCTATGAAGTTTGAAGACTGTGGGCCAAATGGAACTTAAGTTATGCTCCGGAAACCAAATTGCTAACGGACGGACGTTCTCACAGGACAGTAATTATGTGGCTACTCTATTGTTCTCTCTATTGTTCTTTTTAGCCACACAAAAGAAAATAGCCACATAAAAGCATTATTGAATGAATGACATCAAAGAGAAAGAACAGTTACCTATTGTCCCTCTAGCCCTGTGAGTGCGGAAGGACGGATGGACAGACGCCAGGGGGTATAACATAATAGAATTTCGGGCATATAAAAATTCAAATCTTTACTAAGTCAAAGGCAATAACTCTAACAAAATTGAATTAATCCACATGTAAAACCCCAGGTGCACAAATTTACATGCTTATCTACATTCCTGTTTGTTAACTAGCTCAAGTGCTTATAGAGGTGCATGTGACAACATTTTGGAAGGGTTTTTACTAAGTCAAGGGCAATAACTCTGCAAGTACTTAAAAAATACACAAGCAAATTCCCAAATTCCAACTACACATGCTGACCAACATTTCTGAAAAAAATCATTACTCTAGGCTATTTTATACTTTTTTGGGCTAAGCTGAATAAATGCACAAACAATATTTAATATTCAACAAGATCAACAAATATGCTTTTGAGAAAATTTAGGAAAACTATAAAAAAGACCCTAATTTTGGTATTAATTTTAGGGATATTTTGAGTAAGACTCACTAATAAGTAAAAAGAAAATGGTCAAACAAGTGTTCAAATATGTGGGTCACTGCGGTAGGGTATATTATTTATGCAACTGTCACATTATTGTATGCAACTGTCACAGTATTATATCCAACTGTCAAAGTATTGTATGCAACTATCAAAGTATGGTATGCAACTATCAAAGTATTGTATGCAACTGTCACAGTATTGTATGCAACTATCAAAGAATTGTATGCAACTGTCGCAGTATTATAAGCAACTATCAAAGTATTGTATGCAACTGTCACAGTATTGTATGCAACTATCAAAGTATTGTATGCAACTGTCACAGTATTGTATGCAACTATCAAAGAATTGTATGCAACTGTCACAGTATTATAAGCAACTATCAAAGTATTATATGCATTACTATCAAATTATTGTATTCAACTGTCACAGTATTATATGCAAGTGTCACAGTATTGTATGCAACTATCAAATTATTGTATGCAACTGTCACAGTATTATATGCAACTGTCAAAGTTTTGTATGCACTGTCAAGGTATTGTATGCAACTGCCACAGTATTGTATGCAACTATCAAATTATTGTTTGCAACTGTCACAGTATTATATGCAACTGTCAAAGTTTTGTATGCACTGTCAAAGTATTGTATGCAACTGTCACAGTATTGTATGCAACTATCAAAGTATTGTATGCAACTATCAAAGTACTGTATGCAACTGTCACAGTATTGTATGCAAGTGTCACAGTATTATATTCAACTATCAAAGTTGTGTATGCAACTGTCACAGTATTGTATGCAACTGTCACAGTATTAATTGCAACTGTCAAAGTATTGTATGCAACTGTCACAGTATTGTATGCAACTTCAAAGTATTGTATGCAAGTGTCACAGTATTATATGCAACTATCAAAGGATTGTATGCAACTATCAAAGTATTGTATGCAACTGTAACAGTATTGTATACAACTGTCACAGTATTGTATTCAACTGCCACAGTATTGTATGCAATTGTCACAGTATTGGATGCAACAGCTACATCCTTGCATTTCTTATATTTCTTTGCAACTGAAACATGAGTTAAAGCTTGAATGAAATATCTTATAAATATCTCATTAAACAAGATGTGCTTTTAAAACACCAATTTCCAAACCTATTCACTGATTGCAATTTAGATGAGTATAGACAGGTATATGGTAGCATATATTTGCCAACATTTTTTTTGATGGGTTCACCTATCATTATGAATATAGAATAAATAGATTGAGAATATTCAAGTTTTTTTCTATAAATATATGATATATTTTCATAGAGTGGTATGAAAATAAATACTTCATGACTGGCGGTAGCCACTAGCGAAATATGATAATTTTCATGCCACAAGATGAAAATTAATCATGTATTTAATTACAGAAAAAACTGAATTTTCTGTTTATTTATAATAGACATTTTACTCTTTTTTGACATTTAACAATTGGAAAGACTTTCCCTTAATTTTGTGCACTGGCAGAATTTAAAAGAAAGTAGTCCAGTAAGACACCAGTGAAAATACGGAAAATAAGTTTCACTGCTGTGAAAAATACAGAAAATAAAAATACGCATTTTATTTCATCAATATTTTTCAATATAATATTATTTCATTTATAATCATATAATAAACCAAATTTATTGGATTCATATACTTCTTATTGTACTTTTCAACTCATGACGTCACACTAAAAAACATGCAGGGCTGTGCAAACCATTTTTACGGAGTTGCTAAAGTGGCATGGCTATGTGATAAAAAAAAACTTGTTAGAACACTCACTTTTCATTGATCTTTTACTGATATTTGGCGTGCAGCGACATGCACTTTCATTAATGACTTCATCAAATCATGACGTCACATTGTCCTTTATAAAAACGAATTCTGTAAACTTTTACATTTTTAAAATGATAGGTCAAGATATACATGTGCTTCCCATATTAAATTAAGCACATTTGAGCCGCGTCATGACAAAACCAATGCGTAATGCGTTTGCGACCAGCATGGATCCAGACCAGCCTGCGCATCCGTGCTGTCTGATCAGGATCCACTCTACTTGTTATAAGAGTTGGTAAGGGAACAGCATGGATCCTGATCAGACTGCGCGGATGCGCAGGCTGGTCTAAATCCATGCTGGTCGCAAACGCATTATGTTGGTTTTGTCGTGACATGGCTCAGTTTACTCTTGACAGAGTGTATTTCTGATGATATAACCAGTCAATTCTGTTTAAGTTAATTATTATTTTAATCCACATTCATATATAGTCCAGCTACTGTGAAAATTATGTTTTAAAACATAATTTCACTGTCCACTGAAAAGCATGTAAAAATAGTATAATTTAATGCTTACTATATCCATTCTGTGAGGCCAGGAACCGTGTAAGCTGAATTCCCTCCTCTACTGTACATTGACACACACTCTGTAAGTTTTCCTGACCACACTTTCCAAGTACATACAGTCGCACAACATCATTCAAGAACATCTCACAGCCGGGATACAGTTTGTGCAAGAGTGACAAGGGAACCAGCATTGTAGAAATCTTGCCAGCTAACTCTGTTTGTCCATTTGGCTACAATCATGCAAAATTATTCAAATATGATATGGAAATGTTTTGATTAGATTTTAAATATCATGTCTCAGCAACAATATGCACTTATTCATTTCTTTCAATTTAATGTGCAATAAAAAATATTGGTTTATTAACTTTCCGCAGTGCTGACGTATCGGACACAAAATTTGCAGACAATTCCTTGCACATTCCTGTGTTTAATACTGGATATACATGGTGAATTAAGAAAGAAAAAAACCTGAGAATATAGATCTACATGCAGGGTTTTTCCTAGGATTTTGGGAACATGACCCTTACACATGGAATTCGGAATTTCAGCCATGTTTTCAGTTTTGTTAAAAATTGGGGAAAAAGCATGACTGAAAATTTGCAGTGATTAAAGTGAATGAAAACAATCACTGTCTAGAATGACATCTTCAAGGCATTTAAATTAAGCACTGAAATGATAACAGTGAAGAAGCCCTTATCTGTAGAGTTTTTTTATTATTATTTTTTTTTATTTTGTAACTTTCAATTGAGAATTTTTACCTGTGGATCAGGAAAATAATAAACTATTTTCAATTGGGAATATGACCAAAATCAGCTATAAAATCAAAGTCAAACAAAATCCCTGACAAGTATACTACTAATTATATACCTCAGTAGCTTCAAGCATGTTACTACAAGTTGTTCCACACGAATCATTTGACTGCAAATGTTCTCTCTCAATAGTGTTGCTCTCTTCATGTAAAACAATATTCTGTATCCGTCGAACAGCTGGCAATAACAATTTAGTAGATGCAAAAGTAAGGGGGATCTTAAAACTAGTGTTAGCATACTTCTCTGTAAAACCTTTCAACATTTTTGTACAGTTTAGTACAGTATTGTTGCACGGTTTAGTATGTTTTTCTTTCACCAACTGAAATAGTAAATATAATTTGGCGACATCTTTAAGACTGTCTATATCAACTAGAAGTGTTCCATGTGTCACAAACATAAAATGTTTAAGGAACATAAGCTGTTCTAGCTGGGAGCAAGGATGCATATTTGTTTCATTTGTAGGATATCCCAGAAGCAATTTTAAGTTGTCCAGAACTACACAGCAATGTGGACTGGGGCACCACAATAATATTTCCTTCACATCCGTCCAAACTGCCATCCTTTTATTGTTGCTAACAACAAATGGTATATGATCCAGTCTTAACATGGCAACATCAATCGTAGTCTTCTGTTTATTGTTCTCCATCTTCATGTTATAATATCTTTAAATAGATATGAAACAATGTCATCCAACATATATTAAACTTTCTACTATTTTACTAAGTATTAACTTATATAAAGATTGAATATACTGTGCTCCTCTTAGTTCAGGATACTTAATGCTTTGAAACCAGAAAGAAAACAACAAATTTATGAATCTTATGGTACAAAAATTGTCATAATCGACCATTTATTTGAAGTAATTGACCATTTACCTATGTTTTTTACTCTTCATTTTTTATTAAAAATTAATTCCTGGTACAAAGTACCTTAGTTGCCACTCATAGGAGGTTCTTTTCATAAATATTTTTGTTAATGTTTTGTTCAACTGTGTTTGAAATATTCAAATAATGATTATTTTTATCAAATAATGATAGATTCTTCAACAAATTATTATTTCACCCATGATTTATTCCCTATTTTTTGTGATATACCAAAAGGCTTACAATCTCGGTAGATAGTACCAACAGGATACTTTTTAGTGTATTATGGAGAAAGAACAAATCATGCAAATGTGTCGCGAAAACGCATTCCAAAAGAAAAACTCTATAAAGATAATATGTGCAACTCATTACATACTTTATAATTTTTTATCTCAATCACTTTACCGAAATCGAAGTTATCTTCCATTTGTCATGACTGAAAGCTTGTGCTGCTGTTCCTAAAACAGGAAATTTAGTATTATTATGTTCCATTTTCGGTTTGTTTACAATTTTTCAATCATTGAAGAATTCTCGCGCGAGCAAAACTTTTAAAGTCGTTTTTGATTGGTTAGGTGATCTTGACTAATTCCATTACCAACTCGTATAGCCGGTATAGCATGCCCCTGACTATCAAGCCACTTTGAATATATTTTTTTTTCTTTAACTATATCGTATAAGAATGCTGGGGAAAAGAATAATTCACGTTTCGTATCAAATTAACATGTTACTCCCGATCAATTTCTCGAGTGAAATTGTAATGCCGAGAACTTAGAGCTATATTGCAACATTTAGTACCATATACATTTGTAACAAATATTTTAAAAATATAGGAAGTGGCTAGCCGTACGGGCCCGTACGGCTAGCCAAAAGTTCTAGCCGTACGTGAGTCACGTACGACTAGCCAGGACACACTGTATTGGCTAGCCGTACGGCACTTTTCAAAAATATATGGAAGGCGAAAGTGCATATGTTAATTATGACTTTAAGCGAGGGTTTTAGTCAAGAATGTTTACTTTTTAGAGATTAATCGACGTGTTGGCTACAGTAAAGAATTTACTTTGTCATCTCAAGACGTCGAGAAAAAATAGCGTTTGGTTGCAATTAAATAACATCAATTGAAATAGTTTACAAAATTTGATAATAATCCTTTTTTGTTTTAAACTGAAAAAAAAACCACACCGAAAATAATTGCTGTTGGGCTCTGATAATTGCGTCAATTACCGACGGTATAGAAGTTTGTCCATCGTCCATCATTAAGAAAAGTTTTTATTATTAAATTATTTTTCCTTTTCACCGTTTTTTTTTTAATATTCTTTTTATTTATTTATTTACTCCCCTCCGATCATTATTTATTCGATCCATGTGCTTAATTAACATAAGCATGAAAATTAAGGACGTTATAACATGCAACTTCAATTTTATTAAGATAGATTACTGTATACAACGCTTGTAAACTCGTATTCATTTTTTTTTTGCAAAATTGCGGAGCATCTTTATTAAAGTGGACAAATGCGGAGATTTGATTAAAATCGTTGTTTAAAGACACAAAATAACAAATGCATTTTCGACTTTCATATAATTTTGAAAAGTGCCGTACGGCTAGCCAATACTGTGTGTCTAGGCTAGTCGTACGTGACTCACGTACGGCTAGAACTTTTGGCTAGCCGTACGGGCCCGTACGGCTAGCCACTTCCTTAAAAATAACGATGCTTTGGTAGAAATGACAAACACATTGTGATGTCGTTTAAAAAATTGTGACCTTTTCTAGCGAAGTATCCCAGTTGATTGATTCAGGGGCATCGTGACCGTCTTCTTTTATGTTAAAGTAATTCGCCGTACGTAACATATTCTATGAATAATTTCAACAATATGAATATGGCTCAATGTAAATTGTTACTAAATAGGAATCGGTAGAACTGCGTCACCAACTCACGATTTTTTTTGTTATTCATCAGGTTATATGGTCCTATATAAACAGATGTTTGCAGATGCAACCCGAGCCGCTAGGCGAGGGTTATATTGCAAAATAACCGTTTATTTACGGCCATATAACCTTTCAGTAATATCTATAACAAATTTATAAAACAGCACACTTTCTTTCTTACAGAAAAAAGATATATGCACAAATTGAAAGCAGCCGTGCACATAAAACTATATAAACGTCGCGATAATCCAATGATCATACAAACGTGCAGTATTATAAAGTTGCTGTCAATTTTCTAAAAAATCTCACTTTTTTTCTCAAAAAAAAAAGAAAAGAAAAAGAGGAAGCTCGCGGTATTCTAAATCCGTTATAATTTTCCTGACAGGTTATATGACTGTATACAAACGCTACCTTCTTCAGTTGACAATGTTTGCTCTTTCTAAAGATGTTTCTAAGACATAACATGGCATAAACGTTATGAAAATTCCGTGTGGTTGTTCAAGTAGGGGAACAAGGCCGCAAATTGCGGCGCATACATCTCAGTACGGCCTCAAAGAATATATATGTCAATGTAACACGATCTGTTACTTTTAATGATGTCACTGTACTTTGTGTCCGTTATTGTTTTCAAAGAGTTGCTTTTTATCCTTGACAATAAATATTCAAATACAGATATAACTGTAACTATCGTCGAGTGCGATCATGCAACCAATCATGAATGTTCTTGATAAAAGCAGACTTCGACAGGTGGAAGAGGAGTCACTTTAGTACAATATACATGTACTGTCTGACAAATTTTCTATAAGACTTAAGTCCCATATGACCTGACCTTGAAATCAGTCACTAGGTTTTCATTTGATCCGACATAAGTTAATATTTTTCATCCAAAATGGCCTGTGCTCATACTTGACCAAAATGCGATTAACACAAACATTTTGACAATTCTTAAAGAAAGAATCAAGTGTTGAGGTGACTGAATGGTTAAATTTGGCACGATGGAAGCGGGATGCAATGTGGAGGGGGAGGGGGTAGTTCAAGACTAGAAATGTGTCGTCACGCCACGGATGCCCCGCATGCAGCCAAAATTTCAGATGTTATAATATTTAGTTCCAAATTTGTATGCACAATTTTTTTTCATTCTAAGTTCAAAGCCCTTAAAACTATTCAATATTAACACAAACCATTTTTATACAACGTTCAAGGCACTGAAACTATTCAGTGTTAACCTTTTGTAAATTGCATATTGCATATTTGTAGCCAAAATAATGGTTACATACATTTCAACAGAAGTATGAGTGCTAAAACTGAAAATTTAAAATTTTTCCAACATTCAAGAAAGATAATTTTGTCCAAAATCATTGAACTACGACCAAATTCAATCTTGATCTGCTTATTCCTAAGATGTATCTATATGTACAACCATTGGGGAGATAATGAACGGAAACTTAAAATTTCCGATTTTTTTTTCAAAGTTTAAGAGGGATAACTCTGTCAGCTATCATCAAACAATGACCAAATTCGAAATTGACCAATGCATTCTTATGTTTAATTTGAGTTGAATATGTACAACTGTTAGGGAGATAATGAATGGGAACAGAAAACTTTTTTTTTTCAAAGTTGCCAAAAATCATCGAACCATGACAAAATTCGAACTTGACCTGCGCGTTCCTTTGACATATCCATATGTCAAATTTGAATTGAATGTGTAACACTGTCGGGGAGATAATGAACAATAACTGAAAATTTAAAATTATTTTCAAAGTGAAAAGGACATAACTCTGCCAAAAATCATCGAACCATAACCAAATTAGAACTTGGCCTGCGCATTCCTTTGACTTATCCATATGTCAAATTTGAGTTGAATGTGTAACACTGTTGGTCCTGAGTGTTTTGTAGATTTAATGAACGGAAACTGAAAATTTCATATAATTTTCAAAGTGAAAGGGGCATAACTCTGCCAAAAATCATTGAACCATGACCAAATTCAAACTTGACTTGCGCATTCCTTTGATGTATCTATATGTCAAGTTTAAGTTGAATGTTTAATACCGTTGGGGAGATAATGAACGGAAACTGAAAATTTCATATTATTTTCAAAGTAAAAGAGGCATAACTCTGCCAAAAATCATCGAACCATGACCAATTCGAACTTAACCTGTATTTTTTCATGACATATCCATATGTCAAATTTGAGTTGAATGTGTGCAATCGTTACTAATTATATGGCGGGGGCATAAAAAAATGATAAGAAATAAACAATGAATAAGTTCAAGAATTTGTGTAATTCATCGGGTTTTTTTTTTTTAATTTTTATGTACAATAAATCGTCAGAAGTTAATACTTTCAATCAAACATGGTTCTGCTTATACTTGGCCAAAATGTGATTAACACAAACATTTTGACAATTCTTAAAGGGACTCCACTGAGGTTTTTTGACAAGATGGGACTGAAAATATTTTTTCAAGATAAATGTACCATTTGATGAAGGTTTAGACCACTAATCTTTGTGCAAAATTTCAGATCATTCGCGCACTTCGTTTTTCCAGAATAATTATTCAAATTGTAAAAAAATGACCCAAAATGAAAAGCGTTTAAACGCCTTTCACTCAAATCGGGCTAAGGAAAGCATAAAAATACGATTTTCAATTTATTTCAAAGTATATTTCTGAACTATCTATTGCATATACTTCTGTTTAAAGTGCCCCAGCTCATTTCTGCAAGAAATTTAAATGTTATGTTTTAGACTTTTAAACCTCAGTGGAGTCCCTTTAAAGAAGGTGACTGAATTTGATTTGACAGGAGGGAAGCAGGGTGCAAAGTGGGGTGTGAGGGGTAGTTCAAGTTAAAATTGATAAGAAATAAACATAAATAAAGAAGAAATAAAGAAATAAGAAATTAACTTCAAGACTATGTAAAATTCTTTTTTTTTTATTTTTACTGTACAATAACTTCTCATAAACAACATACAATAACAATGGAAGTTTCATCAGCACAAAAAATATTTAAGAAACAGTGAAAAGCAAGTTTTAACTCTATATTTACATATCATCATATTTCACATGATGAACTTTTAAAACATGTAATATGAAAAAACTAATGACTGGTGTTCTTTAATGGGTCTGATATTAAGTAAGTTAGTCAATAAAATAGCTCAATATGATATGAATGACTTTAAAATATGAACCACGTATAGTATTAGTAATAGGAAATGGCAACATAATTGATACACGATTTTAGTATGAAAATTATATGTCTATACATGATGTACTATACTTTAAATATATTTCAAGTCTTCTGCAAATAATTCATGATCATGAATCAAAATCTAAAAATTAAGTAATTGTCGGTTCTTTTTAATCGATTTACTAAAAACAACAGTAAAGTCCATTCCATATTTTAACACATGATGAGAAATATAACCAAATACTAAGAACAACAAGTCTATTAGGCAAAGTTCTTCCAAAAAAGTGTCTCATGAACTCATGATTGAAGCATGTTTAACATACTGTCAACCAGTAAATACATAATTAAAGGCACATTATGCCTCAGAAATTCGCTTGTCACATATGACAGGGAGTCGTTTAATTCAAACCATTTATATAGGAAAAAGATGTTGGGAGTACTGAAACAAGGTCGGATAAGACAGGGAGTTGTTTAAATCAGGGGGTCGCTTAGGCAGTCTTGACTGTACATGTATATTTTTTTAATTCTTTAGAAATGTCAAACATGTGTTTTAATAAAGTTTTAATAATGGATTAAGAACATGTTGGGTGTTTAACAACTGGAGAAAGTAACGCTGAATGAGCAGTAATATGTAGTTAAGGTAGCAAAATGTAAACAAAGTAGTATTTTGACTTCCATATAAAATACTAATTCACTTTAATTATACCAATGGCCAACAGAGTAAAAGTTGCAGAAGATATTCCATGAAGCTTATAAGTATTTATTATTTTGGAAACGGTGACAAAGTACCAGAAATAAAGTTTTTTGAGGAATAAAATTGATAGAATGAATTTCTGAGGCATAATGGGCCTTAAAATTTTAATCCTTAAAATAACTGTTTGTAGACTGCCCCCTAGGCCGTACAAAAGAACATCATTAATACTGTCACATAAATTTTATTAATTTCTTGCTTTAAGTCACAGCAATAGTGTAAAAGGTCATAGGGTTATTGGTTGATAAACACATAATGCGCTAGTAAACATATAATGTATTATTGCAATCCGAAATTGACACCTGAACCATCAATAATATCATTGCTGAATAAGTTTCACAACTTCCCCACATGACTGTCTAATTGCTCACTCATAATTTTTCAGAGATGCAATGTTCTTCAAAATGTTTATCTTTCTACAAGATTCTTTAAAATAACCTCTACCCCTAAGCTGTAATAAAGTTTTGTTTTTTTACACAATCACTTCATAGTAATCCTAATCCATCATAAGACAAATAACATACCTTTCAAAGAAAAATATTAACAATTATTTAGAGGAAATAGCTGTTTATAACTGAAAATCACAATGTTTTTTTTCTACTATTCTAATACATGTATTATAATATCAATCTTATTTTTGTTACATTTTATTACAAGATCTTTAGTAACTTATCATTACAACTACAAGAATCTGCATGTCAATTGGTTTCTTCAGAGCAGAAAATATACATGTGTATACATTTCTATGACATAAAAGATATATGAGCCACGCCATGACAAAACCAATATACTGATCAGGATCGGTACTGTTCGCTATCAGTTTCTCTACTTGTAATAGGGTTTGTAAGCGAACAGCATGGATCCTGATCAGACTGCGCGGATGCGCAGGCTGGTCTCGATCCATGCTGGTCGCAAACGCACTATGTTGGTTTTGTCGTGACTCGGCTCATATATTTACATCAAAAAGCTAACATAGTAGGGAGATTCTCTATTCACTTATTTCTCATACTTACACAAGTATAATCTGACAAAAACAAGAAGACATACACAATGTATACATCACTATCGTTTGTATAATTTCACAATAAAATATTATGATAAAACTCACTTGAAGACCTTTTACAAACACGCCATGAACTATATATATGACATTAATTGGGCTGTCTAAATCCTGTAAAATATTTACTTGATTCATAAAACAATTTGTTTACCTAAATCAGACTTTTATTTTAATATTAAGTCCATGCCTTAATTAAAATGTTTTTTCTTCTTCATGCCAATAAATCCTCCAATAAAACTGCACACAGTCATCACTGAACATAATATAATAGCAGATGAAAATTTTGCTACGGAACAATTTTTTTTTTCAAATGGTATTTAAAAGCATCAAATAACCGTGACACTTTGTGTTAAGACACTTGCCTCAGTTACAAAATGGAAAACGTGTGTGCAATACTTGAAATTTTGTACAGGCATATTTCACAACCATTTAAGGTTTTGACAAAAGAAAGTAAAATATAAATGCTTATTTAGTAAACTAGACAACACTCATTTAGCGTATAAAGTATTTGCCCTATGTTGATCGTATAAAAATATTTTGTTAAGTCAAAGACATTGTCAAAATAGATCAGCAGGGGCACTTAAAACAGAAAGATATGCAATGAAATATACTGAGAAATAAATTGAAAATTGTATTTTTGTGCTATTCTTGCCAGATTTAATTGAAAAGCATTGCGAAACTTTTCAATTATAGGCAATTGTTCACAATTAGAGTAATTACACTGGAAATACAGAGCAAGTGAATGATCTGAAACTTTGCACACAAGTTATTGGTGTAGACCTATATCAAATGGAACATTAATCTCGAAAAATTATTTCCAGTCCCGTCATGTCATGGAGTCCCTTTAAGAGATTTCAATTTCAAGATACAAAATTTGAGATACCAGCAGTATAAAGCCTGGTCAGACTGTATGGATGTGCAGGCTGGCCTGGCTCTATACTGTTGGTAAAGGCAAGCCGGTTTGGGTACGAGCATGTTGAAGGTTTATAACAACATCTTAGCAAATAAAACATGTTAAGAATTCTTTTAATCTTTTCAGTCAAGTGTTTAACATGGAGAAAGGTATATTGGATCATCCGAAATATCAATTACAGTTTTCATTATAATAAAAATTAAAATGGCATGTATGTTCAATGTGTTTGTAACAATATGTTTCGTGTAATTTCATATTTTATCATGATTCACACAATAACAAAAATAGACCTTACAGGCTATAAACATGCAACATTAAAATTATATACACAACTAACCAGCTCCTGACCACAAGTCAGGACATCGTCACAGTCAATTAATACATACATGCAAACATACTTCATGTACGTGTAAAGTGGATAAATTGTTATTCAATCCTAAACATATAAATACATGTACCTACCATCTCTACTTATGTTAAAAAAGAACAAAAATCATGTAAAATTTATCTCATACATTAAAACTGTATACAATTTTTCCATGTTTAAAATAAATGAACATTAGTTACACTAATAAAATAAAGTGAATGAAGCAGTTTCAAATTTGAACTCAATAATGATCAAGTTTCTAAAAATCGTTTATCTTTCAATAGATATTTTCCAATTAATATTTACGGTTACTAGAGTTAAATATAAACGCTATTATTGTTTTATTTTAAATCAGTATTCATCATATTGAACTATTAGTAATATAGTTTAAACAATTTATCTAAAGATAACATATTTAAACTTAAGAAAAGCTGAAAAACGCTTTAAGTATTCAAGATAAGTATTAACTATTATCACTAAAATATTTCAAAATTTAAACATGATTTCGTAAATCTCCAACTCCATCCACAGAAAATTTCAATTCAATTTTTAAAATGATTCATTTCACAAAAAAACTTAACTTTGAACACTAATAAGACTTTTGCTTTAAAGTTTTTATCATCAAGCATTCATGAATAAAATAGGAATTCATAAATTTGGCATCTTTCCAATAATTATTCATGAATTTGAAATGTTTTCATTGTATTTTTTCTATTAAGTACTCACAAATCCAACATCTTATCCATGCAATATTGCAAATTAGTACATTGTAGCATGAAGCATAAATAAATTATGGAAACAGTATTTGAAACTAACCTCCAATCTATAGTGTAAAAATCTTAGGTCATAGAAAAAACATTTACAATACAAAAAACCCTAATGGTGACATATTTATCATTTTTCATAACTATCTTGTCAAAACATAAAATTTGTCATGTGTAAATGTCATTCAACATGTCAAAAAATATATATTTTAAATTAACAAAGTCAACCTTTTTAAAAAATTTAAATTAGCAAAATAATAAAAAAGTGAAATATACTTCATTTATTTGGGGGATTTTAAAGCAAAATTTGATATTCATGTATTTTAATATAATGATTATGAGCATATTACCCTAGCAACCTTTCAAGTCATTAAAATCTATCAATTAGTATAGAGAAATTTTAGTTCTTATCTGAAACATTTCTGAAAAAAGATTTCACATGCCAGGACTTTTATCTCTTTACATGCTTCATCATAACTATAAAATTAATAATAAAACAATTTCACAATAGGATATAAAATATATATCATCATGTCACCCTAGTGCAATAACCAGTTAACTCCTATTGAATTTAGAAGAACTTAACCTGTTACTGCAATAAGGTGACAAATTCTTCTGTACAATCAAATACTGGTTACATCATTTGTCTCCACTGATACATCTTTAATAAAGGTTGATCTATTATCACTATCAACACTTCACTTATTTAAGTGCATACAGGTTTGTTATCATCATCCCTTCACTTCAAAACCAACGTCCATACCCTCAATGTTCAGAACTGGCTGTGTATCAAAATGCCCTATGATTAGTTCTATCATGTCTTAAAGTTAATGTCTATGATTTCTTCCACTACGCCTTTCCCTGTCTCTATCTCTACTTGGGACTATGATTTTCCCCCCGAATTTTCTTTTGAAATAAATTGATGCTCGTTTTAAATTTTGACCTTTTTCTCAAATGGTGATTTTCAGGCCCTTCTTTTAAATGTAAATCTACTTCTATAAATTTTCTTTTCTAGAAAGCCTTCTTCGCCCTTCTATCTCTAGATGGGCCCCTTTTTATACCCATTTTCCCCTCCTTTTTTTGTCTTGTCCCTTCTTTGATTTTTCCTTTCCCACCCCTTTTTCTCTCATTTGCATCATTTTTGGTTTTAAAACTGCCTAAAAGGGGGCCCGGGCTCACTTTGTTCATGTTTGCTTGCAAAAAAATTTTCTGTTCCGGATTCTTTAAAAATTTAAAGGCCTCCCCCAATTTTAAACCTTTTAAATTTTCTCTCATTAGGGGTTTGACCCAAAAACCAAAATTTTGGCGTCCTTTCAGCAGTTTTTTTCCATAATTTAGATGGTGGTCCCCAATGGGATCTAATAATAAAGGGGGGTTTATTTTTTTGTTCTTTTTTTGTTTTAAATTTGCCTGTGGACGAGGGGTTCCCATATATTTTTTATCCCCTGGGGGAATTTCCGATTTTTGGGTCCCCGTTTGGTTTTGGTTTTGGGAAACCCTTACACCGGCTTGCATATGTGGGGGAAAGGGAAAGGGGGCCCATCTGGGGCTGAGCTTTTTAAATCCGGGGCCCTTTTGAAAGCAACATTTTTCCAACTTGGTTACCCGAGAATTTTTTGGCCATTTCCATTTTTTTGGGGCATAAAAGTTGGGGCGTCAGGTGCCCATGGGGTTTGGCTTTGGGGTACCCCCTTGGGGGTTTATGGGAAATCAATTGGTTTTTGGTTTGGCCCCATTTTTGCATTCCATGCATTTGTGGAACCATGGGTGGCATTGGAGGAGGCTCAATAGGCTCATTTTTGGCAATTTCTAGAACAATTTGTTGGATTCTTTCATCACTCAGTTGTTGACCATTTTTCTTATTCTTCCTTTCCTTTTTCTTCTTCTTCTTTTTACTGTTTTTGGACTGGTATTTAGTTTCACCTTCATTGTCAGAATTGTCATCATCTCTACGATTTCCTTCCTCATTAATTTTCTTTTTCACAGGAGGCTCTGGTGGTTTGGGCTTTGGTGGCTCGGCTGGAAGTGGGGGTTGTGATACCTCTGGGACAGGAGGTGGTGCCCATTCCCCTGTATGAGGTGGCATATTTTGCATACCAGCAGGCACACTTGTTGATGCTAAATGGTTCCATTCCATCCCTGGTGGGAGTGGCTGTGAAGACTCAGTTCCTGGAGGAAGAGGCTGTGATGAGGACATAAATGGCAACCTTAAACCAGGAGGAGGAAATGGATGCATTGGTCCTTCACCAGGTGGAAGTGGCTGTCCACTTGTTCCAGCCATGTGTATGGCCATTCTCTCATCTATATCACTATGCTGACTATCAATAACAGGTCTAAGATCAACATCATCATCAAGTTGTTCTCTGAAATCAATGTCCTCTGCTGGAGGAGTACCTCTTTCATCCACGTCTCCAAACAAGTTTGTTTTTGTTGAAGGACTCTGGTCATGAGGACTTTTCTGAATATATTTTCTCTTTCTCGGACTCAACTTCTTAGTTCCATCATCATCAAATCCTTCAAAGCTTCCACCAGATGAATCAGAATCATAATCAAAACCTAAAAATGACTTAGATAACTTATCCTCAGAGTCTTTTTCCTCTTTTTTACTTTTACTTTCTGTGACACTTGTTTTATCTTCAGATGTTTTAGACTGCCTGAGATCTGTGTCTTCAACCAACTCCTCTGATTCAGCTGTGAAAAGACCAGGGATCTTAGCTGGAGCTTCTTCTTCTGGTTCTTCTGCACTTCCTGGCAATTTGGAGAATAAGGACATCAAAGCTGTTGGAAGCTGGATCCCAGACTTTTTACCTTTATCTGAACTGCCGGCATCAGTATTTGCAAGGCCTTTGAAGAGTGCTGCTACATTTGGCACCTGTTTGGTACTTTGTTCAGTCTTTTCTTTCTCTTCTGACTTTGATTCCGGACTTTCATCTTGGATTTCTGAACCTGCTGCCTTTTTTGCAGTTTTGGAGTCTGTTATTGCTTTGCCACTTACTTCAGCCATTAGTTGTGAAACAATCTCATGTTGAGCACTCTGTTTTGTCTTCTCACTATCAGACTTTTCACTTTTATCATCACCAGAATTAACACTTACACTGTCAGATTTAACATTTTTATCTTTTTTCAAAGTTACACTATCACTGACAACCTTATTTGAAACCTCTTTTGCTGCACCCCCATGATCTACATAAAAACCTTTAGGTTTTAACAAGTGAATCAATATTATGGCACCTAATTTAGTAAGTTTTGATTTGTCTTCATTTTTATTTCCACTAACACCAGATGAAGATACATCTTTGTCTTTTGCTGCATCTAATCTTGATTTCACTGGAGGAGATGCAGCATCTGAGGCTATGTCAGAAGTTAATGAAGAAAGAATGGACATGGATTTTTCTAGAGCAGAAGTTGTGATAGTAGGTGGTAATACTGATGCAGATTTGGAAGGATTTAATGCAACTGATGATGGACCTGAGGGTGGTGGAACCCCTACTGGTGCTGGTACACCTGTAAGCACTGGTACTCTTAGATCAATATCCATTGGTTCCACACTATTGTCAGTTTTATCAATGTTTACTTGCTATGGAAGCTGCTTCTGCAGCAGCTGTTTTAGCCCTTAATCTTGGGTCTTTTGATGAGATTCCAATACTGGTAGCTGAAGAGCTTGTCACTGCAGTAGTAGCCGAAGGGCTGGAGAGTTTCCTGAAGGGGACTGACCTAATTTGGTTGAGATTCTTTTTTGTTCTAATAGACGTTTTTGTTCATCCACTTTCTTTGTAAGTTCTATAAGAAGTTTACGCTGATTGCCAAGTTTGGAGGTGGTTGCTAATGCAGCTACCATGGCAGCTGTGGCCTCAGCAGGATTTTTGCTCTGAGCTATTTTCTCCATCATCAGTGTAACTGGGTCGGCTTTTGATTTTTCTGAAAATAAATATATAGCATAAAACAGAGGCTTTGTGTGCTCTCAAATTTCACCAAAATATACATTTTACTTAAAATAGATACAGGGTCGGTATCCTGTTTCTCTGAAAATAAATATATGTAAGATATAGACAAGATGATTAGACAAGAGGGCCATGATGGCCCTGAAATCGCTCACCTGTATATAGATGCCCCCCCCCCCCCTCTGGGTGGGGCCAATTTTGTCCCCAGAGCTTTTATTTGAACAAACTTGGTAGTTGTTCACTAGAAGATAGTTCATGCTTAATATCTAATCTCTAGCTCTTAGAAGGTTTTTTAAGTTTTTACTATATACAGTGGAACCTGTCTAATCCGAACTCGTCCGGACCAGAAGAAAAGTTCGGATTAGAAAGGTTTCCGGATTAGAAGGTTTTTTTACATGTTTGTTCATGTTATTGGCAGAATAGTTTAAGGAAAGAAAACGGGAATGCATTTGAAATTGCAATTAAATTATTTATTTTTGCAATCTCTTATCGTTCATTTTAATACAATCATGTGAATACAAAAATAAATAGATAAATAAAAATAAATAAATAAGCAAAAAATGTTATATCCTCAAGGGTAAGTTAATCTACGATGTTAAACAGAAGGCTGAGACATGATTAAATATATACCAGCATTTGTCAATTGTTGTGTTTACTCTTATCCGATTCAGTGATTATCCGAATTCACTGACAGTTTCCAATAAATTTTTCATTACTTAATCACATGTCATTAAATCCATTACAGAAGATAAAAAGATACTTCTATTTGCATTATATCAAAATATTTATTGAAGGTGACGAAAAAGAAAAAATTTAAAACAATTTTTGTTAGTTATATAAGGCAAAAAAATAAGTTTTATTTTCACCCCTTTTCCTGGGGTCATACGTATAAACCCATTTATTAAAATTTTGGGTTTGTTCTTTACCCTGCAAGTGGGGCAAATTTTTTTTGGGTTTTTTTTGAAGGGTGGGTTGTGACTTTTGGGGAAAAAAATCGGGGTTGGGAAAAATTCCCAGGGGTTTAAAATTTTAGAGTAAAAAAAAAAAAAATTTTGGGGGAAAAAAAATCGTCTGGGGAATTGGGGGAGTAAAGGGGGGTTCCCGGGGTTTTTCCAAAAATGGTTTTTTTTAACTATTGAAAATAAAAATGAAAAAAATCGGGACCCTTCATTTTCGTTCGGATTAAAAAAGAAAAGGGATTCGGGATTAAAAGGGTTCGGTTTGGCAAGGTTTCGCACTGTAGATTTACAAGGAAAATCAATGATTCCCCGGGGTGGGGCAATTTTCTAACCCCCAGGGCCCTTATTTGAACAAATATGGTAGACACCCATTAGAAGATGTTTCATGCTAAATATCTTAGCTCTAGCTCTTAGGTTTTTTAAAAGTTTTTAATATATACATTTAAGGAAAATCAATGATCCATGGGGGCGGGGCCAATTTTGACCCCAGGCCTTTATTTAAAGAAACTTGGTAGACACCTACTAGAAGATATTTCATGCTTAATATCTTAGCAAGCTCTTAAGGTTTTTTAAAAGAAGAATTTTTTAAGTTTTTTACTAGATTATACATAAAGGGAAAAAACAATGACCCCCTGGGGTGGGGCCAATTTTGACCAAACTTATATTTGATTATACACTTGGTAGACACCCACTAGAAGATGTTTCATGCTCAATATCTAAGCTGCTAGCTATTTGGGCTTTTTTAAAAGAAGATATTTTAAGTTTTTACTATATACAAAATAAGGAAAATCAATGACCACCCAAGACGGGGTCAATTTTTGACACCAGGGCATTTATTTGAACACACTAGGTAGACACTGACTGGATGATGTTTCAAGCCAAAAATTTAAGTTCTAGCTCTTTCGGTTTTTTCTAAAAGAAGTATTTTAAGTTTTTTCTTTCAGTTGCTATGGCAACCAGAGTTCTTGCTTAGTCTGCTTAGAATTAAATTCTTTGAATAACTTTTAAAGTTGACTTACCAAAGGAACATTCCTGTGAAATTTCGGACGAAATTGGCTTAGGGTTTATGAGTAAAAGTTTCGAAGTAAAAGTTTACGGACGGGACGGGGTGGACAGATGCCGGACGAAAAAAGCGATCACAAAAGCTCACCCTGTCACTTGTGTGACCAGGTGAGCTAAAAAGCTCATAAAGTATTTTCTTTAACCACTTTCACAGCCACATATTATGTTAAAATGTTATTCCCAGTGCCAAAAATTTTCCAGGAATTCTGGACAATCTGGTGATTACTATTTGTGTTGAAATTATTTTCCTGGTTTTTCGTGGAAAGGTCGATCCACAAATTTAAGATAAAGAAAACAAAGTTTTGTTTTTGTCTTCTGTAAGTTTAATTTTGCATTGCTTTTTCCCCCTTTTTAAAAAAATAAAACCCTTTAACAAATTTAAAATTTCCCCCTTCATGCCCCCCCCAAAATTTAAAATTTAAATTAAAAGTGGGGAAGCATTTTTCTGAAATTTTTTTTTAAAAATTTTATGTCCTATAAACAAATTTTTAATGGCACATTTTCCCCGGAAAGTTAGTAAAAATTTAAAAGCAAAAAAACATGCTTTTCCATCTCAAAAAAGTATTTTTAAAAATTTTCCATGCCTTTTTAAAGAAGGGGAACACAAAATTAAAAAAAACCCCGGTAAATTTTTACTCCCGGAAACATATGTCAAAATTTTTTTAAAGGGGGTTTTTTCCGGGTTGTGTGGAACTTTGAATTTTAAACCCTCGGGATTTGGGAAATTTTCACAAAAAGAAAAAATTAAATGTCTTTTCCCATATAAGTCTAAGTATACAAAATGTACTAAGTTAAACCCCGGCACAGGAACAATTTTGACCCAAGAGGCATCATGGCATATATTATTTTTTGTAAAGAATCATGAGGTGATGCTACATGCTAAAATGTGCTAATTAAAGTTTCTAGGAGAAAAAAAATAAGAATACCAGGTTTAGGTTTTGCAGGCTCTTTCATTGCTTCTTTTTCGGGATCATAAGGTGCATTTAGGTCTAGAGGATAAACACTCCCTGGTTCATAGGTGTCATCTGTAAACAAATATAAGTAAGAATCAATCACATTAATGTTTATACTTTAATAATACCAAATGTTGTTTTGTGTGTAATATATATATGCTAATTGCATTTGATATTTATTGATCATATCTTTTTCCTTCTATCCAATTAACAACATATTTTGCCACAATCAAATGTATTAAATTTTCATGATGTTGTTTTGTTCTGATGGTCAATTCTCCTTTTTTGCTTTTGGTGCTTTTTTTTAGTCGAGTTTTAGTGATTTTGTATGGAAGTCAAAATACTTCTTTGTTTACATTTTGCTACTTTTATAACAAATTCACTGTTCTGTCCCCTATATATCACTTTTATTGTAATAATGCATATATGTAACAACAATTTTCATTGGATAATAATTGTAGTTATAATTTATATACCCTGCTCCTGCAAATTTTTGCATCATTTATATTTTCATTTTTTTTTTCATTTTATTATTATTCTTTGTTGTTATGTCACATCCATAAACAAGCTAATGAAGGTGCCCCGCTCCTTTCTTGGATTATTTTAAAGCTGTATAGATGAAAGGCACATTGATTATGCCTCATAAATGAATGAATTTTTCCTACTTTAGATAGGGCACACGAATTTTGTAACATTTATGGTAAATAACTGTTTTAAATTTAAAGCATGTACCGTAAAATGCTTGTTATCTGAAAATAGCAAAATTTATAGAAAGACTTCCATACAAATACTTATTCACTATAACTCTTCTAATTGCCAAAAAGCAACAGAACCGAAAAACAACTCAGGAAATTGACCACTGAGTATTTTTTTAACTTAAACTATAACATGGCATTAAAAAAAAGAAGCTTTTGAGGAGTAAAAAATAAAATCATTTCTAAGGCATAATGGGCCTTTCAATATCTAAATCAACAATATTAACTGCCAGTATATTACCCGTACCTTGATCTGATACATGAGAATATTCCTTCACAATCGGGTCAAATGAAATAGCCTTCTTCTTATCAGCAATGGAGATTTGAGGGGTACTAGAAGAGCTGGATGTTCTAGGGGAACTTGATGAGGACTTATCTGGACTTTCCGAATCAAACTGAAAAAAAAAAATTACTACATTTTTACAACCCCTACAGCAAAAGCTATTATCATGCATCATGTACATTGTAATAACATAGTTCAAAATTTTCACCGAGTACTTTTGAAATCATTACTTTCTGTAATTCTTTGTTACATGTGATTCTTAAAGCTTTAAGATCAAAGACTACTTTAAAAGGAATCCTGAAAATTCTTTAAATGGTTTATTGTTTCACATTTTAAAATATATTCAAAAGTGTGTAGATGATTTATATAACATGCTGTTTAGTAGACAACTGAAATATCAAAGTTAGTTATATTTTTCTAGATGGGTTAACACAGTCACAGCCACTCTGATTTTAGGTGGACCAAGAACATTGTGCATTATTTCAGGCATGGAAAAATTGTCCCTTCACTCCCTCTCCCCACCCCCTCCAAGTAGACCTTCCCCACCCCCTCCAAGTAGGACCACTATCATTTTCCCAGACAAACAGCCTCACAATGGAGGAATTAAGGTCTTTGACAGGATTCAAAATCTGATAGATAATTCAATATTATAAAATGCCATGGTCCCCTACTGTGCCTGAACCACTTGGTCATTGTCCCCTATGTGACTAAATGGCACTTGGCCATGGTCCCCTATGTGCCTGAATGACTTGGCCATGGTCCCCTATGTGACTGAATGACTTGACCATGGTCCCCTATGTGCCTGAATCACTTGGCCATTGGTCCCATATGTGACTGAATCACTTGGCCATGGTCCCATATGTGACTGAATCACTTGGCAATGATCCCCTTTGAGCCTGAATGACTTAGCCATGGTCCCCAATGTCCCTGAATGATTTTGGGCCTTTGGTCCCTTTTTTCCCGGAATAAAATTTGGGCCCATGGCCCCCTAGGGGGTTGAACCCTTTTTCCCAGGGTTTCCTCTATGTCCCTAAATCATTTGGGCCCAAAATGGCCCCTATGGGCTTCTTTTTAAAAAATGAAAGGCAAATTTAATTTTGGTCTTTAAAATTTTAAAAAATTAATGTCATAAAAAATGTTAAAAACCCCCTAACTGAGTGTAAAATAAAAAACATTTTTAACTTTCATGCAAAACCCAAAAACCAAACTGGGGCATTTTAAAAATTTTTCCCTTTTATTTTTCTTTTCCTTAATTTTTTTTATCAAAGTTTTTAATAAAACAATTTTGGGTTTTTACAAATACCCAATTATACTTTTTCTAAAATTTTTTACTCCCCATTTATTTCAAAAATTTTTAAATTTTTTATTCAGTTAAATTTGCCTTTTTTATCCCTTTGTTACCCCAAACCTGCAAAAAGCGGGAAACAAAATTTTTACCAAATGTAAACCAAAAAGGGGAAAAAATCCCACCAAGTGCAGCCCAAAAGATATAAGGAACATCTGTTTCCCACCCCGGGTTCATTTGGTGGGCATTTTTTCCCCTTAGGCTATCAGTAATTTTTTTAAAAAATTTTCCAAAAAATAATGAATGGTTTTGCCCGGGGAAAAAAAAGGGAAAACCCTTTTTTAAAAATTTTTTAAACTTTTGGTAAGGGGTTTAATAAAAATTGAAAATGCCAGAAAGTTTTAAAATTTTTTTCCAAAAATAAATTGTGTGAAAAGGGGAAAACAATCCCTATATTTTTACTAGAAAAATTTATTTTGAAAATGGAAAAAAATCTGCCCAACTGTGAGAAAAAAAGGGCAAAATTTTGTTTTTAAAAGGTTATGTTGATGGAATTTAAAAAAAACAAAGGATGTTTTGAAATTTTTAAAAAACATAAAGTTTTCAAAAAATAAAAATCACTTTCTAGAACCTGACAGTATCTCTTTATCATAGTCAATGTTACCACTTTCTCCATGCAAATGAATTGTTAATCTTTACCTCCAGAATTTTCTATCTCTTAAAGTGTAAAAAGCTATGTATCTGCAGCAAAAATTATCACTTGAATTAAAAAAAAAAAAAAGAATACTTTCAAAGTTGCTGTATGACAGAAATACAATGTAAAGCCAATGGCACATGCATTTAACCATTGCCAATAGTACTTGCATGAAATCATTATCGATGGCACACAGATGAAATAAATGCCAATGGCACTTGCATAAAATCATTGCAAATGGCACATGCATGAAATCACTGCCAATGGCACTTTCATGCAAATATTGCTAGAATGTCAAAACTCTCCTAAAATGAACAGCATAATACTTTGTGATCCGGAACTTTTTATTCTGTTTGCATACAATATATATGCGTGTGTCAAATAACAGAGACATTCTATGTAACAACTTTCTAGTAAATCTACCATTAAGTACATGAGCACAGCATAATTTTACTGTTAATGAAATTTATCAAAGTATTTCATTAGATATAGCTTTCATTAGATATAGCTTTATACCCTTTAAGTAATAATATATTTAATCATGCATCAAATACAAGCATCTCTTAATACAGTAATTTGTTACAAAGTCATTGTGGATATCACAAAATTTTCAGTTAATTTTCTTTTTTTTTATTATATGGTAAACATTATCTCCGACATTCTTTATACACTGGAATACTTTTAACGTTTTACCAAGAAAAGATCTTAAAAGTAAGAAAAGGCGATGAAATTAACCATTTTTACTGACAGGTGCACCTCCATGTTTTATTTCAGGCATGAGAGGTCACCTGAGTACAGCTGATTTTCAGGCTGAAAACTACTTCTGAGGAAGTTAAAGCCCCGCACAAAAATCAACCTGTCACATTACTATTTTTACAGTGTATGTTATATTTGGTTTGGTAGAGAAATTATATAAAATCTTACAACAATATATGATATAACTTTGTACTATTACTTTGTTTCTGTTGGGTTTGGAGTTGCACTACTGACACTTAAAAAGGTTGTCTTTCCAGCTTTATTGGTGAAGGAAGGCCTCGGGTGCCTGTTTTTATTATTTTAGGCACCTGAGTAGAACACCACCGACCGTTAATAAGCAGGCTGGATAGCTTACTCGCAGGAATGTATCTATAGTCCCTGGCGGGAATTTGACCTAACAGAGGTGAAAGGTAAGTAGTTTAATGATAATGGAAGTGCTCTGTTTTGAAATTGTTTCATTTATTTATTTATTGCTACCTAAGACGTTTTTAATACTTAAATAGTAAAACTTGAAAATAAACAGTATAAAGTATGATCTATGTGCCGTCAGGCCCGATTCTACAAGTACAAAAACAATCCAATATCAGCTCTTACATTCAACAAGTAAAATCTTTTCTTCCTAAAGAAAACCTTTAAATCTAAGACATAATTTGAGCCGTGCCATGACAAAACCAACATAATGGGTTTGCATCCAGCATGGATCCAGACCAGCCAGCGCATTCGCGCAGTCTGATCAGGATCCATGCTGTTCGCTATCAGCTTATCTACTTGTTATAGGATTTGTAAGCAAACAGCATGGATTCTGATCAAACTGCACGGATGCACAGGCTGGTCTGGATCCATGCTGGTCGCAAACGCATTATGTTGGTTTTGAAGTGACGCGGCTCAATTATAAACATACAGCATGCCTGTACGATACCACAATAATCTTTGTAACAAACAACTTTTAATACAATACAAGTTTACCCCAGTGCCAGATTCAGTTTTTGATGAAGCTGTTTTTCTCTATGAATTGAAAGCATATGAATTATGATAAAATGAATAACAAAACAAAACATGCAGAAACCAGATATCAAGAAGAAATAACAGCTCCTAAGATGAATATTATTGTTTTAAAGCAGCCTTCAGCTCTTATTTTCTGTTGGGAAAATAACTCTGCTCTGTGTTGTTTCTAAGTATTTCAATATTTTTATTTTGCAAAAGTGCATCATACCACTGTTAATCCCGATAAGACATCTTAAAAGCCATGGTCCTGAGAGCTATTTATAAGGGTATGTGATGTTCCATCGAGAAATAAATCGGTTGCTTTACTTATTTTAATTAGAGAGTGTACCAGTAGATTTGAGGTCTTGAGGGGTTTCCTTATTGTTTATGTATTTTATTGTCGGCAATTTTTTTTAATTTTTTTGATTTGACAATAATGGAAACGATTAATCTAAAAATAACTAATAACATTTAGAAAAGCTGAAGGCCCCTTTAAACCATAATAAATAACAGCTACGGGAAAGTTACAAGTATCTGTTTAAAGCATCAGAAAATGACAATAATAGTATTAAAATTTAGGTATATTTAGGACATAGATATCAATTTTGAGTGCATTGTTGTAGAATAATGCACACTGTTCAAGTTCAAATGTGTAGGAATATAATCATAAAGCCCAATAGGCTTGAATGATTAATTACAAAGTATTTAAAGTATGATAAATCTTGCATTATTTTACTTTAACGCACAAAAATTTAATACTTATTTCCACAAGATCTTACAAAATAGATTTGAGAGGTTGAGAAGTTTATAAAACAATAATTTAGAGGGAGTGTGATAACTTACCTGATCCTTGAGAACAGATTTGAGAGGTTGTGATAACTTACCAGATCTCTGAGAACAGATTTGAGAGGTTGTGATAACTTACCAGATCTTTGAGAACAGATTTGAGAGGTTGTGATAACTTACCTGATCCTTGAGAACAGAATTGAGAGGTTGTGATAACTTACTGGATCCTTGAGAACAGATTTGAGAGGTTTATAAAGGGAGGTTTATTAACAATTATTTAGAGGGGCTGTGATAACTTACCGGATCTTTGAGAACAGATTTGAGAGGTTGTGACTTAGAGGCTCTATGAGTATGTCGAGTGTGACTAGATTTAGGTTTAGGCTCCAGGCTGCCGTGACTCGAGTGCTTCACTTTGTTCCTAATGATTACACCTAGCAACATATGGCACCGGTTTTCTTCTAGACCTGAAATATGAATTTATAGTACTTGTATTTGGAAACACAGTTTGTAAAGTAGTTTTTAAAATAAACATTAGCATATTTAAACAATTAACTCAAATTTGTTCATTCATAAAGGTAACCAATAAAATCTGTTTCTGTAAAAAAACAAATTAAGCTTGGCATTGATTGACTGAAAAAACATGAAAAAAATACCTCTTTTCTAATTCAGATTTAACACAAATTTACTAAATATACTACCTGGTCCATCAAATGGTAGAAGTACCGAGGGTATTTTACTATGTGATGCCAGTGGCACGATGTAGAAGTCTTTGATATTTTTGGCCTTGTGTTCGACCACTCCACATCGACTTCGACTGTTGAGGTAGGAGTATAGATTAATGTATGCTGCCTTCTCTTCATTCACACCAGGTATAAACCTTACAACACATATATCCTGTTTACAGAAAATATATAACCTTACAACACATATATCCTGTATATAGAAAATATATAACCTTACAACACATATATCCTGTATATAGAAAATATATATAACCTTACAACACATATATCCTGTACATAGAAAATATATAACCTTACAACACATATATCTTGTATATAGAAAATGTATAACCTTACAATATATGGGAGACATAAAAATAAGTTGCTTCTTTGTTCATAAAGTTAAATGTTCAAAAAAAAATTAATTTATAACTTTTTTCATTTAAAAATTATATTCCTTCATGGAAAAAAGGGAGATTAGACAGGACTTCACTTCAAGACCAATGTTTGTTTCAAAATCAGTTGGAATACTACGTTCAGATAATAAATATTATAGAAGAATACACACCCTGGTAGCAGACTGTTTGACTTTATTGAGATAGTCCCACACATGTTCCGGGCTGATCCTTCCACATAATGTGATAGTATCAGGTAAACTCTACAAATATATCAATAATAATTTAAGTTCAATAGTTATGTAATAACATTTACTTCATAAACAAAATTCTGAGTAATATATATGAGCACCTGAGGTCTTCCTAGACAAATAAATCTAAAAAGTGTCAAATGATATTAAAACCCGACCTAAAATTTAACAAGAGCACTGAGTGTTAATTTTCAAGTACATTTCTTTATAATATTTTACATATCTTTCAGTTTAAAGTGTCCCAGTTGATCTATGTTAGAAATATAAATTAAATGTTTTTACAGATTTTTGACCAGAGTTACTTAAATTCATATTACCAATGTAATGTACACATTTATGAGCCGTGTCATGACAAAACCAACATAATTGGTTTGCGACCAGCATGGATCCAGACCAGCCTGCGCATCCACACAGTCTGATCAGGATCAATGCTGTTAGCTATCAGTTTCTCTACTTGTCATAGAGTATGTAAGCGAACAGCATGGATCCTGATCAGACTGCTTGGATGCGCAGGCTGGTCTGGATCCATGCTGGTCACAAACCCATTACTTTGGTTTTGTCGTGACACGGCACATTTGTCAAACTTTCTTACCAGATGATCTGCCGGCCCAGTCACCCTATAAGCTGTTGTCACAAATTTAGACACATCCTGCATGAAAATAAATCCTTTCCACAACATTGGGCCAATTGGTGTAAACTTCACGTTTTTATCAAGTCCAGAACTTAAAGCTGAATCAGGAGACCTGAAAATTAATATAATTTAACTTTATAACATTATATGTATATGTTTTATATCGCTCAAAATCAACTTAAAGTAGAACGCCTCTAGATTCATGCTTATTTATATTACAATTTTGAAAATGTATATTATATTAGTTAAATATTGTGAAGTGAAGTGAACAAAGACAGTACTTTACACATTGCAAGCGGCACTAACAATCCAAAAAGAGGTCAAAATATGCAAAAATGGCCCTTACTGTGTTAGTAACCCAGTAGAAATATGTTGATAAATACTGCTAAATCAGTCAATAATCGCACATAACTCAAAATCATAACTTGAATCTTAAACTTTTTTACTTTTTTTCTACAGACGTACAAGGGTAAATCTATATACCCTAAACAAGACAGCATGACAACCAAGAGTAACCCAACACGTAGGGGCATAAAATTGTCTAATTTACACAACAGAAGAGGTTTCTAACCTGACAGTTACTGCTGACCTCTGTTGGGCTTCTAGTTCTTCCTTCCTCTCGTCATCTTTAGCTCTCTGTATAGCTTTCAGGACCTCTTTCACCACCTCATCAGCTTGTAGATCACGCTCTTTCTTTGTCAGCTCCTTAGTCTTTTCTCCCTTTGTCGAAGGTGTCGTTTCAGTTTTAACAGCCTTTTAAAATTACACAAAAATCTGAAGTCTGTGAAAGTTAAATTCAATTCCCAAATTTTTGAATAGGACACCTATTTCTGAAGATTAAAATAATATTTATGCTCAAATTTTGATATTTGAAATTTGAAAATACTGGTAATTGCTAAACAGTTCCTTTTTAAATGTAATATTGAGTGCATACACAAGTGGTTAAGGTTGTTGACTTCGAACTGTAACTCCCCCATCAAAAAACAGACAAAAAACCACATACAGAAGATATGTTTTAAACTTAACACATTATAGGTAAACACAGTATGATTAAAAAGCTGATTTTTTTTTTATTTCAATAAATTTCTGCAATTAAAAGAATTTTATCCATAGACGAGTATAGAAACTTAAGACATCATTTTTTTTCTTTCACTTTATAGCTATGTTTCATAATTTTTATCCTAAATATTGTGGGTAAGGATTTTGGCCACAGATTAAGTGCACCTAAGTTTTAGTGTCATTATTTTTTTAACAGTATTATTTCTTATACCATACCTTGAGAAAGTATGATTTTTGCCTTATCTTTAGTGCATTTCTTATCTTACATAAACTTTAGTAGTCATTATTTCCTCCCCCCTACCTACTTTCAACTTTTATGATATATAACATAATTTATTGTGTTGTTATTTCTTTACAACATATGGTAGCACAGGTTATTTTAACATTTGCTTTATTCAAAATAACTTTTTTTGTCTGTATGAGTACAGTGTAACTTCTAAACCAAACACCTATGGGACTTGCTAAAAAGTTCGGAATTTGGAAGTTTACAGAATTCAGAAGATCGAAATTATCCGATTGCAACAAGTAGAAACACTAAATATCAATTGTTTTGAAAAATATATATGAAGCTGATTAAATTCATAAAATGGCAAAATTATAGGTTCAGATTTCAGAAGATTCCGGATTTTAGAAGTTCCGGAATTCGGAAGTTACACTGTATTAGTACATCAAACTAGTTCCTACCTTGGCTTTAATGGGTGTTGTTTCTGCTGCTGGTACCAGTTTTCCTGTACAGATTTTACAGTTGGCATCAAACAGATGTTGACCATGCATGTCCGTGGTGTCCGGTACATTCTCTGAAACATCATCCTCTTTATTCTCCGATTTTACTGGCTCTTCCTTCTTCTTTGGCTAATGTAATAATATACAATAGATGATGTGTAAAAATGTAATGCATTTAGAATCAACAGAAGAAATTTCAAAAAATTTGAAGATTCACTTTTGCATCGGCAAAGAAGGCCATTTAATAATACAATCACAATAAGTTACTAAAGTTACCTCATCGGCGAGTGTACTGAGATCCTCCCCCTCTTCATCTTGTACCTCTTCTTCACCTTTATGTGTCTTCTTCATCACATGTACTGGCTCCTTCATATGTTCTCTCTCCGTCTGCTTGATCATCTCTATTGTCTATATACATACATTCACAAATCTTATATAATACAATTTCTAAACTAGACCTATCACTGAAGGTGATTAATACCCCCACCAACAACTTTTTGAAAAAAAAGTTGTCTGAAGAAAAATTTGAACACAAACTATCAACTGTGTACAAAGAAATAATTCAATTAATTGTAATCGCAACTGGGGTCTCGAAATAAGCTTGCTATACACCAAGTTTGATTACAACATCTCATTCCTAACTCTTGTTATTGTCAGGAAACCATTTTTTCTATTTTAGTAACACTGTAACAGTGACCTTGACCCTAGGGGGTCCAAATGCAATACCAACCCAGGTCTTCATATAAGCTTCCTATACACCAAATAAGATTACAATATCTCATTCCTAACTCTAGTTATTGTCCGAAAACCATTTTTCGTAACGGTGACCTTGACCCCAGGGGGCCCAAATGCAATACCAACTAAAGTCTTCATATAGGCTTGCTATACGCCAAGTTTGATAACAATATCTCATTCCTAACTCTTGTTATTGTCCGGAAACCATTTTTCTATTTTTAGTAACACTGTAACGGTGACCTTGACCCTAGGGGGTCCAAATGCAATACCAACCCAGGTCTTCATATAAGCTTCCTTTACACCAAATTAGATTACAATATCTCATTCCTAACTCTAGTTATTGTCCGGAAACCATTTGTCTATTTTTCCTAACGGTGACCTTGACCTTGACCCCAGGGGGTCCAAATGCAATACCAACCCAGATCTTCATATAAGCTTGCTATACACCAAGTTTGATTACAGTATGTCATTCCTAAGTCAAGTTATTGTCCGGAAACCATTTTTCTATTTTTAGTAACAGTGACCTTGACCTTGACCCCAGAGGGCCCAAATGCAATACCAAGCCAGGTCTTCATAAAAGCTTGCTATACATCAAGTTTGATAACAATATCTCATTCCTAACTCTAGTTATTGTCCGGAAACCATTTTTCTATTTTTAGTAACGGTGACCTTGACCTTGACCCCAGGGGGTCCAAATGCAATACCAACCGGAGTTTCCACATAAGGTTGCTATATACCAAGTTTGATTACAATACCTCAGTCCAAACTCTAGTTATCGTCCGGAAACCATGATGTGGACCGACCGACGGACAGACCGACCGACCGACTGACCGACCGACAAGCTGACTCCTATATACCCCCCCTAAACTTCGTTTGTGGGGGTATAATAAAACAATACTGTATAAAAGGATATTTCCGTGTGTCTAAAAGTTGTCGAATTTAAAATTCCAGCGAATCATGCAAGGGTAGAATTTAATGAAGTTTGGTTGATAGTAAATGTCAAGAGGAAATTTTAGTGATTTTCCTCAATTCTTGAAATTCCACAATATTTCCACGAGGCTAACTTAACCACTTATATAATAATACTATAATATTTGTAACATCAATAGATGCTCTCTGACGTAATTTTTGACAAAGCTAAAAAATAACTTAAATTTTATATCTTAAAATTTCTACATGTTTACCTTTCTTTACATAAAAGACCTGTTTTATCCGAGTTATTCCTAATCTTTTAAATTAAAAGTTTGCTGCCAATATATAATAAATTGTTTAAAGTGTTTAGTATGACTTTTCTAACTTCGTTTATTTAACTAATGCAAAAGGAAAGTTTTTAGTGGTGTTAAACCTTAGAAAAGCTTAAATACATATATAACTATGTCTATGTCATTTAAACTTACATGTTTAGTTTCATGTTCACGCCACTGAGCTAGTTCCCGATTAGCAAGTTCATCAGCCGTCATTCTAACAAGCTTGCTTGCTCGTACACGACCAGTCAGGATCTTCCTGAACAAACCCTTTAAATATAGAAGTACATTGTATCATAAATCATGTTGTTTAAACATACTGATATCTCAACTGTTTAGTATTGTAGTCGATAACAAAGGGTTGTTGTAAATCATAAACAAGAGCTGTTGGTAAGACTGGCTGCTTGACTATTCTCAGTGCCTGATAGTAAAACAAGACCCTGGATAATGTATAATTTAATCAAAAAGGGCCATAATTCTGTCAATCTCCATGTAAGAGTAATGGGCCTTGGTGAAGTTTCAACTCATTCCCTTCAGTAAATTCTGAGATATCCCAGTTCTTTTTTTTATACCAACATGCATTCAAAAACTTAATCAAAGTGTGACGCCAACGCCTGGGTAAGTACAATAGCTGCCCTATTCTTCAAATAGTGAAGCTAAAAATAACAAAAGTTTGTGTCTGTACTTTACGCTGTCATTTTTGTCATATCTAAGTGGCCAATCAACCTAACAAGGTATCCTGGATAACTAACAAGTGATTACTAATTTCTTCGTAACTGATCAACTACTAATCCCACATGATTTCCTTATCAGATGTGAGAGACAAATGACTATTAGACTTAATGGCCAAAGTAACAGATGAATGAAACCTATCCTGAGGATTGTACCAATAACCCCTGGATTACTATTCAGATGCACTCCCTATCAAAGATATGTATACATAAAACTCTGTAGGCAATCTCTAGCAATGTGGGTTCAAACCCCGCAATGGGCAAGCCATTGCTTCATTGAGCAAAAAACTTAACACTCATTGCTCACTACTGGTTGGTTACAGGAAAGGATTCAAGAGTGTGCCTTTAAGCTATAAGCTTCCTACACAATCAAACTCAAATAAAAGTATGCATAAACTAATCTTCTGTATCATTTAAAGTTTAAAGAACAAAAACAAAATTTATAAGCCATGGTACCGTACCTTATTTTTCTGGTCTTTAATATTGAAGATCAAGCTCCTGTATTTAGCCTTGTACTTGTGGTCTGTGTCCTTGAAGTATTTAAATAACTCCTCCTCCACAGATAAGGCCACACCCTTTATCTCACTGCTTGATAACATGACATCATCCGCAGCCTCAGCTCTAGAAGTAACACAATGATCTTAAGTTTGTATTTTTAAATTTCAATGTCTCAAATAAGCTTACAGTTAAGTCCTTACAAGCATCATTACATATTCAATTGAAAAGGAGAGGCCCTTAACCCTTTACCTCATATAGACGTGTTTTTGTTTGAGAAATGTTGTTAAAAAAAAGTGATCACTTTTTTTTACGCCGCCCTCTATCAAAAAATTACATCAGGCCAGAGGGGAGATGTGCCCTCTTCTCCTTGGGGGTTTGAAGGGGAGGGGCTGCTATATCATGCATGCAAACTATCTACAAATATTGAGAAAATGATTCAAGCATTACCTTGCAGCTAAAGCATCTCTAAGTCCCTTCCTCACATTCAGCCTGATGGGTTCGGGACCCTCGGATTTCTTGGACTTATCGTCTTTACTGGATTTTGATGAATTCTTACTGTCTAATTTCTGGTCAGGCGTTCCTGGAAAATATCATCAATTATTTATCAAAAGAGACTCCATCTAGGGTTTTGGACATAATAGGACTGGAAATAACATTTCAAGATTAATGTTCCATTGGATGTAGGTCTAGATTAATAACTTGTGTGCAAAATTTTTATAATTCTCTCCCTTAGTTTTCCAGAAAAATAATTCCAATTGTGAAAAATTACCCAAATTGAAAAGTTTGTATATTTTGTTATATCACTCTCTTCCGGATGTGATATTTTTGTTACATCACTCTCTTCGGGATTTGATATTTCTTATATAACTCTCTTTGGAATGTGATATTTTGTTACATCACTCTCTACTGGTTATATCAATCTCTACTGGATGTGATATTTTGTTATATCTCTCTTTGGAATGTGATATTAATATATACATGTACTGCCACAGTAAGACACAGATTATAGGTTACACCGACAACATAATATTCATTAAGTAATACTTACTTGGTGCTGGTTTATTATGTGACTTGAGAATCTCAAACGTTGGATTTTCCTCTAACCAAGACTTCACTTCACTTTCTGTGGGTGCCTTTTCTCCAGTCAAAGTTCTACCAGTGGATGGCTCCACTACAGCTACATGCCTCTCCTTTTTCTTTAAAATACAAAAATTATTGAATTTAAACTTTCTGATATAAGAGTACTTCAATCATCTCTAAAAATTTCCAAGAAAGAGTGAGCAAAAGTCACTGAGTAAAGTAAATACATATATATCTAGCTTAAGTGACCTTATAATCTATGAAATAAACAGGCTTTTTAGACAGAATCAAAGTTGTTTTTGTTTGTTTGTTTGTTTGTTTCATTTTACACCTTTTCCCAACAGTATTATGACTTTTTCCATACACTCACCATTTACAAACTTGCAACTCGCAACACATAATACTTCACAGAACATACCTTCGCCTTTTTGTCTTTGTTTTTCAGAATGCTAGGTACCACATTATGTTTAGAATGTTTAGACCTACATTCATCGCTACAGTACAGGGAATCTTTCCTCGGAGATTTAATGTTACATGTGAAACATTTATTGTATGGCTGCTTCGTCTTATCTTTCCCTTCATTCTAAAATCAACAAAAACATTAGGATTTAACTCATTACAGGATATTTATTATATGCCATACACTACACAATGAATAATTAAATGGAAGCGTTTATTTCCATTCAAACAAAATAACCTACTGACCTCCTCCTTAACATGTTGAATCATCCGCCTTCTCTTCTCATTTAAATCAAGGACGGGCTTCAATTTCCTAGAAACTTGTTTTTCTTTACTTTTGACATCACTCTTTGGAGTTGTCTGCCCTTTATTACTCTTCTGTAAAGAAGTGGGTTCCTTGCTTTCTCCAGATTTTGGAGTTGTTTCCCCTGACTGCTTACTTTTTGATGACATGGATTTCTTTGCAATCTTGACTGATTTGGGAGTAGCCTCCCCTGGGGCCTTAGTAGTAGAAGATTTATCTTTTACTGCTTGAGCTGTGTCTTTATCCACAGTTGAATCGGGTTTGATAACCTCCAAGACAAAATAACAAGACAATTTAATGCCCTGTTCTGTATAATTTTAACATAATATCACAGTCAAATTTATAAGAATTAAAAAGATGAAGAATTGTACATGTATAATGAAAATTTTGATTACAGTATAGGTGAATTTTTCTGCATCTTGAAAAGTAAGTGAATTAGAAATTTCTGACATTTCACATAAGGAAAAAGTAGCATATTGTGGAAGGGCAGAATTTAATGACAGGTTGCTTGATATTAAAGCTAGATGAAAATTTAGCGATTTTCATCAAGTCATAAAATTCGCCAATATTAACATTACCACTTATACAGTATATCATATAAGTATACAGTAAACTTCACTTATTGGTTTACAATGATGCTGTTGTCACAGTCCAGACACTTGTTTTCAAATTGGTTGCCCTTGGATATAATGATATAAATTTGACGTTTCCACCAATCACATTATAAGCAGATTTTTACTGTATAAATATATTAGGGATTCATCTTTTAAAATCAACACATTTGAAAAATTCCTAAAATACCCCAAACAAAATAATTTATGGCCATCTACATAATATTTTTTATAGCATGCATATGCACCGACTTAGAAACAACAAGAAAATAAAGTGGCGGCATGGCCGAGTGGTTAATGTGTCGGACTAGTAATCTAATGATCGCTAGCCCCATGGGTTCAAACCCCGTCAGGGGCCAGTCGTTGTTTCCTTGTTTCCAAGAAACTTTACACTCATTGCTCAGTACTGGTTGGTTCGAAAGTGAGTCCTATAAGCTTATAGCTTCCTACACAATGGAACTAAAATATAAACCAAGAAAATAAATAATATGTATTCATACATCAGCAGAGCTACTTCCAGCGTCTGTTTCTTTGTCTGTTGATGGTGTGCCAACAGCTTTCTAAAAACAATAAAATCAGTAATGTAAGATATGTTCCATAACAACACTTGTTATAAATTCAATGTCTTTTTGCGAAATTATCATATTGTTTCTTATTTTACATCAAATTGATGGAGATAAACTTGTAATAAATCATTTTAGGTTTGGGCATTATGTTTTTGTTTTACAGCCATTGCCCTCTTACATTACATTATTCAATATACGACCGACCATAGGAAAAGATAATAAGACAAGATGTGATGTTACCTTAGCAATTTGTTCTGGAGATTGGGTTGTAGAAGCCACATTTTTGTCCTGTATTTCTGACTGTTTACACTGAGGGCATTGGTATTCTTCATTATTTTTCTCCATTTCCGCTCCACGGGCACGTGTTATACCTACGCACTTTCCGTGGAACCATTCCTCGCACTTGTCACAACAAATCATGAACCTAAAACATAAATTAATTTTTTCTATACATTCTTTGCAACAAAATATTTTTAATCAGGAATGATTACAAGTTTCCATGACAAAATTAAGAGACTTCCAATTTTCTTATTATGTACATAACCCAAGTCAGAAAAGAAGAGAGTCAATCATTTGGGCCTCAGTGACTGTGGTTATAGATCAGGGTTTTCTTACATTATATAATATTGGCCTTATGAAAAGCCTATTCCTCACCCCACTTGAAATTTTCTTTAAAATCATTATGTTACCTTTGATTGTGAGGTTGTCTACAGATACAGTATAGCTGATCAGGATCCTCAAAATCTTCATCATTTTCATCGTCCTCGAAGTCCGAGTCACTCTCACCTTCATCATCTATAACAAACATTCAAAGTATTGTTTCCCTTAATTCGCCAAGTCTACTAGATCAGCAAATTTTGATTTTTGAAATTTTGGAATTAATTTATTTCCAAAAGTTTTCAGAAAGTATCAGAAGATTAAACACTGTTTGCTATGACTTGTTTAAACTGACTTATCATCACTGTAGTGCAATAACTAACTCCTAATAAATTTAGAAAAACTTAACCTGTTACTGCACTTAGGTGATGTTATTTGCTAGCCTGACAGTCTAACTCTTGACAATCATGTTTATGTCAAAAAACATGGGAATATTATATATAAAACATTCATGTTAAAATGAAATTAAAACTGTTCCATTTCAATGCAAAGTTCACGATATTATTTATACAAAGATAAATTTTCTTAAATTACATATGTTTTATTACTTCTATTGTCTTAAAAACATCACATCACTTTTGTCAGTTTAGTTGTCTTTGAAAAGATTTGAAAGGTGTTTGTATGAAAGAGATCAAAAGCAAAATATTTGTCAACTGAAGGCTTATAAATAAATAATGTAACATACTGGAAGTGACAAAGTCAACTTTGTAGAGGTATTGAGAGATACAAAGCTGTAAAAGGCATTAAAATTTGTTTGTTTTTTTTGTTTTTTTACAAAGCTGTAAAAACTTTTACCACTGCCAAGTTTTTCTTTCTTCAATATTTCAGACATTGCTTTCCCCTTATTTCTACGTTTACGTCCAGTCCCTTCATCGGTTCCATCACTGTCTTCAGTAGTGGAAATTTCCTCCTTTACAACTTTCACCCTTGGCTTAGGATCATTAATTTTCAATCTTCTTTCAGAAAAGAAGTCTGACATTTTCAAAGGATTTTTGATTTTCTTTTTGGATGGTGTTGCAATTGTTTCTGCAACAGCATCTTTGTTATCATCAGTTTTGCCAGTATCACTAACTTCAGAAACAACACTTGTAGAAATTTTCTCTTCTGATTTGGGTTCTGATTTCAGTGTATCTGTTTCTATTTTATCAGATACATCTGGTTTCTTATCGTCAATTACTTCCTTAGTCTTATCTTTTTCTTCAAGTTTAGGTACTTCTTGTTTAAGTTCAGTACCATCATCTTTTTCAACTTTTATTTCATCAAGAGTTTCAATATCTACCTCTACATCATCTGTTGCTTTATTTGCTGTACTACTTTCAATTACAGTTTCACATTCTGTGTCCACTTTGTTAGTTTCAGTAATCTGATCTGCCTTACTTTCCTTTTTCACATCACTTTTACCTTTTTTCTCCGCTTTATCTTTATGAACATTAATGACAAATATTTTTGGTTCTTCCTCTTTCTTTAAAACTGTAGAGTCTTTTGAAATATCTTTGCTCTTTTCAACCAATTGTTTGTCTGTGGCAGACTCATTTGTTAATTTTATCACTTCAGGTCCTACAATCTCTACTTTTTCAGGTTTATTTTTCTTTGAAGTTGAATCATCTTTAAAGGATACTTTTGACACTCGTTCTTTTTCTTGTGAAGTTTCTACCTTCTTTTCCTTCTCACCTGCCTGTTTGCTATTTACCTCATCTTTAACAGGTGCAGGCAAATTATCAGGCATAAATAAGTCGGCCATTGATGAATCTATCGGAACATCATCTGATTTCTTTGATTTTTTACCTTTCACTTTACCATCTTTACTTAATTTCCCGCCCTTTTTCAAAATCCCTCCATGCGCAATTTTTCCACTTTTATCTGAACTAACACTTCCCACAGATTCTCTACGGTTTATCACACTTTCAGACTTTTTACCATTATCTTTACTTCCTGAAGTTGAATCTTTTCTACTTTTGTCTGTTGAGTCTGAACTTTTTCTGCTTCCATGCCTGTCTCTTTCTCTATGACTTCTTGAACTTCTATCTTTATCCTGAGAATGTCTCCTATCACTAGAGTCTTTTCGATCATGAGATTCGTGTCTATGATTTCCTGATTCTGTCCGGTCCTCCGACACGGACTCCTTCCTGTCATGAGAATGTTTCCTATGATGATGATGATGAGATGAACCTCTACTGTCCTCTGAATCATGTCTTTTATGAGTTCCTGATTGTGATTTATCATCCTTCAACTTTTCGACACTTACACCAGTTTCTTTAATCACTGTTTCTGGTTTTAATTCTTCAGTTTTCACAGAAATTTGTTCTTCTTTCACACTGCTTGAATTATCACTTTCTTTAGGTTCTTTATCTACCACTGACTTTTCATCCTTGACTTCACTATCAGTGTTATTCTCTTTATTACTAACACTCTTAGTAATCACCTTACTTTCTTCACTATCTTTATTGTCTTTAACTTTAACATCACTCACTTCAACACTGTCTGACTTAATTTTGTCAGTCTTGACTACAGCACTATCTTCAGACACTTTCTTTGACTCATCAACACCATCAGTTGCTTTATTGTCTTTTTCATCATCTTCAGCCATAAAACCCATTGCTAAGCTGGCAAATATATTTTGATCTCCTCTGACAGGTGCTTGAATACTTTGAACTGTGTCCTGATCAGGTTTTGCATCTTTCTACAAGTAAAATATTGTAACTTACATGGTCAGATACAGATATTCTTAACCCTTAACATGCTAAATTCTTTATTTTAAAGGATCTTCACTGATTTCAAAAAGCCTAAAAACATAAAATTTGAATTTTGTACTTAGATCAAGTGAGGCACTTTAAATGGAAAAATCTACATGGATCAAAAAGTATTATATTAAGAATAAAATTGAAAATTGACAGTTATTGCAATTCTAAGCCAAACATAGGTAAAATGCATTGCAACATTTTTCACTTTTTGGGTCATTTTGCACAATCAAAATATTATTCTGGAATAACAAGGTGAGGGAATGATCTGAAAATTTGTATGCAGGTTATTTGTTCATGGTACACAAATCTTTGGAAGATATTTAGAGTCCTGTCATGTCAAAAACACTCAGTGGAGTCCCTTTAAGCTGTGCAATTAATTAAATAAACTTTCCGAACTTTTATTTTAAGAAAGGAAAGTCACTAAATAGCTCTTGTGAAGCTGTGTTGAAGAAAACATATCAGTGATATGATGCACTTCTCTAAGATAAAATCAATGAAATACATAGCTTGAAACAACACAGAATTGCTTTTCAAACAAAAAATTAAAAGCTGAAGGCAACTTTAACTTATTTTGGTTCATCACATTACCAGTGTCATAGGTAAAAAGTTTTTACAGTTAAAAACATCGTCAATGTCAGGAATCGACAAAAAATTGCATGGCTAATCATTTTTTAAGATAAATGTCAGAATTCTCATAATCAGTTTGTTTACATTTAATGATTGAAAACCTAGCACAAAGCTTGTGTTTTAGGTTATGTAAAAATTGCACATTTTATCTCTACTCATAAAAAAAAGCTAACGAGTGGAATTTTCGCTCCCTGATTATATGAGGGATTTAACTTACTGCAGCATTTGATCTAGTTGTTTTCAGAGGTTTATCCTCCTCTGAGTCTGTCACTTCAGCCTTAGACGTCTTTGTCTAGAATGAAAACATTTTCATTTTGTAAACTCTCAATTTTTATGATTAGTGAGTCAAGCTAAACAGATCAATGCAAAAGAGCATCTGAGATTTTCCTATACAGTAAAGCTGATAGGTAGTAATATGGCAGCGTCCATGCAACCTACGGACACAACTTAGACCTAACAGAAAATTAACTGTTAAAATGTTTTAAACTAGAACAATAGCTTCAATTAAAAAAAATATCTCTTTCCACTTACAGTTTTTTTCTGCTGAGCCATTTTCTGCTTTTTGGTTGGAGTAGAAACAGGAGATACTGTTTTTTTAGCTGCCCTGGCAGGAGAAGCCTGTATATACAAAACAAATCATCAATTAATCTGCTATAATGATCTTGGTCAATGTAACATCAGCAATTACGTCACGAATGTCTCGTGATATCTTACCACGTATTAATGTGTAATACCAAAGATTTAAGGTTCATTTGAAAACATTTAAAAAACATATAAAATAAATGTACTTTGTAACATTCTTCAAATAAATATAACATCTATCCAGCCATGGAGTCTTTAATATTCTAATACTGAATTGACAATCATTTGAAAACCTATAATAAATTTACACTTTATTGAACAAATTCATTTGACTCAACAGGGTTTTCATTTCTATCTGAGGCAACACAAATGCCAACTCTAATGACTAATTTGGCCGGGAGTTAAAATACTAGAGATATTTTCAATCTACAGGCTTAAATAAAACAAATTTTAACATCATTTTAACCAATGATATGGATCACAAAACAGTTAATAATGAAAACCCTGCTCAATCATTCAATTTTCAAACACAGTATTTTACATACAGAATACTTTAATTAACCTTTTACCCCATGAGCATATTGCGAAAAATGGCCGTTTCATTGAAAAGCCTCTTGTAACAAATTCAAACTGCTATGAAACTATGAAAAATGCTTCAATACTGATGAAACTTGGCACAAATGTTGACTAGACCATAGCCTCTGTAACAGCATGCTCAATCCTAAATTTCCTGTTACCATGGCAATGGGGGGACGTCTCAAAATTGCCAAAAATAACTATTTTGCATTGTTTTTTTTTTCATCAAAACTGATTTCAAAGTGCTGCAACTTCTCAATGAATTGAGATAGAGTAAAAGGCTTTTCAGCGTTGGTTACTAGTTACCCTAAGATCGACTTGAGGCCATTTTTAGCCTGTCACACTTCCAAAGTTTTCTTGGCAAAGTGATTCAAGTACATGTAAGCTTTTAGCTTTCATTACAATAAAGCTAAAATAAATATGTATGAACTTAACAATAAATAAACGCCCAACAAACCTTTCGTTTTTCTCCAGCTTTTGGTGATTTATTTTCGGCCACTTTGGTCTCATTAACTTTTGCTTTCTTTCTTGGAGATGCATCTGTAGACTCGTCCTCAGTTTCCGCTTTCCTCCTTCCTGCCACAGCTTTTCCTTTCTTTAAAGCCTTTTTCTTTGGTGTAGAATCAGAAACTTCTGCCTCTTTTTCTGTTTCCTTGCCCTTCTTTTTCTTTTCTTTCTTTTTCTCCTTTTTCTTTTCTAGGAGTTTGACTTTCTTTGCTTCTTTGGCTTCTTTCATTTTCTTTAGTCTCTGTTTCTTAGACAGTTTCTTAGCTTTCTTTTTTGGAGATTTTTCTTCTGAATTTTTCTTAACTTCAGTTTCACTTTCCTCTTCAGACTCTTCTGTTTTCTTATCAGCTTTTGCATCTTTCTTTTTCCCTTTCTTTCCTTTAGCCTTTCCTTTCTTTTTCCCCTTTGCCAATTTCTTCTTCTTCCCTTTTTTAGCTTTAGCATCTGCAACCTCCTCATTTTCAGATTCATTCTTTGTCTTTTTTTTGCCTTTTGTTTTGTTTTTAGTGTTTTTATCTTCTTCACCACTATAATCACTATCATCTTCATACTTTCCACCTTTTTTCTTCTTTTTACCACCTTTGGAATTTTTCTTCCCGCCTTTTTTCCCTTTCTTTTTCTCATCCTCAGATTCACTAGCAACACTTACATTGTCATCATCCTCTTTTTCTTTGACAACTTCGTCTTCGTCGTCATCATCATGACTTTCGTCATCCTGAGAACTCTCGTCCTGACTAGACTGAGATGCTCCTCCAACATTACCAGCTGCACTCGCTTGACCTCGGCCTCGACCTCGACCTTTTGGTGATGTCTTTACTGCAGACGCAGACTCAGACTAAATATAGAAATTATCAAATTATCAACATACGTTTGATTATTATATATCATTACAAACATATATTTATCATACTAAAAAACAACAATATCCTGTAACATTTACAGAACAGTCAATTGCTATAAACCTTGTAAAGTAACACTTAACAAGCAAAATCTTGCTGCAGTACATGTATTTGACATATGAATGAATCCATCACAACACTAGTAACATATTTGTCTTGCCCAATTTTTTTTATAATTTCGAACTGTTTGTTGTTATTAAATATCAAAATACTTAAAGGGACTCCACTGAGGGTTTTTAAGATGACAAGACTGGATATATTTTCCAAATATGTATGTTTCCCCCCAATAACCTGCAAATTTTTAGATCATTCCCTCTACCCATTTTTTCAGAATCATTTTTATCGTGAAAAATAATCTAAAAATGAAAAGCACTCCAACACTTTTCACTCCAATTGGGCTTTGAGCTGCACACACAAAAAAATAGATTTTCAATTTAATTCTAAATATATTTCCTAACTGTCCTTTGCAGATTTTTTTTATTTCAAGTACTTAACTTGAATTAAGAACTTAAAATTTCATGTTTTTAGGCATTTTGACCTCAGTGGAGCCCCTTTAAAATTGAGCATCCTATAGATACATTCAGGTCAGAGTACAAGGACACGTGAGCTTGCCAGGTTTTATATTGGTTGTACAATTTATGTTGCTAAGATTTAAATAGTCTAATAAGAGGTTATTCAATTTTCGCTACAGACACAGTTTTTTTTACCCTCAGTAACAAATACTGATGGGAATATTGTAAAAGACAGCAATAATAACCTGTTCAGCATCATCTGTGTCCATTTCTGCCTCCATCGCCTGTCTGTTAGCTAACATTATCTTCTCTGCTAAATCTCTCTGTTTCTGGTCACTGATACGTGTTGATGCCCTGAAATATGTATAGGTAAAACATACAATCTGGAATAGCTAATGCCTGTTGATGCCCTGTAAAAGGTATAGGTAAAACATACAATCTGGAATAGGCATCAGTAAAACATTCAGTACATTTTTGAGGCTCTCAAAAGGGCATCATTTATAAAATACATACAATATCAAAGCTCTGGAAATAAACATTATTGAAAAACAAATTATTGATGCTCTAAAATAGGCATTGAAAGAATATACTGAGGCATTATCAAAAAATCTTGTATTACAAAAACTACTACTTTCACAGGAATGAAACTAACCGTAAAGTTAAATGAAAACTAAGGTTATAAATCAAATACTGCATGTCCCAATGTGATTTAACAAAATACTAAAATGATAAAATAATTCATGATTTACTCAAAAAGAAAACAAACCTAAATCCGAATGGAAGCGGCATACCAATATCAACCCCTCTGCCCCTCCCTCGGCCTTTGCTAGGACTTTCTTGCGTTATCCAGTCCTCATCGAGGTACTTGCTCCGGGTGTGAGCCCGCCCTGACTTCCTGGGTGATGTTGTAGGACTCTCTGTCTTTGAATCAGTATGCTCAGCTTCTGAATCTGTGAAGGCAAAACCTTATTAAAACTTATCATGTGCTATAAATATCACATACCACTTTTATAACTGCGTAAAAACAGTTTTGCTCGGATGAGCAGATATTTCAACGTCTGAGATGTCTTTTGCATTTACAAACATAGTGTAAAGTGATACTTGTTAACTGTAAACAGTTCTTAATTTGAATATGTGATAAAAAGAAAATACGATTTTTGTGACCGTTCATTACGTAATTTATTGAACTCGTTGAATAAAATGCACAAATGAGTACTGAAAGTCTATCTCTAACAAAAAAGCTGATAAGTTTGATCAAAATTAGAATATCCTTAATATATATAAACAAACCTGTTGTCATGGTGAGAGCCGTGGGAACAGCATTGATAGGTATTGTATTACCTGACTGTTCAACTGCCACCATCACTGGCACACTTTTCGATGAAGGCTGTACGGTAACAGCCTTTGGTTTCTGTGAACTGATCTTATCTGGGTTCATACAATATCCGTGGTCAGAGAACACAACTGATATAATGGATTCCTGAAACACAATTCATATTGATATATAAATAATACATGTATAAAAATTTAGTGGTATTTAATCCTCATCACAAAAAAAATACTAGTATAAGGTCCTTCTGTCAGAATTCCAATACCAAATTATTGTATACAGTGTAACTTCTGAAAACCAATCACCTGTGGGACCTAAAGTCCTATGACCGGTTCCTTGTTAACAATAAACATTGTTGTTTACATTTTTACTTTCTTCTGATTTGGAAAATAAATATTTGATCATAAATGAAGCAAAAGTCATTTATTATTGAGGTAGAAATAGTCTGACTGGACGCCATTTGAAATGACTGTCAAACATTTGATTGGCCTTCCTTTCAGAGGTCTTCTAACTTGCCAATTCTCTTCCTAGAAGAGCCCAATCGAAGCAGCCACTAAAAGTATGTTTCTTTGACATATTTCTAAGCAAATTTCTGGAAAAATCTGCTTCTTAAAAGATTAAAAAAATAAAATTTTTTGAAGGAATCTTTGACTTACTGGTAAAGAATCGGAGCTATCGCGTCTAGCTGAGGTTGATGCCATGACTGAGTCACCTTGTCCAGCGTGTCCTGTGGACTCCGCACCAGCTGCCAACTGTTCAGTACCGTCAAGATGAAGAAAGTTCAGGCCAGGACTGGACTGCTGTAGCAGTTCCTGGACACTAGCCGATGACAATACTTCATCTAACTTATTTAAATGTTCCTCTGAAAATTCACTGAAAGGATTCTTGTCCTGAAATATTCAGTGAACTATATAGTTTTATTTCAGGAATTTTCAATTCTTTAAACAAAGGTAGGATAACCATATATTCTACAATTCATTAATCAAAGAATGCTTGACTGACACAGTCAGCATAGAAGCAAACATTCACTACATGATAATATCAAAGACCCAAACCTTTTTGGCAATAATTACAGTTAAAGTGAATAAGTACATGTATTTTGTATGGAAGTTGAAAATACTACTTTGTTTACATTTTGCTAATTTTTTATGACAAATTATTTCACAGTAATTGCTACTTTCATCAGAGAATATAAATATTGAGTAACGATATTGTAATTACTGAAGTGATCTATCTTAAAAGAGACAGCTGGGTTTTTTTCTGGCCTATTTTGATGGTTGTTATTTGGTCATGTTCCGAATGCCAAAAAGTACAGGTTTTTTCCCAATTTCAAGGTGAAAATTCCCAATTTAATGAACAAAAAAAATTATTAAGTTTGTTTGTTTGTTTGATTGGGTTTTACCTCACACCGACACAGTATAGGTCATTTGGCGACGTTCCAGCTTTACTAGTGGAGGAAGACCTCAGGTGCCCTTCCGTGCATTATTTCAGGCACGAACGGGCACTCGAGTAGAACCACTGACGTTCCATAAGCTAGCTGGATAGCTTCCTCACATGAAAGAATCCAAAGTCCCTGTCGGGAACCCACAGGGGTGAGGAGCAAGTGGTTTGAAGTAAAATATAAAGTAGAATTATTGTCATTTAGTTACATTTAAGTGCACTGTGCCATAGAAAATTGTAATCCTGCATTCCAAATTGCATTTGTGCTTATGGGTGCAATATAAACAGAGTTTTATTATCCAATATTTCTAATATTTCTTTGTCTTATTTTGACATATTCAATATATTGCAAGATTATTCCCACATTGTAAAAATTTCCCAATTCTAGGGGTCATGTTCCCATTCTGCTGACAAAAAAACCCTGAAAAGTGACATGCAAATTAGACAAACCTCCATTCCATCAAAATGCCAGCTTAAATCAGTCCTGTCACTTGATGATTGGTTATTGTTGACTGCTTGGTTTTGTATATGCCCCGCCTCCTTTGAGGATTCTATTGGCTCCGCCTCTTTTGAGGATTCTTGAGCTGTGATTGGTTGAGAATAAGGTATTGCTGCCTCTAAGCTATCACTCATTGCCTACCACAATCAAGCTGTAACAAAACAGTTTCAATATATTGATAAAATAATGTTTTTCTTATTTATTGCATTTAAATAATAAAATTATAGTAGTGCAGTTATCTATAACACATATTTCTTTCACATTATTATTCCGTAATGTAATTATGTAATAGAAAGTTTTCCTGTCAATATTACACATGCAAATAACAAACAACAAAAGGCATAATTATAAATCTGTCAAAACTTATCATATCCCAAAATCCCATGGGGATTTAAAGACAAACTTTCTGTGAAAGATGAGATCCCTTGAGAAATCTGTTACATTTCTTAGCTACTATGCCATAATGTTATAAATTTGAATTTGTTGGTTTGTTTTTTTATGCCAATTCTTAAACATATTTTGGTCATACATGTATCTTGGCAAGTGGTTTACCCAACCTGTTTACCTGAATAATTATCCAGTTATTACCAATTTCTCAGCAAATAACAGACTTCTAAAAAGCATAGGCGAAAACACATGCCTTTAATAAATTTATCAGACATGACCGCTGTAATCAGCCCCTGTGGTTGAAGAAGATAAAAAGCGCTGATTGTAGAAAGCATTAATAATAGCTATAGAATGGTATGATTATAGCTGAAGCCCCAGTTAGATAACTGGTAATGCAAAAGTGCAAATTTGTCAATGGTGGTGCTAATTAATAACTCCATCGAAAGGAGACAAGGTATACCAAAAACACTTGAAGATTTTTTATTCTAAAATCTTACTTTCAGTTCCTTTTTAAAAGTCTTAAAGATTTATATAAACTTTTATTAGAATTATTCAACTTGTTCAGTTTAAAATAGATATTCTCCTAACCTTCACATTTCTTGGTGAGATGGATGAAGGAGTCACCTTGTCTCACAATATTTTCTACCAGTTTACCAAGAAAAGCAAAAGCACTTGTTGCTCTCATTTCCATTAACACCTTAAATAATTTTTGAAGGGTCATCTTGTCAAATATTCCAATGTTAAAATACACATCAGTAATTGTCCATGCCAAGCATGCCTGAACTTGAGTGACATTGGTAAAAATTATTTTTCACATGTGTCAGATTATGCTGTTTATTACAACATTTCTTATGTCACACTTTCATTTTCTTGCTGGAAATCTAAAGATAAATGCTTGAAGTTTGAAACATGAAGTTGTTGTACAGTCTGTGTTTGTTTTAATTGTTTTATAAATTAAATTACAGTAGTAGAGTACTTGGTTGATTTTCTAGCTATCTGGATGGGTTTTTATTTATTAATTTTTGGTGCACTTCACCTGGGGAAAAATATCATGAATAAAACAATTTGAGATGAGTCTGGCATTATCTTTTTGCCAATCATAGTTAAAGGGTATATTTTTGTTGGTAGAAAAGTGTAAATAAAATGGGTCAAAGACAGAAAAGGCCGGGTTGCATTTGTACACCAAATATCATGAGGCTGTGATGTTACAAAAAAAATTTCCATTGACCCATTAATGTCGAAAATTTAATTCAGTAGGGTATACAGGAAGTGGTTGAGCTACACACCTAAAATCGAATCCCACAGTATGGGACCATGTGTCAATGCTGTATGCCAAATATCAAAAGGCTGTGATTAGTAGTTTCTGAGAAAAATGTTACGAAAATTTCCTACCAGTGACCATTAATGTGAACAGGAAGTGGATGAGCTGCAGACTTGAAATCGAATCCCACAGTATGGGACCATGTGTCAATGCTGTATGCTAAATATCAAGAGGCTGTGATAAGTAGTTGCTGAGAAAACTGTTACGAAAATTTCCTAAAATTGACCATTAATGTCGAAAAATCTAACTAATTTAACTAAGTGGATAAACAGGAAGTGGATGAGCGACAGACCTGATATCAAATCCCACAGTATGGGACCATGTGTCAATGCTGTATGCCAAATATCAAGAGGCTGTGATAAGTAGTTGCTGAGAAAACTGTTACAAAAATTTCCTATACCATTGACCATTAATGTCGAAAAATCTAACTAATTTAACTAAGTGGATAAACAGGAAGTGGATGAGCGACAGACCTGAAATCAAATCCCACGGTATGGGACCAAGTGTCAATGCTGTATGCTAAATATCAAGAGGCTGTGATAAGTAGTTGCTGAGAAAACTGTTACGAAAATTTCCTACCATTGACCATTAATGTCGAAAAATCTAACTAATTTAACTAAGTGGATAAACAGGAAGTGGATGAGTGACAGACCTGAAATCCAATCCCACTGTATGAGACCATGTGTCAATGCTGTATGCTAAATATCAAGAGGCTGTGATAAGTAGTTGCTGAGAAAACTGTTACAAAAATTTCCTACCATTGACCATTAATGTCGAAAAATCTAACTAATTTAACTAAGTGGATTAACAGGAAGTGGATGAGCAACAGACCTGAAATCCAATCCCACGGTATGGGACCATGTGTCAATGCTGTATGCTAAATATCAAGAGGCTGTGATAAGTAGTTGCTGAGAAAACTGTTACGAAAATTTCCTGCTATTGACCATTAATGTTGAAAATTTAACTAGGTCAGCAAACAGGAAGTGGATGAGCGACAGACCTGAAATCGAATCCCACAGTATGGGACCATGTGTTGATGCTGTATACAAAATATCAAAAGGCTGTGATACGTAGTTGCTGAGAAAACTGTTACGAAAATTTCCTACTATTGACCATTAATGCTGAAAATTTAAGTAGGTCAGCAAACAGGAAGTAGATGAGCGACAGACCTGAAATCGAATCCCACAGTATGGGACCATGAATTGATGCTGTATACCAAATATCAAAAGGCTGTGATAAGTAGTTGCTGAGAAAACTGTTACGAAAGTTTTTTCCCCACCCGCCCGCGCCCGGACGCCCGCCACCGCCCAACATTCACCATACTATAACCCGGGCGGGTTTGCACCAGTGCAACCCGGCCAAAAAGAAAATTATAAGCCAACTTATTTAGATTTTAACAGTTTTAATATTTAAATGTTTTTTTAACATGATTTAATAATAATATATCAATGTATCATTTCATAATAATGGCAAAAAAAATAATGTCATTTTTATTGAAGTAAAGAGTAACACCTACAGTACAGCTTTAACAATTTTCGCACTGCGGGATATCATCACAGTCACTGTGGATAACTGTGCAATATTGTAGGGGCATTTCACTCTATCAGGTGACCATTTATCAATTTATTACACATGGACTTACGTCCGTTAAAAATAACACATGCAATATTTGTTACCAGTGTTTTTATTCACTTTTTGGGGAAGGGGGTCGGTGCCGCTTGGAAGGGGAAAAATGCAAAAGGAGGGGGAATTTTATTTCTTCACAAATGAAGAAACAAAAACGAATCCAATGCATATTTTAATACATCACTTACCACTGTAAGATTTACTTTTGTTTGACATTGAGTAGAAAAGGGGAGCAACTCTTGCAACACAAGTTTAAAAAACGTCGCTTTTTCTTAATATTATACGGATCTAGAATATTGACAGCAGAATTTAAAGAGTCGCATGTTAAACTTGTTGGGATGCCAGGAGTAGCTCCCCTTACATACCCGGGAACAATTGTAAACAAACTTTGCTTAACAGTAAGTCTTACAGGCTTAATATAAAACATTTTTCGGCAGTTATATGCAAAAAAAAATGGTATCCATTGCAGGCAAATTTTGGCTGCCATATGAGGGGGAAATTTCGGCTTTGAGAGGGGAAAAAACATACTATTTTGAGGGGGGAATGGGGCCGAATTTCGCCGAATATTTTGGTGAAAAAAAACACTGGTTACCTAAAATTTCTGAAGACAGATATTTGCCCCACTGTTTTAAAAATGTTAAAATACATAATTGTTTTGTTATCAAATTTCATTGCAGATGTTATATGGGGAAGACAAACGCCGGGGCTGCTAAGCGGGCATGGGCTTTGACTTGCCGGCTATAGAGTTAGACTACAAGTGTATATCTAAAAGAAAATCAAATGAAAAAACAAATTAAAAATATACAGAATTCTATACCTATCAATGAAATTTTTAGTGTTCGTTCTCGCCGGGCAACGCCATTTTAAATGTTACTCAATTATAATAAGCGGTGTATTCTGATAATGAACAATCGCAACGTTTCTGATTAATAATAATCAAGTATTCCGAGTGAAAACAGTAGCGGTTCATGAAAATACTGAATGACACATTTAAAACAGAAAAATGGGTCAAAGACAGAAAAGGCCGGGTTGCATTTGTACACCAAATATCATGAGGCTGTGATGTTAGGAAAAAAAATTTCCATTGACCCATTAATGTCGAAAATTTAATTCAGTAGGTAAACAGGAAGTGGATAAGCTACACACCTAAAATCAAATCCCACAGTATGGGACCATGTGTCAATGCTGTATGCCAAATATCAAGAGGCTGTGATAAGTAGTATCTGAGAAAAATGTTACGAAAATTTCCTTTCATTGACCATTAATGTGAACAGGAAGTGGATGAGCTGCAGACTTGAAATCGAATCCCACAGTATGGGACCATGTGTCAATGCTGCATGCTAAATATTAAGAGGCTGTGATAAGTAGTTGCTGAGAAAACTGTTACGAAAATTTCCTACCATTGACCATTAATGTCGAAAAATCTAACTAATTTAACTAAGTGGATAAACAGGAAGTGGATGAGCGACAGACCTGAAATCAAATCCCACGGTATAAGACAATGTGTCAATGCTGTATGCCAAATATCAAGAGACTGTGATAAGTAGTTGCTGAGAAAACTGTTACGAAAATTTCCAACCATTGACCATTAATGTCGAAAAATCTAACTAATTTAACTATGTGGATAAACAGGAAGTGGATGAGCGACAGACCTGAAATCAAATCCCACAGTATAAGACAATGTGTCAATGCTGTATGCCAAATATCAAGAGACTGTGATAAGTATTTGCAGAGAAAACTGTTACGAAAATTTCCTAACATTGACCATTAATGTCGAAAAATCTAACTAATTTAACTAAGTGGATAAACAGGAAGTGGATGAGCCACAGACCTGAAATCAAATCCCACGGTATGGGACCATGTGTCAATGTTGTATGCCAAATATCAAGAGGCTGTGGTAAGTAGTTGCTGAGAAAACTGTTACGAAAATTTCCTACCATTGACCATTAATGTCGAAAAATCTAACTAATTTAACTAAGTGGATAAACAGTTAGTGGATGAGCGACAGACCTGAAATCAAATCCCACAGTATGGGACCATGTATCAATGCTGTATGCCAAATATCAAGAGGCTGTGATAAGTAGTTGCTGAGAAAACTGTTACGAAAATTTTCTACCATTGACCATTAATGTCAAAAAATCTAACTAATTTAACTAAGTGGATAAACAGGAAGTGGATGAGCGACAGACCTGAAATCGAATCCCACGGTATGGGACCATGTGTCAATGCTGTATGCCAAATATCAAGAGGCTGTGATAAGTAGTTGCTGAGAAAACTGTTACGAAAATTTCCTACCATTGACCATTAATGTCAAAAAATCTAACTAATTTAACTAAGTGGATAAACAGGAAGTGGATGAGCGACAGACCTGAAATCGAATCCCACGGTATGGGACCATGTGTCAATGCTGTATGCCAAATATCAAGAGGCTGTGATAAGTAGTTGCTGAGAAAACTGTTACGAAAATTTCCTACCATTGACCATTAATGTCAAAAAATCTAACTAATTTAACTAAGTGGATAAACAGGAAGTGGATGAGGGACAGACCTGAAATCGAATCCCACGGTATGGGACCATGTGTTAATGCTGTATACAAAATATCAAGAGGCTGTGATAAGTAGTTGCTGAGAAAACTGTTACGAAAATTTCCTACCATTGACCATTAATGTCAAAAAATCTAACTAATTTAACTAAGTGGATAAACAGGAAGTGGATGAGCGACAGACCTGAAATCGAATCCCACGGTATGGGCCTATGTGTTAATGCTGTATACCAAATATCAAGAGGCTGTGATAAGTAGTTGTTGAGAAAACTGTTACGAAAATTTTTTCCCCGCCCGCCGGCCGCCCACCACCCGCCCGGCGCCCGACATTCACCATACTATAACCCGGGTTTGCACCTGTGCAACCCGGCCAAAAATGGATGTTTGTTTCAACCAACTTCCTTGTTCATAGGCTTTGCCTAATTTCATATTAATTATTTTATTATTTGATCTTTGACCTTGTTTTTGGTTAAATGAAAACCTATTTCATGGTCAGTGATCTCTGACTTTGTTTATTTACATAATTTTACAGGGATTAGTCAAAGACCGGCACTGTGAAGCTTTGGTTTGCCAGGCTATAGAATACTCATGTATATATAAAAGAAAATGAAATAAAGAAACAATTTTGTTTGTTTGTTTTGGGTTTGACGTCACATGGACACAGTATAGGTCATATGGCGACATTCCAGTTTTACTGATGGAGGAAGACCTCAGGTGCCCTTTCGTGCATTATTTCAGGCACGAACGGGAACCTGAGTAGAACCAAAGAAACAATTAAATAATATATAAAGTTCTATACCCAACAATGAAATTTTCTGTAGGTTCTAGTCGGACGCAGCCATTTTCAATGTAAATCAATGATAATAATTAAAGTGTATTCAATAATAGGCAAGGTTTTCCGATAACAAACAATCACAACTTTTCGGATTAATAATAATTGTCGAGTATTCCGAGTGAAAACGGAAGCAGTGCATGAAATCTAGAATCAGAATGACACCTTCAAAACAGAAAAACGATTTTTTCAAACAGACTTCCCCGTTTATAGGCTTTTTAAATTTAATACTCTACTGTATTCAACTTCCAAGCATAAATGACATAAAAGAGATACATGTTTTATGACCACCCAAAAAAATTTCATTCCCAGAGGCAATGACAAATTCTACACTTTTGCCAAATTTTATAAAGCACATGCAAATAATGTAAATATCTAAACAAGTCCTACAAACATAATAATTTTACAAAGTCAAACATTTTTATGATGCAAATAACAAAAAAACAAAAACTAACCAAAACCAACACAATTTACATACTGATACACACCTTCGTCATGCAAAAATAATTGTTAGTTACACAATTGAAAGTCACGGCTACTACAAATGCAAGGCACTGAAGTTTACATGCATAAAACCCACAAAATTGACGTCATTTCTCCACAAATCTTGACCATGCTCATCGCCATTTTTAATGCGTCACGTGACACAACAAAAGGTTTGTAACGAATAACTGCATACAATATCGCTGTGGTCTCAATACAGGGGACGCTTAAGATCTATAATTATACTGTTTACATGTAAGAAATGCATGACACATAGGTAGAATTGATATGATTTAGTTGTTCCATTGTACCAGGATCTTTGTACTCTGTTTTGTAACTGTTATTAGATAATTATTTTAAGTATATAATTTTACTGTTCTAATCCACGTGATTGTATCTGCTGGATTGACAATTCACGTAATGAACAAGCCGATAAAATCGCAAGAATTGCAAGCAGTAATGGCAACACATCAGACGTTCGGATTTGTATTAATATAAATCCGTGGTATATAAAAGAACCATACAGTATAATTAATAGAAAAGTGAAAGAAGAAAGAAATAGATTATTTAAAGATCCTGTAACTCAATTTTTTAATGGTTTAATTTATATCATAAATATAATGCTCAAATGAAGATTTATCAGTATTGTATGTTCCAAAAAGCGTTATTTGTAAAGATATTACCGAATTCACATTTTCATGTTAATAAAGGGAGGTAATTAGAAATATATTTTCTATAAAGTCTATGTCAAATTTTTCTGCATATATTTTAATGATTACATATAATGTGGACAAATATTTGCAGTGCATATTTTACATATTCTTCGATGTTTGAAATTTTTTTAGAAGCATAATTATATACATATATAAAATTTCACTTAAGTGTGGTAACAACCTTAATTACAACATACAGAATCTTTAACGAACACTGCATGTGGAATAAATAATATAAAATTTAAACAAGATACCGCCCAAAAAAAAAACTGGAACTTTGTCACCAAAATCGAAATTTAAATTAGATGAAAATATATACGCGCTAAAAACTTAACCATTCAAAACTCATTTTCCGCCGATAAAAATTGTCCCGCATGTAATGAACCAGAAACGTTTAAACATCATGCATACTAAAACTTGGAATAGTATCCATAAATAAAAAAAAATACACTTGGAACCGCCGTTTGAAATAGCCTGTCAAGTTTTCACTGCGATATTCAAATTCATAAAAGATATTCAATTTACAAAAAGAATTTAATTTACAATGGATATAATTACATAAAGTATCACATATATAAGATCGCCACTTTATAAAATGGGATTTGAAATGTCGAGGAGTTGTCTATGAGTGTGGCAGGGCAAGCTTTAGAATGCTATTGCCCCACAAGTATAGACATATCTTTGGACAGGCACTCAAACTTGGCACAACAGCGATTTAGCTATTGCTGCACAAAACATATTAACTTGAGTTCTGAGGGTAGGGCTGAACTGCTCCATAATGGTATGTTTAAAAAATCATTTATAAAGTCAGCCAGCGGTCCGATATGTAGATATGATGTTAATTGTAAAAAGCTATAAATTAAATCTTATATGTAAAACTCCAAAATTGCCTATCACCGTGGGTTTGGTCATCTTCACTTTATTCCCTGAGGCTAGAATCGGACTTGGTTTTTTCCGTTTAGAACTAGAATAAAGGCCTATCTCCATGGGATTGGTCTGCTTGACTGTTTTCCTTGAGGCTAGAACCGTACATTATTTTCCGTTCAGGATTAATAAAAATACGTATCACCGTAGGTTTTGCCAGTTTCACTGTATTTCCTCAGACTAAAACAGGGCTTGGTTTTCTGTTTAGTTCTACTAAAATGGCTTATCACGTGGGTTTGGTCAGCTTGACTGAATTTCATGAAGCTAGAACAGGGCTTGGTTTTCCCTTTCGAACTATTAAAAAGGGCTATCACCTTGGGGTTGGTCAGCTTGATTGTATCCCTTTAGGATAGAACAAGACTTTGTTTTCCGTTTAGAACAACTAAAACTGCCTGTCACAGTGGGTTTGGTCAGCTTGACCGTATTCCCTGAGGCTAGAACAGGGCGTGGTTTTCTGTTTAGAAGTAATGAAAAGGTTAATCACCGTAGGTTTGGTTAGCCTGACTGTATTCCTTGAGGCTAGAACCAGATATGGTTTCCGTTTAGAACTACTAAAAGACCTACCACCGTGGGTTTGGTCAGCTTGACTAAATTTCCTGAGGCTTGATGAAGGCTTTGTTTTCCGTTTAAAACTATAAATTTTATCACCTCGGGTTTGGTCACCTTGACTATATTTTTTGGGAGCTAGAACCGTACTTCGTTTTCCGTATAGAACTACATGTACTTAAAAGGCATATCAGCGTAGGTTTGGCCAGCTTGATTATATACCTTAAGGCTAGAACCGGACTTCGTTTTCCGTTTAACACTACTGAAATGGCCTATCGCCGTGGATTTGGTCAGCTTGACTGTATTACCTGAGGCTAGAAATTGACTTTGCTTTCCGTTTAGAACTGACAAAAAAGTCTATCACCGAGGTTTCGGTCAGCTCAACTGTTTTCCTTGAGGCTAGAACTGTACTTTGTTTTCCGTTTAGGACTAATCTAAAAGGCAAAAGGCCTATCACCGTGGGTTTTGTCAGCTTGACTGTATTACCTGAGGCTAGAATAAACTTTGCTTTCCGTCTAGAATTGACAGAAAAAAGACCATCACCGAGGTTTAGGCCAGCTTCACTGTGTTTCTTGAAGCTAGAACCGTAATTTGTTTTCCGTTTAGGACTAATTTTAAAAAGGTATATCAGCATTGGTTTTGTCAGCTTAACTGCATTTCTTGAGGCTAGAACCAGAATTAGTTTTTTTTCCGTTTAGAACTGCTAAAAAGGCCTGTCACCTTGGGTTTGGTCAGCTTAACCGTTTTCTTTGAAGCTAGAACCGTACTTTTTTAATCAGCTTCATATATTTTTTATCATGTCTTTCGTAAACAATTGATGTTTAGTGTTTCTACTTGTTCTGACATTTCCGGGCTTCTGAATTCCGAAAATTTCCAAACTCCGAACTTTTTGGCTAGTCCCAGAGGTGTTCGGTTTTCAGAAGTTACACTGTATTCCTTGAGGCTAGAACCAGGCTTGTTTTTCTGTTTAGAACTACTAAAAAGGCCTATCATCGTGGGTTTGGTCAGCTTGACTGAATTTCATGAAGCTAGAACAGGGCTTGGTTTTCCCTTTCGAACTATTAAAAAGGGCTATCACCTTGGGGTTGGTCAGCTTGATTGTATCCCTTTGGGATAGAACAAGACTTTGTTTTCCGTTTAGAACAACTGAAAATGCCTATCACCGTAGGTTTTGTCAGCTTGACCGTATTCCCGGAGGCTAGAACAGGGCGTGGTTTTTCGTTTAGAACTAATTAAAAGGCCTACCATCATGGGTTTGGTCAGCTTGACTTAATTCCCTAAGGCTAGATGAGGGCTTAGTTTTTCGTTTAAAACTATAAAATTTATCACCTCGGGTTTGGTCATCTTGACTGTATTCTTTTGGGCTAAAACCGGACTTCGTTTTCCCTATAGAACTACTTAAAAGGCCTATAAGGGTAGGGTTGGTCAGCTTGATCATATTCCTTTATCCTAGAACCGGACTTGGTTTCTGTTTATGAACGACTAAAAGGCCTACCTTGAGGCAAGAACCTGACTTCGTTTTCCGTTTAACACTACTAAAAAGGCCTATCACAGTGGGTTTGTTTCAGCTTGACTGTATTACCAGAGGCTAGAAATGGACTTTGCCTTCCGTTTAGAACTGACATAAAAGACTATCACCTAGAACCGGACATGGTTTCTGTTTATGAACGACTAAAAGGCCTATCACCGTGGGTTTGGCCAGCTTGGACTGTATTCCTTGAGACTAGAACAGGGATTGGTTTTCCGTTTAGAACTACTAAAAAGACCTATCACCGCGGGTTGTGTTAGCTTGACTGTATTCCTTGAGGCTTAAAAAACGTTCTTTGCTTATCGTTTCGCTTATCGCGTTATAAGAACTACTAAAAAGACCTATCACTGTTGGCTTTGTCAACTTGATTGTATTCCTTGAGTCTAGAACCGAGCTTGGGTTTTCCGTTTAGCACTAATAACAAAGCCTATCACCGTTGGTTTTGTTAGGTTGACTATTCTCTGTGGCTAGAACCGTACTGTGTTTTCCGTTTATAACTCATAAAAAAGCCTATCAGCGTGTGCTTGGTCATCCTGTTGGTTTCTCCGGAGGCTAGAACCGTTAGCACTTCTTAAAAGGCCTATCACCGTGATTCCTCGGAAACATTAAAAACAGCCAAAGTACATGAAAATTGAAGACTCGGTTTGATTGAGTATGTACATGAGGATAATGAAAAAGTTCAACATCCCTTATTCCCCTAGCACCGACTTGAGCCGTAATCAGTTCTCAATATATTTAAAAGTGCTAGACACAATGATCTCGAAGGACATCTAAGAAGAACTTTACGTAAAAATCCGAATATTCTAGAGCGAACAGTTAAAAGACAATTTGTTTGATTCCTTTGAGAGTGTTCGTTACACAATATAAGGCCCAAAGCCCTAACCCAAGCAATATGTCCGGGAAATTTCCGCCCTGCATTGCCATTTCTTCTCATTATATAAGTTATCGTAAAAAGCACTATTTACTCGAGCCAACTGTTTAAACATCATTTGACTGATTCCTTTGCAAATTCGATTTACTACAGGTTTGGAGGGTCTTTCTTACGCATTATAAAGCCCAAAGCCCAAATCCAATCAATGTGTATGTCATATTTCCGCGTGGCATTGTCGTTTTCTGGACCGGTAATTAGTTCTTTCTGTACAGAAAGTGTATAAATTTTTGAAAAGAAAACAACATTTTCTCTCCAATTAACCGTTTAAACACCACTTGTCTTTATGATTCCTTCGCCGATTCGATTTTGTACAAGTTTGGAGGGCTTTTTTACATTATAAAGCTCAAAGCTCTAACCCAATCAATATATCCGTGAAATTTCCGCGTGGCATGGTCGTTTTGTTTTGCCGGCGATTTGTTCTTTCTGTATATAAACTTATTAAACCGTTTAACACCATTTTTCAGATCCTTTGGGAAATTCGATTTTGTACAGGTTAGGAGGGTCTTTTCTACACATTATAAAGCA